GCGTTTGTGTATTCTGATTTTTTGTCACGGTAACGTCAAACAACTGACGTAAGTTTTCTATGGTCCCGTGTAACAAGGCTAATGCCGTATCTGCAAGAAATAATTCTGGATCATACGCTTTCGAAAAACTAACACTTCAAAGTTCGATTTTCGGTTTGTTTTTAATAAGAAAGAGCGAGTGAATGATTGTTGTTACACGCCGCAACAAGCGATTTTTAAAGTTATATCGCGGCAATGTACAATGTACACATCGAGCATAGACCAGACAAACCAGTGATTGATATTTTTTGTAACAATCTGCGTCGCAGGAGCACAATGACACGCAATCAACGACTATGAACACCCTGTTCCATTAATGTGTCTTACGACCAGCAGGTGCGGTGGGGGTAGCCCAGTGGTTAAAGTGTTCGCTCGTCACGTCGAAGACCCGGGTTCGATTCGCAACATGGGTACAATGTGTGAAACACATTTCTTGTGTCCCCCCACCGTGTTATTGCTGGAATAGTGCTAAAAGCGGCGTAAAATACAATCCACTCACTCACTTACGCCCAGCACAGGTTCCTGCCAATTCTAAACAGGAGTTAAGCGTTTGTGGAAATATCTCACAGCATAATCACCAGACATGAAATACTCACCAGTTTACGTAGTACTAATACACAGAATATTATAATAACGGCGCACTCACCAATATTCCAGCTAAATGACGGCGGTCTGTAAATAATCGAGTCTGGACCAGACGATTCAGTGATTGATATGAGCGTCGATCCACGCAATTGGAGCTAGTAATACTAATACACGGAATATCAGTACTTATAATACTAAGAAACGGAACACGGGTTCTTGTAATACTAAGACAGGGTGCAGCAATGAAACCTAAAAAGGAGTGAGTTATGTTTAACGCCGCTTTGAACAGTATTCCAGTTATATCACGGCATGTCAGCTTAATGTGATGCAGGTCACAGACGTTTACCACTTTGGTGAAACCCACGAGCACGGGTATGGTGCTGACAAACCTAGAAACATAATTGGGGTGAACCGGGATTCGAACCCACAATCATAGATTTCTGTCGTGCCTAAGGGACGCAACTCTGCACAGAGACTGTGTCGCCTTAGGCGACTGGGCCCCTGCTTGTTGTAAGAGGCGACCAACGGGTGGCCAGCCTCAGGTGATTAGGCTCGGTGACTTGGTTGATGCATGTCATCGTATCCCAGTCATGTGGATGCTCATGATATCAATCACTGGATTGTCTGGTCCAGACTCGATTATTTACAGACCGCTGTCATACAGCTGGAATAATGCAATTGCTGAGTGCGGCGTTAAACAATAAACAAACAAACAAACTAACAGTTAAAGAACATGACCACGCAGCGTACTTGACTATAACGCGGGATGCAAGGGACACGCGTGACTGGCAGCTGTAGGCGGGGTTTAACGCCTCTGTCAACAGTGCTGATTGTTTTCACCAATGTGAGTCCAAGAAATAAAGTTCTCTTATAAAATCTATATCTACTAAATATATAAATACAAAGCAAAAGGAGCCCAGAACAATCCTTAAATTCAGTCTAGAATCGAGGCAATCTAGACTTGCCATATCAATCTAGACTTGAGTTGGACTCCCTTTTAAATTTATCCTCTAGGGTTAGGAGGCAGACTAACCAATGTGGTGAATATGATTCTAGGACCTGCATCGCTTTCTTCAACATCAAGGTGAGTGAGTAAGTATGGTTTTACACCGCTTGTAGCAATATTCCAGCAATATCACGGCGGGGGACACCAGAAATGGGATTCACACATTGTACCCATGTGGGGAATCGAACCCGGGTCTTCCGCATGATGAACGAACGCTTTAACCACTAGGCTACCCTACCGCCACAACATCAAGGTGACTGACGTGAGTAGACCTGAAATGCAGCGTTAAACCCTATTCAGTTGCTGCTGCGTCATATGTGCTATCAACTTCATCGTCATCATCATCAACACCCACGCCAACGGCACTACGACTACGTTGACTGTGTTGATGATTGATATCATGAGCATCGATTCACGCCGTCGGGGTACAATGACCTGCAATCAACCTAGTCAGCGACCCTGACCACTACTACATCATCTGTGCTGTCAGTTTCATCGTCATCATCTTCAACACACACGTCGACCGTACTACGACTACGTTGACTGTGTTCATTGCTGCAGCAACCCCGTTATAACAACCGAGGAGGACAGTTGCAGAAACGGATATCTGCCCTATTGATATCACGTGACAATGAATCGTGGAAACATTCGTCACCACTCGCCCCTTTCCGTAACCTGCAAGAAGGCTATTCGGCTTGTCCCGGAATAACACGAGTTGGTCAAGAATGTAGTGGAAACTCATTCGTCACAACTCGCCCATTTCCGTAACCTGCAAGTAGACTCGTCCCCCTATCGATGAATGTTATGTGCGAAAATACGACAAACCAATCTGAATGCGCGTATGATTTCAAGTTCTTCGTCAAAGAATCCCTCAGAAATAATTTGTCATTTTATATATGTCTTGCATCTAAAAATATACCCAAGACACAGTTAAATGTGTTCAATCATACTGTATAATTCCGCATGTCCCGCTGTGCTGTAGCTTGCATCTGAAATATATATAATACATGGGGAAATATATGTGAACCATCACGCAAAGAGTTGACAATTGTTTTAGGTATGCCCGTTTGCGCTAAGACGGAACCCGGTCAAAAAAAATGGCCGTGAGAGGGGCACGAGTAGCTATTCGGCTTGTCCCGGAATAACACGAGTTGGTCACGAATGGTGGAAACTCTGTGAACTACCGGAGACACCCGAAGTACCTTAATGACAGGTGGTCTTTGAAATGTCAAATATTGCAGTTTCAAAGCTGCACACATCCATTTCCCAATATACTTCTTTGATGCTATCCTTCTTTCAAATAAACTGACGGATTTAGTTGCTCGTTAATCATCAGATTGATTTCAACAAAAAGAAATGCAGCCATGTTTTTGTTGAATGTTTAATGTTTGTGTTGAAGTGGAAACTATCAGTGAGAGTGCCAACAGCCCTTGATAATACCCGGCTCTGACAAGAAGCACTCAATTTATAATCGTGTAATTTCATGGGAGATCCGAGCTTCTCTTTGTATTGCGTGTGGCATCGATTGAGCATGTGTTTTAAATCACAACTGGAATTACAGAAACTGATAAAAGATGATATTACCGTTCCCCCTCAATAGCTGGACCTCACCTCCAGCGGGGAGATGAATCGGCGATATTCTAGCTGTACGACGGCGCCTGTAATAGTCGAGTCTGGATCAGAAGATCTAGTGATTGATATCATGAGCACCGATTCATGACGTTGGGTTACAATGACGCGTAATCAGCCAAGTCAGCGACCCCGACCACGCGATCCATTAAGTCGCGTTTAAGTTTGATCCCGGAATCTCACGTGGAGTAATGGATGCAAACTGTCGGACATCGGTCAGATCTAAACTTTGTCATTCACTCAAACTATGGAGTCGCTGAATGACTTTGAATTGGTATTTCGGAATATCACAGCGTGTCAGCATAATATTCGAAGAACGCCAAGCCACTCCTTGTGAAAGCAGTGATGTCGGGCCGACATGAGCCATAGCCCGGGCGGAGAATAAATTAAAAACGGAAGTGAGATGAAATGGGCTTAATGTCTCGTTCAAGATTATTGTACTTATATAGCGAAGTGCATGCACGTGTGTGCGTGGGTGTGCGCGCGCGTCCGTGCGTGCGTGCGCGCTCGTGTGTGTGTCTGCTTGTAATAGTCCGGACCAATGCCGATTCATAGTACTAGCCCACTGAGATACCATACTGAAGTTTAACATGAATACCCCACTCAGACACAGTACACTAACTCCGTGCCGACCAGTCCTTGATTTAGCCCCTTAATGCCGAGTGCCAGACAGGGTAACAACAAATACCATCTTTTAACGTCCTGCGCCCGGGCGGACGCTCTACCACTAGACCACGGACGCGGTTCCCCAACTCAAGTCTGGAAAGATTTTACAATTCTAGATTGATTCAGCTCCAGGAATTTAGCATTGTTCTTGGCTCCATTTTATATTATTTTGTATTTTGTAGATAAATGTATATATTTAATATAAGATAACTTAATATTTAAATGTTTAATGGGATTAAATGTTTGTCTAAATGGGTGAGTTATTAACTATACAGGAAGATCTGAATTTCATGAATATGTGTGTCAGCTATATCAGCCAGCTAAGTCAGAAGAACTACGACAAGTTTCAAACTCTTAATGCCCGTTGAATAACAAAACTAGGTCAAGTTACACTAAAGAGTGTAGGAAGTCACGATTGATGGATCAGGCATCTCATTCCAGGGGAGATAACTCTAGGCAACAGAAACAGATTCAAGTGACGTAAAATGGCGATGGTGCCCCGGCCTGCTGCTGGGCCTCTTTTAGAATCAACGCTTTCTGAGAAAGAGAATACCTTACACGTGATTTCGGTTTGGTCATTAATCAAAACACGGATGTCATATTTCATCGTATATAAATCTGGCACAGATGAGTGAGTGTTGGTGAACGACTTCAAAAGATGACTAACCGGTAGAAGTAATTGAATGTTGTTTTATACCGCAACACCAAAGAGTCAATCAGACTCCATGAGCGACAGATCACGTCAACTAAGCTGTAACCGACCAATACTCAATGTCTTTAGCGACAGACGTTATAACGAACCAACCTACAATGTCTTCTCTTGCGGTAGACGTTATAATACATTATTAAACTATCAGGTAATGACAAAATCTGTCATGTAACACACTGTTAAGCTATCAGATAATGTCACAATCCGTCATGTAACACATTGTTAAACTATCAGGTAATAACACAATCCTTCATGTAACACATTGCTAAACTATCAGGTAATAACACAATCCGTCATGTAACACATTGCTAAACTATCAGGTAATAACACAATCCGTCATGTAACACATTGTTAAACTATTAGGTAATGGCCAAATCCGCCATGTAACACATTGTTAAACTATCAGGTAATGACACAATCCGTCATGAGAAAATAAGCAACCTTAAAACCCACGCCGTCATTAAAGAAAAGAGAACTTTGATCACATTTTGTGAAAAACGTTGTGTTATCCGTATTCCTAGAAGCGCACGTAATATCTCCGTAATATCTGTGTACGGTGATCTCAGCTTGAAACATACGGATGAAGTAAACACTCCCAAACGTGTTGTTACTGAAGCATCGCATCTTTGAGACTACAGCTAAGTGAACATACGTGATCTTTAGCTTAGATTGTTAGTGGCGGTACTCTCGAGGGGGGTTGAAGTAGCGTAAAATAATTGTCCCCCTAAAAGGGTATGGTAGTTCAACATCATTCGAAGTATTTATATGTATGCCAGGTCTTTAAACGTAGTATATTCGTCATTTTAACCATGGTCCCCAGTATGGTGATCTCCCTTCACAATGACGATCTCTGGCCAATTTTTATCTTGTGTTGTTGACTAATACTTTCGCTTTTAAATATTCTCAACTAGTTTTAAATCGAATCTGTGATATTTTAGTTATTGTACTGTCCAACGTTGACAGCTTATTTTATCTAAATACATGTATTTTTAATGTATAACCTCTCGTCACGATATGGCTGAAATACTGCCGATGTGACGTTAAAACTTAACTCACTCACTCATACATACGTGAAGTCATGTTTTATATTAATTAGCTATTTTCCTGAAAACATTTTGAATCTGCTGCGTGTTTCTGACTAAACGAACGCTTGAAAGGGGCACACATGTACGGAGAGGTTCTGCAGAATGTCCATGAGATCTAAATATCAATGGAGGTATCCCTGGAAGGCACAGCGCTGAAAGAACATTACTGTATGTCCTCTACTGACACCCTGGCGTCCAGCACTTGTTCGCAACCCGGTGAGCCGCCGACTTTTAAAGGCCCCACGTCTTTTCTGAGTTCAATCTCGCCATACACTCACTTACCGCCTACATCACCCGAGTTCAGTCTCGTCATACCCTACCTACCGCCAACACCACCCGAGTTCAGTCTTGTCATACCCTATCTACCCCTACACCACCCGAGTTCAGTCTCGTCACACCCCATCTACCCCCAACACCACCTGAGTTCAGTCTCGTCACACCCTATCTACCGCCAACACCACCCGAGTTCAGTCTCGTCACACCCTATCTACCGCCAACACCACCCGAGTTCAGTCTCGTCACACCCCATCTACCGCCAACACCACCCGAGTTCAGTCTCGTCACACCCTATCTACCGCCAACACCACCCGAGTTCAGTCTCGTCACACCCCATCTACCGCCAACACCACCCGAGTTCAGTCTCGTCATACCCTATCTACCGCCTACACCACCGAAGTTCAGTCTTGTCATACCCTATCTACCGCCAACACCACCCGAGTTCAGTCTCGTCACTCCCTATCTACCGCCTACACCACCCGAGTACAGTCTCGTCACACCCCATCTACCCCCAACACCACCCGAGTTCAGTCTCGTCACATCCCATCTACCGCCTACACCACCCGAGTACATTCTCGTCACACCCCATCTACCGCCTACACCACCCGAGTTCAGTCTCGTCACACCCCATCTACCCCCAACACCACCCGAGTTCAGTCTCGTCACACCCCATCTACCGCCTACACCACCCGAGTACATTCTCGTCACACCCCATCTACCGCCTACACCACCCGAGTTCAGTCTCGTCACACCCCATCTACCCCCAACACCACCCGAGTTCAGTCTCGTCACACCCCATCTACCGCCTACACCACCCGAGTACATTCTCGTCACACCCCATCTACCCCCAACACCAACCGAGTTCAGTCTCGTCACACCCCATCTACCGCCTACACCACCCGAGTTCAGTCTTGTCATACCCTATCTACCGCCAACACCACCCGAGTTCAGTCTCGTCATACCCCATCTACCGCCAACACCACCTGAGTTCAGTCTCGTCACACCCCATCTACCGCCAACACCACCCGAGTTCAGTCTCGTCATACCCCATCTATCCCCAACACCACAGAAGTTCAGTCTTGTCATACCCTATCTACCCCCAACACCACCCGAGTTCAGTCTCGTCACACCCCATCTACCGCCAACACCACCCGAGTTCAGTCTCGTCATACCCCATCTACCCCCAACACCACGGAAGTTCAGTCTTGTCATACCCTATCTACCGCCAACACCACCCGAGTTCAGTCTCGTCACTCCCTATCTACCGCCTACACCACCCGAGTACAGTCTCCTCACACCCTATCTACCGCCTACACCACCCGAGTACATTCTCGTCACACCCTATCTACCCCCAACACCATCCGAGTTCAGTCTCGTCACACCCCATCTACCGCCTACACCACCCGAGTACAGTCTCGTCACACCCTATCTACCCCCAACACCATCCGAGTACAGTCTCGTCACACCCTATCTACCCCAAACACCACCCGAGTTCAGTCTCGTCACACCCTATCTACCCCAAACACCTACCGAGTTCAGTCTCGTCATACCCCATCTACCACCTACACCACCCGAGTTCGGTCTCGTCACACCCCATCTACCCCCAACACCACCCGAGTTCAGTCTCGTCATACCCAATCTACCCCCAACACCACCCGAGTTCAGTCTCGTCATACCCCATCTACCACCTACACCACCCGAGTTCAGTCTCATCATACCCCATCTACCCCCAACACCACCCGAGTTCAGTCTCGTCATACCCCATCTACCCCCAACACCACCCGAGTTCAGTCTCGTCATACCCCATCTACCGCCTACACCACCCGAGTTCAGTCTCTTCATACCCCATCTACCCCCAACACCACCCGAGTTCAGTCTCGTCATACCCCATCTACCCCCAACACCACCCGAGTTCAGTCTCGTCATACCCCATCTACCGCCAACACCACCCGAGTTCAGTCTCGTCATACCCCATCTACCCCTAACACCACCCGAGTTCAGTCTCGTCATACCCCATCTACCCCGAACACCACCCGAGTTCAGTCTCGTCATACCCCATCTACCCCGAACACCACCCGAGTTCAGTCTTGTCATACCCCATCTACCCCGAACACCACCCGAGTTCAGTCTTGTCATACCCCTTCTTCCGAGTCTGGCGTCAGCTCTGTTCTTGATAAGGCAGGCAGGGGATGTGACGTCGAGAGTATATACAGACATGTACGGACTGATAAACTAACTCACGCCACACTTACATAGAGGTCTCGCGTAAAGCCGGAGCATGGAGCTACCTGTGTTCTCACCTGGCGGTTGTCTACCTGTGGCGATTATTCTGTTATGTCAGGTGTGGTATGGGCAGGGTCACGTGACATACATTGCAGCAAGACTTCCTCTGCAGGTGAGACATTATTACTTTGCGCGTAATAACTTTTTTTTGGAACCGTTTGACATTATGGATTTATTCAATGCTGAGATGGAAAAAAAAGCAAATAATACTTGACTATACTTTCACGATGTTCCATGTGAAAATATGTACATTCAATTTACTTATAAACGGTTTCAGTGTTTCTTTACAAGCAGCAGACATACCATAGACACTGACGAGCAAAATGTACTATACCAAATAGGCATGAAGATCCGGGTTACAATAAGTCTTTATCAAACCCATGCTTGTCGTACTAGGCAACTAACGGGATCGGGTGGTCAGACTTGCTGTCTTGGTTGATGCATGTCATCGTATCCCAATTGCGTGGATCGATGCTCATGATGTCAATCACTGGATTGTCTGGTCCAGCCTTAATCATTTACAGATCGCCGTCATGTAGCTGGAATATTGCTGAGTGCGACGTTAAACAACCAAAAAAACAAACACCACCACCACCAACAACAACAACAACAACAACAACTACAACTCAACAAAAATCATATTTATTAGAATTTGGATTCGAACATTAAATAATGTTCCGAAATCATGTAAGAGCAACCTTAGAAATGCGTCAGACACGAGTTCAGCTTGCTGTAGTTCACTGAATTTCCTGTAAAATGACTTCATTCGCTTAAATTATATGCACGTGCAGCATGATCACAGGCCGCGTATGGGTACAAACAACAACAATCCGTCACTGAACAAAGAGTCCAGGAATCAACAGTAAAATGCCACGTGTATCGGAAGAACAGAGAGAAAGTCTATTGTTGCGCCGCAGTGGGGACATGACACTGTCGCCAGACAATTAGGTTGCCCATGTGCAACAACGCCAAGTTGCTGTCTCGATACCGGCAGACAGTGGACAGACAGTAGACAGACAGTGGATAGACCCAGAACAGACAGACCACGTGTCACCACACCTAGCGAGGGTCGAGATGTGCGTATTGCTCACTTGAAGAACCGCTGCTTGACTGTTACGTCATCAGCATCACGTGCCCAAGAAGCCGTTCACTGTATCCAGATAACTGCGTCACGATGGTATTTGGGTCCCTAGGCCTTTCCACGTTGATACGATAACATCGACGTCAAAGACTCGGGTGGGCAGGCCCATGCACAAAGACGGCAGAGCAGGAAATGATGACAGAAGGTTCCAACTCTTAATTCAAGTTTGATCTCGTGTTATTCTTTTGGACTGGATAATCGTGACCTCCACCATACCGGAACTACTTTTTTCATTCATAAAAGAAACCACGAGACGTCATTCACTTTTACAACTACAAGGCAGAACTGAAGGAATCTCATGAAAGCGGGATACATTAACAAACACTTTATTAAACCAAACAAGATAGCAAAACGCATCCAATTCGGGAAGAACGCACGTCTCGTTGTTGCATCCAGGAGACAGCACCAGTAGGAGCGTGGTGGCAGCGTTATGATTTGACCGGGATATGTGGTCAGGAAGGACGGACCTGTTTGTGTTGAAGGCTAATCTCACAGCACAACGTTACCTCACTCACTCACTCGCTTCCTACAACAGAGCCTACAGATCCTGGTTTAACATTGGAAGGCGGGACCACGTCAGAATGTATCGCCGTCACTTTCTGCAGGGTAATAACGTCGGTTCGAACGACCCTGCCATTCCGCCAACATATCTTACTTGATACAGGGCTGATGGGAGGGGTGATGGGAGGGGTGATGGGAGGGGTGAATGGCACCAAATGACGTAACAAGAAGTCCAACGAATGAACGAACAGACGAACGACACGTGCGTGCGTGCGTGCGAGCGTGCGAGCGTGCGTGTCTTGACTTGACGCGCTACTGCATGTGATCACTGCAATTCCATCATACAGTGTGACTTTAGTCTCCGCCATATTGTGTTCATAGTGAATGCACACTGACAGTACTCCCCTATAAGCTTGTTGTTGCCCTCGTGGAGCCTGTGTTGTGGCGGCCAGTGCGTTATCATCGCGTATCACTGCTGTTTTGTGATTACAACGCTACATTGGAATATCTCCTGACATATTGTATGGTACAGTTTCTTCCTGCCGTCAGTGTATCTTAACTGACCCAGTAACTGTACTCTTTTTTGGCAGTCAAAACGCTTTTACGCTTTTTTTGCCACATACCTGCCCTTGTTAAATAAACAGTAATGTTCATGAATCACCACATTAAAGCTTTATCTTGCGGGATAGTTTCGAGGAGATGTGGAGAGTTCAACTTGAATTCAAGATGACCTCAACCTTCGACATACACACACGCTCGCACAGACAGATATAGAGACACACGCACGCAGGCACGCAGGCACAGAGACAGACACACGCACGCAAGCACACACTGACACAGACACAGATACACAAGCTCGCACGTACACAGAGACACACTCACGCACGCACACACAGACACGCACACACAAACAGACCCGCACGCACGCACGCACGCACAGACAGACACAAACACACAAACAGACCCGCACGCACACACAGACACACGTACGTGCGCACGCACGCGCACACACGCACGCACGCACTCACGCAAACACACAGACACAGTCACACGCACGCACGCATGTACACACAAACACACACTTGTATATACGGGGATATTGCTGAGCGCCAAACAAATAAACAAAAAAGGTGAGGCGTTCGATTTCATCTGTACGGTTTACAGAACAGGAAATTGAAAACAGTTTCTTTTTTACCTAAGTGTACTGGACAGCCCCCTACCTGTAGTTATAACACACACGTACACAGCAGTAGCCCCGTTGTGGACCAGGGTACGATGTGATGATTAATGTGACTGGCCTATCTCCCCCGGTGCCCTGGGGCCTCTGAGCCTGATTGACGTTGTTTGAGTGAGTGAGTGAGTATGGTTTTACGCCGCTTTTAGCAATAATCCAGCAATATCACGGCGGGGGGACACCAGAAATGGGCTTCACACATTGTACACATGTCGGGAATCGAACCCGGGTCTTCGGCGTGACGAGCGAACGCTTTAACCACTAGGCTACCCGACCGCCCCCGACGTTGTTTGAATATGTCACAAGTATATGTAATATCACAGGCTGACATCGTGATTAAACCTATCTCTGAAAACCACACTTCATTGCTAGCCAGTGTATAGTGTCCTGTGATTGTTATACACCTTCACTGAAGCTGTTTGTGAACTGGCCGATCGATGGCTACTTTAAGTTAACATTTGTAGTTGGCACAGAGACAACATTGAAATGGGCTTCACACATTGTACCCATGTCGGGAATCGAACCCGGGTCTTCGGCTTGACGACCGAACGCTTTAACCACTAGGCTACCCGACCGCCCCCTGGGTTCGCTAGGATGATTAATGTGAGTGGCCTAGCTACACTGGTGCTCTCGGGCCTCTGTAGATTGATTTACCTTGTTTGGGGATGTCAAACGTTTATTTAATATCACAGGCTGTCCACATCTTGATAAAACCTGAAAACCACACTTCATTGCATAGCCAGTGTATAGTGTCCTGTGATTGTGTCACACACCTTCACTCAAGCCGTCTGTGAAATGGCCGACCGATGGCTACCTTTAAGCTTGTACTTGGCACAGAGACAACGTTGTCAAGACCACGTGTCACATTATGCATCAAGTTATTATCTGGGGTGACAAATGAGTCTTGCTGTCTGCAAGTGTTTGTTGTGTGGCGCTGTGAGTCTCTGGGGCTAATGGGCGAATGTGTACAGTGTGTCAACCCCAGGTGATGGAGCGTTAGATACAGATAGAGCGGACCACACCTATCAACGCACGGTCAATCCGCCATGTTTAAGTCGAGGATCCAATCGAATGTCTATGTTCTCTGTGTTTCTTTAATAGCTTTTCAACATGTTCAAAATATTTCTTTAGTGTAATGTTTATTTGTTTAGCGCCGCACTCGGCAATATTCCAGCTGTATGGCGGCGGTCTGTACCGTCATGAAGCTGGAATATTGCTGAGTGCGGCGTTAAACAACAAACAAACAAACAAACAAACAAACAAAACATAATCGAGTCTGAACTAGACAATCCAGTGATTGACATTTTGTTTGAACATATATAGGCACCTGGCGATATTTCATACACTAACGGATGTGAACCGCGCTGTTTTGTTTGAACGTATATAGGTACCCTTTCATACACTAACGGATGTGAACCGCGCTGTTTTGTTTGAACGTACATAGGCACCCGGCGATATCTCATACACTAACGGATGTGAACCGCGCTGTTTTGTTTGAACGTATATAGGCAGCCGGCGATATCTCATACACTAACGGATGTGAACCGCGCTGTTTTGTTTGAACGTACATAGGCACCCGGCGATATTTCATACACTAACGGATGTGAACCGCGCTGTTTTGATTGTACGTGTATAGGTACCCGGTAATATTTCATACAATAACGGATGTGAACCGCGCTGTTTTGTTGCCGTCTTGACCATTTGGGTATCTATTTTACGCGTCGACATGAAATCTTGACGAGAAATATTTGATCGATATAACAATTCTTCATCAGGAAGAGATTACGAATTTCATATTTTGAAATCTGATGATCCATCTTTAATGTGTTCTTTTATTATATCTATACAATGTCATGCTATTTTCTTCTATTACAAGGGTCAACGCGCAAAGCCTGGTAGTCCGTGGCCGCTACCTGCGCACATGACACAAACAGACCATATATGGGCATTGGATCCAGCCTCGTTTTCATTTACTTCCAACATTGAAAGCTGTGACATTTTGACACAGGCATTTCAGCGATACCGGAAGTTAAGTTTCTTTGACCGGAAATCAAGTAAGCCTACAAGAAATGTCCTTGAAGGTCTGAGGGTGAATGTCAAGGACGCGGCATGTGACGGGTACCCCAGTTTCGAGATGGATGAGTCTTGTAAGTGGAATACGGATAGTGTTTACTCCAGTTACAAATGCCATTGTAAATAAACGGGCAGATAATGAGTGTGATAAATCTGTGTCCTTGTCAGCAGGTCAGTGTCAGATTTTGTTTGTATTTAGTTCAAGATTTGGCCTGACTATGATTCCATGCTGCTGGGTCTCCCCAAAGCGGTATTCGTCATTGACACGCGCCAGGTTTCTCCAACTGAAATACAACTGGCCGTGTGATGACGTGTGTATCTGTCACATACAGGTTCGTATCCCGAGGTTAAGTGACTTGTAACACAGCCTGTATGATTCAGTGTGTCCTGGTGGTATTGTCACCATGGCATGTCTAATCATTGTAATCAGATTATGTTTCTCGATACCGCCAAACAAAGATCTGAGGACACCTTATTACGGGTCAGAACGACCTTTCATCCGACCAATCAGAGCGTCGTTTGCCAGATCAGGAAAGTGACAGTCGGATTGTGTTTTCTTACCATGCATCCTCGAAAAGATTAACACGACAGTTACGGCCTGGAAGAAATCGTTCCGTCAAAATCATCTCTCGTTTCAGTGGGATAAACGTTTCAACGGAAGAGACGTTGCATAGCACGTGGGAAGTACTGCCGTAATGGCATATACCATATCTTACACATTCCAGAATGTCAACATAGTTTTCAAGCTTAGACTGGAACGGATGTTGCCAGTTTGAAACTAGTGCCGTAAAAGACGAGAAAGCTGCTTTCCGATTGGCTAATTTTGCCTGCTTGTTAGTCATTTCATTAGTCGGTCAAAGTTCGCGAAAGGTCGTTCTAATGGGATGTTCTCAGATCTTTGTAACGTCTCCGTAGTCTGGTGGTAGAGCGTCCGTCCGGAGAGCGGAGGGTCCGGGGTTCTATCCGCGTCATATCAAAAGCCGTTAACTATATAAAAGATGATACTTATTGTTACCCTGCCTGGTGCTCGGCATTAAGGGACTCAAACAAGGACTGATAGCATCGGAGTCAGTATAATGTGTCTTGGCGGGGTATTAATGTGCTAGCACAATAAATCGGCATCAGTCCGGACTAGTACAAGCAATGCACACACACACTTACACAATCAAGTCGTTATATAAGTACAATAATTTTGGACGCGACCTTAAACCCCATTTCACCACACCTCAGATCTTTGTCAAGCGGTAGTGAGAACTAACATATTATTTTATTGAGATTGGGATTCGAACCTGGTCCGTGACATGCCACCAAGATATAGTAACCTAATAACAGTTTGGCACATATATTCGGTACCTGGACTCACCCAACATGATTGGCACAGTCGTCTTGTTACTACCGTGCTCGTGGATTTCACCTAAGTAGAACACGTCTAAGACGTGCATCACTTCAGGCTCTCCTCCCACATAACATGCTATGCAAATAACCATATTACAACCACTCAAAGCGTCGACGAACGCAACTAATGCCTTAGAATTTCCTACCTAGATACCCTCAATGTGACGTCATCAGCTGTCATGGCCGCTCAATCCGTGTGGGGAGCTCTCCGAGGTAGGAATCTTGGTTCCATTCAGAAAGTATACAGAACTCCAGATAAGCTGCGTATCTGCGTAAAATACGCATCAGAAATGCAGAAATACGCAGTAAAATGAAATCCAAGGGTATCAAATACGCAACGAACATTACAGATACGCTACAAAAATCAAACGTGTATCATCAAAATATTGTGAAGTAAACCTGCGTATTCGATTAGCAAATCTGCAACTTATTTTGAAATTATAAACGGGCATTCCGTCAACCACCTTGCCAAACTCCACGATGACAGTTACATCATGATCATTTGCCATCACACTTTCTTGTGGAAGTATGGTGGTATTTTTGAGTTCTGTAAAGCTCTCCAACCTACACGACACCAGTTTGCAGGGACTAGATGAAGAGTGTTTTTAAATATTTAACTTAAATACCCACATGTGTAAAAGCTAGTGGGTAACAGAAATTTGAATACACAGATAAAATTACTGATACCCAATGAGTATATATAGTTTGTTGTAATGTTCGTCACCATATTGTGATACTGCATATCGTCATATCAGTAGAGTCAGTGATTAGTGGAAATATTCTTGCATTAGATGTTTACATAGTTTTACATCCGTTACGAACCTGTGAACATCCGGGTTAGAATTGTTCTTCAGCAACCCATGCTTGTCGTAAGAGGCGACTAACGGGATCGGATGGTCAGACTCGCTGACTTTGTTTATGCATGTCATCGTGCGGCGCTAAACAAAGAAGCAAACAAACAAACAAACATCCGTTACGAATCGGTGGCGATGAACATTACATCCGACAGAAAACAGTAAGATCTTCTCTCCCCTCTCATCGCCTCATCCGTATTCTCTCGGTTCTTCCTTCTGTCTATGCCTGTCTCTCTATTTCCGTCTGCCTCTCACTACGTCAACATGATGCGCGGCATTCGCTCCATCTGTCTAGTCATCTGTATACATCATCTTGCAACAACAAATTGTCAATCTCCGTGATGTGCAGTGTTGTTCCTTGGACACGCCAGAAACCTATGATTCTTAGGGTCGAATCCCGGTTCGCCCCGATTATGTTTCTAGGTTTGTCAGCACCATACCCTTGCTCGTGGGTTTCACCGAAGTGGTAAATGTCTTAGACCTGCGTTACTTCGGGCTTACCTACCACTTTAAGCTGACACGCTGCGATATAACTGGAATACTGTTAAAGGCGGCGTTAAACCCAACTCACTCGCATGTCCGTAAACCCTCAGTAAAACATGGATGCACGCGCATGGTTCTCGCGACCACAAATTACCGCCCTTGATTTTCATTGGCCAATTTGATTTGCTACGCTTCTCAGTCAAACGGACCAATCAGAATGCGAGATACAAACCGGCTTCAATGTTGGGTTGGCGATAAAACAACATGGCGGCCAGGCCTAATGATTACCATAGAGATTACGAGAAATTCAATATAGAAAAGCTGGATGACACGCAAAAGAACGCCTTCAAAAATCTTTTGGATGGAAAGGACATCTTCATGTCCATCCATTTTCTTTTTCCTTTTTCACGTTTGACTGGTCGATAAAATGTGAATGGAGATCAAGGGCAGGTAATTTCAGATCGCGAGAACCACGGGAATGGACCCGGGTTGAGTGTTGGTTTACCGACATGCGGGCCCTGGAGATACAGAGGATGCCAACTGCGTCCTGCATGAATTGAACGTTTATTTACTTCATCGTTTATATTCAAAACGATATTACATCTGTTGCAGGTCTGGAGACATTCAGTCAACTCATCTACATGGATGGAGATCAGGTGAAACAGTCGACAACGTAAACAACACTTTCACAGTCAACAACGCTGACAAGACTTTCACACAGTCGACAACGCTGACAACACTTTCACACAGTCGACAACGCTGACAACACTTTCACACAGTCAACAACGCTGACAACACTTTCACACAGTCAACAACGCTGACAACACTTTCACACAGTCGACAACGCTGACAACACTTTCACACAGTCAACAACGCTGACAACACTTTCACACAGTCGACAACGCTGACAACACTTTCACACAGTCAACAACGCTGACAACACTTTCACACAGTCAACAACGCTGACAACACTTTCACACAGTCAACAACGCTGACAACACTTTCACACAGTCAACAACGCTAACAACCCTTTCACACAGTCAACAACGCTAACAACCCTTTCACACAGTCAACAACGCTAACACCACTTTCACACAGTCAACAACGCTAACAACCCTTTCACACAGTCAACAACGCTAAAAACCCTTTCACACAGTCAACAACGCTAACACCACTTTCACACAGTCAACAACGCTAACAGCACTTTCACACAGTCGACAACTCTGATACCACTTTCACACACTCAACAACGCTAACAGCATGTTCATGCAGTCGACAACGCTAACAACACTTTTACACAGTCAACAACGCTGACAACACTTTCACAAAGTCAACAATGCTAACAACACTTTCACACAGTCAACAACGCTAACAACAATTTCACACAGTCAACAACGCTGACAACACTTTCACACAGTCGACAACGTTAACAACCCTTTCACACAGTCAACAACGCTAACAACCCTTTCACACAGTCAACAACGCTAACACCACTTTCACACAGTCAACAAAGCTAACAACCCTTTCACACAGTCAACAACGCTAACACCACTTTCACACAGTCAACAACGCTAACAGCACTTTCACACAGTCGACAACTCTGATACCACTTTCACACAGTCAACAACACTAACAGCATGTTCATGCAGTCGACAACGCTAACAACACTTTTACACAGTCAACAACGCTGACAACACTTTCACAAAGTCAACAATGCTAACAACACTTTCACACAGTCAACAACCCTAACAACACTTTCACACAGTCGACAACGCTGACACCACTTTCACACAGTCAACAACGCTAACAACCCTTTCACACAGTCAACAACGCTAACACCACTTTCACACAGTCAACAACGCTAACAACCCTTTCACACAGTCAACAACGCTAACACCACTTTCACACAGTCAACAACGCTAACAGCACTTTCACACAGTCAACAACGCTAACAGCACTTTCACACAGTCGACAACTCTGATACCACTTTCACACAGTCAACAACGCTAACAGCATGTTCATGCAGTCGACAACGCTAACAACACTTTTACACAGTCAACAACGCTGACAACACTTTCACACAGTCAACAATGCTTACAACACTTTCACACAGTCAACAACGCTAACAACAATTTCACACAGTCAACAACCCTAACAACACTTTCACACAGTCGACAACGCTGACAACAATTTCACACAGTCAACAACGCTGACAACACTTTCACACAGTTAACAACCCTAACAACACTTTCACACAGTCAACAACCCTAACAACACTTCACACAGTCGACAACGCTAACAACACTTTCACACAGTCAACAACGCTGACAACAATTTCACACAGTCAACAACCCTAACAACACTTTCACGCAATCAACAAAGCTAACAACACTTTCACACAGTCGACCACGCTGACAATTCTTTCACACAGTCAACAACACTGACACCACTTTCACACAGTCAACAACGTTAACAACACTTTCACACAGTCAACAACGTTAACAACACTTCACACAGTCAACAACGTTAACAACACTTTCACACAGTCAACAGTGCTAACAACACCTTCACACAGTCGACAACGCTAACAACACTTTCACACAGTCAACAACGCTAACAACACTTTCACACAGTCGACAACGCTGACAACACTTTCACACAGTCAACAGTGCTAACAACACCTTCACACAGTCAACAACGCTGACAACACTTTCACAGAGTCGACAACGCTAACAACACTTTCACACAGTCGACAACGCTAGCAGCACTTTCACACGGTTAACAACGTTGACAACACTTTCACAAAGTCAACAACTCTAACACCACTTTCACACAGTCAACAACGCTAACACCACTTTCACACAGTCAACAACGCTAACAACACTTTCACACAGTCAACAACGCTGACACCATTTTCACACAGTCAACAACGCTAACAACACTTTCACACAGTCAACACCGCTAACAACACTTTCACACAGTCAACAACGCTGACACCACTTTCACACAGTCAACGACGCTGACAACACTTTCACACAGTCAACAACGCTGACACCACTTTCACACAGTCAACAACGCTGACAACACTTTCACACAGTCAACAACCCTAACAGCACTTTCACACAGTCAACACCGCTAACAACACTTTCACACAGTCAACAACGCTGACACCACTTTCACACAGTCAACGACGCTGACAACACTTTCACACAGTCAACAACGCTGACACCACTTTCACACAGTCAACAACGCTGACAACACTTTCACACAGTCAACGACGCTGACAACACTTTCACACAGTCAACAACGCTGACACCACTTTCACACAGTCAACAACGCTGACAACACTTTCACATTGTTAACAACGTTGACAACACTTTCACACAGTCAACAACGCTGACACCACTTTCACACAGTCAACAACGCTGACACCACTTTCACACTGTTAACAACGTTGACAACACTTTCACACAGTCAACAACGCTGACACCACTTTCACACAGTCAACAACGCTGACACCACTTTCACACTGTTAACAACGTTGACAACACTTTCACAAAGTCAACAACTCTAACACCACTTTCACACAGTCAACAACGCTAACAACACTTTCACACAGTCGACAACGCTGACACCATTTTCACACAGTCAACAACGCTAACAACACTTTCACACAGTCAACACCGCTAACAACACTTTCACACAGTCAACAACGCTGACACCACTTTCACACAGTCAACGACGCTGACAACACTTTCACACAGTCAACAACGCTGACACCACTTTCACACAGTCAACAACGCTGACAACACTTTCACACAGTCAACAACCCTAACAACACTTTCACACAGTCAACAACGCTGACAACAATTTCACACAGTCGACAACGCTGACACCATTTTCACACAGTCAACAACGCTGACAACACTTTCACACAGTCAACAACGCTAATAACACTTTCACACAGTCAACAACGCTAACAGCATGTTCATGCAGTCGACAACGCTAACAACACTTTTACACAGTCAACAACGCTGACAACACTTTCACAAAGTCAACAATGCTAACAACACTTTCACACAGTCAACAACGCTGACAACACTTTCACACAGTCAACAATGCTAACAACACCTTCACACAGTCGACAACGCTAACAACACTTTCACACAGTCGACAACGCTAACAACACTTTCACACAGTCGACAACGCTAACAGCACTTTCACACTGTTAACAACTCTAACACCACTTTCACAAAGTCAACAACTCTAACACCACTTTCACACAGTCAACAACGCTAACAACACTTTCACACAGTCGACAACGCTGACACCATTTTCACACAGTCAACAACGCTAATAACACTTTCACACAGTCAACAACGCTAACAGCACTTTTACACAGTCAACAACGCTGACAACACTTTCACAAAGTCAACAATGCTAACAACACTTTCAACACAGTCAACAACGCTAACAGCACTTTTACAAAGTCAACAATGCTAACAACATTTTCACACAGTCAACAACGCTAACAACACTTTTACACAGTCAACAACGCTAACAGCACTTTTACAAAGTCAACAATGCGAACAACACTTTTAGACAGTCGACAACGCTAACAACACTTTCACACAGTCAACAACGCTAACAACACTTTCACACAGTCAACAACGCTAATAACACTTTCACACAGTCAACAACGCTAACAGCACTTTCATGTTGCAGCACAAGATCCGCGAGACTTACATCGAGGACAGACCCAGGTTCCAGCACCGAGGCAGCATGGCGGACACCGCGCGACACTACATCCCTGTGCCCGTTCTGTTAAAACACCTGGTAGGTGCTGCATGGAGGACGTTGTAGTAGTAGTAGTAGTAGTAGTAGTAGTAGTAGTAGTAGTAGTAGTTGTTGTAGTAGTAGTAATAGTAGCTGTTGTAGTAGTAGTAGTAGTAGTAGTACCCAGCAAAAAAACAAAAAACCAACGTTATTACAACGTGCCTGCTATATTGCGCCAACGTTAGGAAATGTCCTTGCCAGATATGAAATTGTCATGTTTTTTAAAATTTTGATACAACGTTATGGTGCCACGTTCCCAATATAAATTGTCAATGCAAGAGAATAACCATTCTAGATTTTTCCGCCAAAGATGATTGATATGAAAATTATATGAATGGATCATCGAAATCAGTGATGACACCAGGTGTTCGCGAAGAGGGCAGAATGTCATTCAGGGCAGAATGCCATTCACACAATTTGCATAAAGAAGTAAGTATTTATTGCCTGACGCAGCACACTAGTACTCCTGCCATGCGACGTCAGCCTGGAAACAAACCAGACAATCAAGTGATCGATGAACCAGAAAATCCAGTGATTTTACTGATTTTGTTAAAACTAATAAACACGGCATGTTACGTTTGAATTACGTCTACTGTGTACAAGTGCAGAGATTGCGCTGCTTTTAAGTAAGGAAAAACGTCAAGAAATATATTCGTTTTGCAACACAGTGGCGCGCAGTTTTAACGTCTCGGCCCAAACATTTCTTTTGTAGTTTACTAGATAGCATAGATAAATAGATATGATGAAAAATAAGCAGACACATCGACCCAGTCCAAGTCAATACAAGATAACTTTTATCCAGAGGAACAAAACAACGCAAATCTATTTTGTAGCATACCTACCTATTGATGCATGTACCGTGTAACGCAGGAGAAAAAACAAATTGTAATTTGCATGAGGTACCTTCAGAATCAGAAATGAGAATATGTTACATTTCAGTTTAAAGATTTATATAATATAAATGTAGAAAACAAACATATTATGAAAACAAAGTTAGTAATATATTTTCACAACGATGACTTCCTGAAACATGTATTATTGTTTTCAAGGAAGTCTTACTTCTACAGTGGTAAAGTTAATATTTTTCCTAATTACTCTTTTCAAAGTAACAGCAACAATGTTGTAATATTATTTTATATTTAAGTAGATCTGCACATGGAGACATGCAGATATTGTTACAATTGAAACCCACAACCTTGTGAGTGCGTTTGTTATTTTTAACCTGAACCGCCCTCCTGGTAATAGGTTTACTCCTGTAGCCTGACACGTGAGTTATTCACACTGTCCAAAAGTGCTAATATCTCGCTTCACGGAAAGTGGGTCAACGTTTCCCGCATAGCGATATGCTATAGGCCCGTTCCCGACCCTCTCGACAGGCAGACCTCGCTTCCATGCAAAAAAACAACAACACTGGCCTACTACGCCAGAGATATGCTGCATATCACACAGCTGTTTTAATGTTTGTGGACTAGGACGCCATGGCCTACAACAAGCTGAACGTGTTTCACTGGCACATCGTGGACGACCAGAGCTTCCCCTACGTCAGCACCACGTTTCCGGAACTGTCTCAGAAGGTCAGTGACGCCGCTTTGTCGCAAGTCATAGAGGCTTACTACTTGGGTAAAACCCATGTTTATACGTGTGTGTGTGTGTCTGTGTCTGTGTGATAGCTAGTGTGTGTCTGTGTGTGTGAGTATATGTGTGTTTGAATGTATGTGTGTGTTTGTAAGTGTCTGACTCTCTGACTCTCTGACACTGTCTCTCTGACACTCTCTGTCTCTCTCTCACCCTCCGTCTCTCTCATGACCACTCACTCTCTCTAAGTATGTGGGTGCGTACAGCCAGGTAGGAAAGGGAACGTTTACATACGTAACGATGCCTGCTACCCTCTGTTTCAGGGAGCCTATTCCAGTAAACATCTCTACACCCAAGACAACATTTCCGCCATCATTGAGTATGCGCGCATGCGTGGTATACGTGTGATTCCGGAGTTTGACACCCCTGGCCACGCGGAGGGGTGGGGCCGAGCCCTCCAGTGTGAGTGTAGACCTACATGTATTTACCACTTGAACACATTTATGTTCACATTACCAAATCGGGGTGACAAAATGGGTGACGTGTGCAACTTTAGATAGTGTCTTAGACCAACAGCGTTAGATGTCAACTCCAGGACCCAGATACTGGCGCGACCCACGAGAGTTCCGACGTGGAAGACGTCCCCAGAACATGCATGAGGATGAGGTGTACCCTGATGGCGTGGATAGGTGCTCATGCTTTCAGTCACTGTCTGGCTACACTCCATTATTACAGGACATTGTGTTTGTTTGTTTGTTTGTTTGTTGTTTAACGCCACCTCAGCAATATTCCAGTTATATGACGGCAGTCTGTAAATAATCGAATCTGGACCAGACAATCCAGTGATTGACCTCCTCGATGCAAATGGGATACGATGACACGCATCAACCAGGTCAGCGTGTCTGACCAGCCGATCCCGTTAGTCGCTTCTTATGACACGCATAGTCGCCTTTTACGGGAAGCATGGGTTGCTTAAGATCTAATCTACCCCGGATCTTCACGGGTCACAGGCCTTTGTGATTGATCTTGAAGAATGTACTGCTTGAATAGTGTACAGTATGTACGTTAATGTAAGGTACGACCGATCACCATACACGCGTCTGTGACAGACTCACTCACTCACTCACTCACTGTTCAGATCTGCTGACGACATGCTGGGCGGACGGAGAACCAGCGAGAGCCAATTACTCTGATCACGCCCAATATGAGAACCTGGATCCTACCCAGAATGCAACATACGACTTCCTGTCGGAATTCTTCTCGGAGGTGAAGGACGTTTTCAAGGACGAATTCCTCCACATGGGGCTGGACGAAGCTCATTATATGTGCTGGTAAACCGGTGATATATATGTATTTGTACATGTGTTTGTAAATGGGGATATATACACCACTATGTATTAAGAGAGGAAAGTTTTGGATGTCAACGTTTTTAATTTGAGGAACGGGGCGGTGGAGTAGCCTTGTGGTTAAAGCGTTCGCTCGTCAAGCCGAAGGCCCGGGTTCGATTCCCCACAGAGTGCAATGTGTGAAGACCGTTTCTGGTGTCCCCCGCCGTGATATTACTGGAATATTGCTAAAAGCGGCCTAAAACCCACAATTATGAGGAACACAACGTTTCGGAGTATATGCCTGATGAAGGTTGTCAACAACACCTTTGTGTCAAGTTAGAGGCCACAGGCCCATAGAACATTACGTTACAGAAATACAATTACTGATAAAGTGACGTATACAATTTCATTGCATTCAATGTGAATTTTGATAGCTGTACAATAGTAGATTTTTGATTAAATGACATCAGGCGAACAAAGGATTCCAGTGAGTGATTTACAAAGTATTTATGATCAATGTGTCGATATCTTAAATCATTAAAAGCAGGGCATACAAGTGCAAGATGATATTCCTTTTCCACTAGACTAATATTTAATCGAAGACAATATCTATGAAGGTTGTGTTCCTCATAATAAAGAAGTTGACATCCAAACATTCTCTCTCTCATGAGTATCACTTCAAAGACTTCACTGTGTATTACACGTGCGTGTATGCCCGTGATGTGATAGATACGCGTAATTAAGAAAACGAAGTCACTCCAGGGTGGTAACGGTGTAAGAATCTACATCGAAACGTCGCTATATGCAAAGAACCAGAAGTTGTTATCCATAACGTTGTACGTTTTCTTAATTACTCACCAACATCCAGAATGCCAATCAAACAGTACTATGTATTGCATGTGTTGGAAAACCGGTGACATAGCTTTGTGGAAAGAGATGAGCTCTAAATTAAGAATGTAGAGTTTTACATGTAGACCATTCTAAAATCTACATTGTTTATGTTCTATTCCGTTGCAGGAAGTCCAGTCCGAATATCTCTGACTTCATGACCCAGATGGGCTACAAACCCGGCGAGTTCTACCGCCTGGAGCAGTACTTTAATGACAGGCTTCTTGACATCATTTCCGGTATGCGCAAACGGTATCTGGTGTGGCAGGACCCGATAGACAATGGCGGGAAGGTAAGACCATCTCTCAGCAACGTAACTCAAACATCAGAGATAAGATCAAGTCATCAGTGTATTTAAACAAAGTGCCAATAAACGGCAGGGTCCTTAAATCTGGTTATTATTGACATAAAGAACAGGGTATGACAGGGGCCTTGGTTTGTCTGCAGGATTAGGATAATGAGCAAAACATAGATATTGCCATATATGATGTGATCCTAACATTGAGAATCAGACTCTGAACAACTCCAAAACCTGGAGATGTGGCTAAACCGATAAGGTAGAATGTATACGTTTTCATTGGTATTTTTCTAATATTTGTCATTTGACCCAGGCTGATTCTCTCAGAAGTAGGTAAAACAGTACAACCAATGTCACAAAACAATGTCGCAACACTACTACCCTGCCCTACCCGGATATCCGCTATAGGTCTCAAGAGTTGGGTACATAATGTCCGAATGGGACTTGTTTTACCGCAGCCCTGGCAAAAACTATCTAGATACACGTATAAAACGATCTGATCATGCATACACTGCAGTTGATAGACGCTTTATCCACACTCGAACATATGAAAGTCAGAACGAATGCCTGCATAGTGAGAAAGAAATGTGAACATTAGCTATACTTGTTGTGTAACCATTGAGTTTCATTCTTAATGTCATTACAGTATATCACGTGACTAACCACGGGTCCGGGTAATCATGTGAGTACCCGGGTCCTACTCAGGACCCACCCGACCCGAGTACCCGAGTTACCCGTCCCAGCCCTCTGTCACAAGACGGTCCTATTGACTCACTTGAGACATACTGTTTCATCATGTCATTAGTGATACAATGTTAGTTGTCAATCATAACAACCTGCCCGATGACTGTCATGACAATACGTGAACTTTTTCAACAATCTGAAGTTAATTATCCTAGTTGACCCAAAAGAGCCCGAATCATGTCTCTTCCTTTAGATCTGATAGCACGTACGTGACCAACCATGGGATTAGGGACCTGATGGGTGAAAATCACATTTTGACTTTTCATTATATTTTAAAAATACAGCATCTCCGGAACACAAAAATTCAATTCACAGGCTACATTCATATTACAGAGATACATGGCATCACACATGGCACTCTTCACTGAAGTAGGTGGACGTTAAACGTCTTTATGACGTCATAGCACAATTGTATCCTAGCAACCACGTGGCCCCTTGTTACGGACCGCCCTGTGTTTGTTGTTGTCTGGTGACAAGGGGGCACGGTGGGGGCGACCGAACTCGCTGTGCAGAGTTGCGTCCCTTAGGTCTTCCATGATCGTGGGTTCGACTCTGGGTGCCTTGAATATTACTCTTGGTTTGTAGGCACCATACACGTTCTCACGGGTTTCACAAGAGATGTAAAACAGCTAAGACATACAACCCTTTGGGCTTTCTCGCCACACTAAACTGACCCGCTGTGACAGATCTGAAACATAAGCATTAAGTTATGATTCAAAACAGTAAGAATGAGAATCGGAGATTTTTGTATTCTCGTCATTCAGACGCCACGGTGCTTGTCTATTAACTCAATATTGATGATTAGAAGGAAGATGACATTAAGGTGTTAAGGTGATGTGAAATGGGCCTTAACGCTGCATCCACGATAATTGCAGTTATGTAGCGACGTGCATGCACGTGTGTGTGTGGCTGCGTGTACTTGTCCGGATTACTGATTTTAAGGTGCTAGCCCAGTGAGATTGTCGCAGTTAAACATGAATACCCCACTCAGACATATTATACTGACCTCAAGCCGACCAGTCCTTGTTTGAGCTCCTTAATGTCGAGCGCCAGGCAGAGCAACAGCAAGTACCATCTTTTAACGTTTTTTAGTATGACACGGCCAGGGATCGAACCCCCGACCTTCCGCTCTCCTTGCGGACACTCTACCACTAGACTACGGCGATAGTCTATAAAGGGTTACAGTGAGACAATGCAGAAATACCACACGTCACTGAAATATTCTCACTCACTCACTCCATATAGGTCGCCTCGAATGCACTCGTGCAAGTATGGAAAGACACCAAACAGTGGCCTGATGAGTTTGATGACTGGCAGACGTACCTTAGGCATGTAACAGAACAAGGTTATGACGTCATCTTCTCCTCGTGCTGGTATCTTAACGTCATCAGTTACGGCGAGGACTGGCTAGATTACTACAAGTGCGACCCCCTCGACTTCAACGGTAACCGCTAGAGACTCTCGCTACGACTCTCGTATTTCCCCCACTGTAACGCTGCGTCTCTCGCATTTCCCCACTTTAACGCTGCGACTCTCGTACTTGCCCCACCATAACGCTGCGACTCTCGTATTTCCCGCACTCATAATGCTACGTCTCTCGTATTTCCCCACTTTAAAGCTGCGACTCTCGTATTTCCCCCTCTCATAACGCTACGACTCTCGCATTTGCCCCACCATAAAGCTGCGACTCTCGTATTTGCCCCGCTATAAGGCTACGACTCTCGTACTTGCCCAACCATAACACTGCGACTCTCGTATTCCCCCACTTTAACGCTACGTTGCCCGTTTTTCCCCACTTTAACGCTACGTCTCTCGTATGTCCCCCACTTTTAACGCTACTACTGTTGAGTAAGCAGAGAGTAAGTGTTCAGTGGTTAATGATTCGAAACAGTAAGGAGATTCACGTCATTCAGACGTCAAGGTGCTTGTCTACTACCTCGATATACGCAAAACATAGTTTCTCTGATTGCAATGGAACAAAGCCGAAACGTCTCTACATAAATTCAACATCATGGTTTCAAACGTAGCACCTCATTTAGTGCACAACGTGTATGAAATATGGGGGAGTTTTTATCATCATGGAAGTTAAATTAAAGGAGTCATCTCTCTGTCACCAGGCACCGAGACCCAGCGGGGTCACGTGGTGGGGGGAGAGGCGTGTCTGTGGGCTGAGTACGTGGACGGCACCAACTTCCTCTCAAGATACTGGTGAGTGTCATACGGTGACATCGAAACTGACAGACCTCGGATGTGTGTGACATTCAATACTGACCGACCCGTTCTGAGGGGCCGTTCTATTATTTGTACTTAATTCTACGATATCACTAATTCACAAATTTGATTTAAAGGTTGTAGAATATGTTATCAGAATGTCACAATAGGCTGAAATATACAACAAACAGTCTTTAAACCTATTTTTAATAATTCATCACTGACAAATATTTTTTTGATATATGAAGATTAATATACTCTTCAAAAAAAGAAACGCAAAGCCAGATTTGTTTGAGGTATGAAAATACATTTATACAAGGAACCGTACAAGGTATTGAGCCAATATATTGTAGAGAGAACACTTGGTGATTGTAGTCATCTCAGTAATCGGTACATAGGAAAAGTGGAAGGTGAAGGTCAGCTACCACCAATAACGCGTATGTGCCACGTTAGAATCGAAAGCGGCTTGACATCCCCTGTCCATGGTTGACGTCGTCGTTGCCGTCTATCCAATTCATCCCACAGATGCTCTATCGGGTTCAAATCGGGGGGCCTGGAGGGCCGGGGAGAACATCAATGTTGTTGTTGTGTAGACAGGCTTTTGTGATCCGTGCTGTATACGGTCGAGCGTTGTCCTGATATAATACACCATTGCCATTTCCTGCAATTGGGAGGACGTGTGGTAGGAGAATGTCCTTGATGTATCGTTGAGCCGTAAGATTGCCCTGGATATGGACCAAACCTGTCTTGTCATGATGAGAGATATCCGCCCACATCATAACGTCTCCACCAAAACTGTCCACGTCCTGTACGCACTTTCCGGCGTAACGCTCTCCCCGACGTCTGTATGCCCGTGGTCTTCCATCCCCTCGACGGGGAGAAATCTTGATTCGTCGCTGAAGCAGACATCTCTTCATCGCAGTTGAGGCCATACCCTGTGTCGACAACACCAATGCAGTCATTGTTGACGATGTCGACTCAATAGGACGCGTCGAACAGGACGCTACGTCTCTCGTATGTCCCCCACTTTTAACGCTACTACTGTTGAGTAAGCAGAGAGTAAGTGTTCAGTGGTTAATGATTCGAAACAGTAAGGAGATTCACGTCATTCAGACGTCAAGGTGCTTGTCTACTACCTCGATATACGCAAAACATAGTTTCTCTGATTGCAATGGAACAAAGCCGAAACGTCTCTACATAAATTCAACATCATGGTTTCAAACGTAGCACCTCATTTAGTGCACAACGTGTATGAAATATGGGGGAGTTTTTATCATCATGGAAGTTAAATTAAAGGAGTCATCTCTCTGTCACCAGGCACCGAGACCCAGCGGGGTCACGTGGTGGGGGGAGAGGCGTGTCTGTGGGCTGAGTACGTGGACGGCACCAACTTCCTCTCAAGATACTGGTGAGTGTCATACGGTGACATCGAAACTGACAGACCTCGGATGTGTGTGACATTCAATACTGACCGACCCGTTCTGAGGGGCCGTTCTATTATTTGTACTTAATTCTACGATATCACTAATTCACAAATTTGATTTAAAGGTTGTAGAATATGTTATCAGAATGTCACAATAGGCTGAAATATACAACAAACAGTCTTTAAACCTATTTTTAATAATTCATCACTGACAAATATTTTTTTGATATATGAAGATTAATATACTCTTCAAAAAAAGAAACGCAAAGCCAGATTTGTTTGAGGTATGAAAATACATTTATACAAGGAACCGTACAAGGTATTGAGCCAATATATTGTAGAGAGAACACTTGGTGATTGTAGTCATCTCAGTAATCGGTACATAGGAAAAGTGGAAGGTGAAGGTCAGCTACCACCAATAACGCGTATGTGCCACGTTAGAATCGAAAGCGGCTTGACATCCCCTGTCCATGGTTGACGTCGTCGTTGCCGTCTATCCAATTCATCCCACAGATGCTCTATCGGGTTCAAATCGGGGGGCCTGGAGGGCCGGGGAGAACATCAATGTTGTTGTTGTGTAGACAGGCTTTTGTGATCCGTGCTGTATACGGTCGAGCGTTGTCCTGCTGAAATACACCCTTGCCATTTCCTGCAATTGGGAGGACGTGTGGTAGGAGAATGTCCTTGATGTATCGTTGAGCCGTAAGATTGCCCTGGATATGGACCAAACCTGTCTTGTCATGATGAGAGATATCCGCCCACATCATAACGTCTCCACCAAAACTGTCCACGTCCTGTACGCACTTTCCGGCGTAACGCTCTCCCCGACGTCTGTATGCCCGTGGTCTTCCACCCCCTCGACGGGGAGAAATCTTGATTCGTCGCTGAAGCAGACATCTCTTCATCGCAGTTGAGGCCATACCCTGTGTCGACAACACCAATGCAGTCATTGTTGACGATGTCGACTCAATAGGACGCGTCGAACAGGACGCCTTGCTCGTCGACCTGCTGCTCTTAAACGGTTTCGTACGGTCTGGTCGGAGATTCTGCGCTTTCCGGGTATTTGGGATGCGGTTGAGGTGGCTGTAGTCGTCCTTTCACGTAGGTGGCGCAGTCGGATGTAGCGATCTTGGGCGGGGTTGATTACTCTTGGTCGTTCCGAACTTGGCCGATTACGTGTTGACCCATGCTGTTGAAATTGATCCCATTGCCTTGTAATGGTGCTGGGCGCTGCATTGAAAACCCTGGCTACAGCTGATCGGGTTCCCCCTGCCTGCAAGCGACCCGTGACGTTGTTTCTTTGCACTTGTGTTAATCTTGGCATGTTGTTGAACTGTCACTGTTCGATTGACGCAGATGCCAGGCAATCAAAACCCCTGCACTTTAATACTGTCATAGTGCTGCTGCGTGCAGCTCCATGGCCCTTTTGTTAATGCACTGGGTGCGTTTTTCCGAATCCTACCTGTTTCCCGACTTATGGTTTGCATGTCCTTGTTGTTATCATTTTGATCCGGGAAATTTGTCACTGACACTAAAACACATAAAACCTCTTCATTTTGCACCTCTTGGTCCGCTACTTTTGCTTTTATGGCCAGAAATATCCGATGTGCGTTTCTTTTTTTTTGAAGAGTATATATATTGAAGATACCACTGTTTAATAACACATCTTTGGTATTACACAGTGTTTAATACCAAAGTGCGTGTTCGTGTATTGCAGGAATGAGTTTCACAACAAAACTCTAAACATTCCTGGGCTTCTTCAGTGACATAGTTTGTAGAGATGATAAATCACTGAGAAGAGCTTATGCACCCTGATGGGAGCATAGAATCTAATCGCCACTGAACGGGTTCTTCAGCCTAATGCTAGTTGTAGGTGATACACTTTGGCCATTGACACATAATTCAGTACACTGTCTTGAATGGTTTATTTTATAACTTCAGCATAGATTGATGAATACATTCTTGATTCAGTCTTGAAACATTGTGACTGATATTTTGTATTATGTCTCTCCTTCAAATTCTTTTACTGGCCCTTTAATTGTAAGGCCTATTGTTGACAGGTACAAGTTATAATAAAAACAAATGTGAAATATTACAACTTGTAACTAAGGTAGTAAGTACACGTTATTACCAACAGTATTTTCCGGATTTTAAACGAAACATCTCTGATACACACTTCAACCTTTTCAACATGCAATTTACCCTTTTTTCACCATTTATATTTGTTATAGCATTGCTAGTTATGATTTACATGTTGTTCCTTATATATTTTGTTAATACTTACAAATTTTATGGGCCCTTTACACCCTACACAAGTTCATGTCATATTCTGTTTACATCCACGTGCTTGTCCATGCACTGACTAAAACCCGGATAATTAACCAGGAAAACCAAAGAAAGTAGAGAAATTAAATGAAGCTCTCATAAAAGAACTAAAGTGACTTTTCCTCACAAGTGGTAGCCTACAATAGTAAAGGGGTGATTGATCGTAAAGGGGATCCAAGGGCTAAGGATAGAGTTCGGGGTAACCTACCCTGACACAATTAACTAACCCTAAGGAGAGAAGGTAAGTTAAGCCAGAGACAGCCAATTATAGAACAGAACCAACCTCTTATTGACCTGCTGACGTCAAAATGCATTGTTTCGCAGGTGTATCTTGCAACAAAAAATCACAAATTACGTATTACGTATTGTGACGTGTTCGTAAACTTTGGGGTGCTGGGACCCTTTCCACAAGGCGATCTTAGCGCAGCGACAGTCGTAAGTCTATGTCAATATATGGGGGTTACGATCACCTTAGCGCTACGATAGATGTGTGGAACGGACCCCTGAATTCTAAATGTAGGCCACTGTATGGTATTAAATTAATTCGTGTCACGTTTTCATGTATTTGAAGTTTACCTTATTTAAAACTGTAAACATCAAATTGAAAATAAAATGGAGGAATAATGTCGGATGCAATTAACGACAACTCTCTCACAAAGAATAATGATAACCGAAAAGTGGTATGTCCTCCATACTGAGAACCAAGCTCTGCTCCCAGGCCACGTGCGTCCGCTGTGGCCGAGCGTCTGTGGAGCCCGGGGTCCGTGACGGACGTCAACGCCGCCAGGTTCAGAATTGACCAGCAGAGATGTCGCATGGTCAGGTAAGACAGCATGTGACATAAAATTACAATAGTATGTACCGTCGCAGCGGTAGAAACTAACAGTTTTAGTCCACTAGATAACATATAGCAAAGCCCTTAAAAGGGCAAGATTCTACTGGTTCTTATGATACCTTAATTACTGAGCAGTTTGGCAAGGACTTAGAACTAGTGCCAATTTCTAACGCTGCCGTCGGTACACTTTGTTCAAAACTGTTGTGTCATCATGGTGTTATTAAAAAAAATTAATTCGTGCGTCTTTTCTTTTCATTATTGTCATTGCTCTGATATGACCAAGCTTTTCGTTTTTATTGAGATGAGTTTTTTTGGAGTACAGTGAAGTCCCGTTACTCCGGTGGGTGTCGTCCAGATATAAACGTTTTCGGATTGAGACATTATAAAGTTTCTCTGTAACAGTTACCTCCCAATAATAGGTTACTCCTGCAGCCTGACACATCAATTATTCACGAAGTCCAAAAGTGCTAATATCTCACTACAAGGAAATTGGGTCAACGTTGCCAGCATAGCGATATGCTGTATGAGGGAAAATGTCAGATAGAGCTAGACTGCTACCCTGCCCTTCACCTCCTGGCGGCTGCAGGCGAGGAGCGAAAGCGCTCTAGGGCTCTAGTCGTGCAAACCAGTCTAGGACAGAGCGTGGCTCCCTGTTATGATTGTGCCAAAATAACACAAACGTGTTTAGTATAATAATTTACAGATAGTAATGTTTGAAAAATATTTTCATTAATATTAATGTATTTGGTCCGTACGCATATCATTAAACACATGTGAGACAAAGAAAGGTTCTTTTAAAAGTTTGGTTACATCTTTCCGACTATTACTCAACCCCATGTAATTTTCTCAAACCGAAATAAATCTTGGCAGATTTTGATTCGTCCGGTCATTCCTGACTCTAATCCCGTGTTGTTTTCAGGCGAGGTATTCCTGCACAGCCCATTCTCCCCGGGTACTGCGGCGACTACGACTTCGGATTTCAGCCGGAACTGGAACCAGCGCAACGGACTGACAAAGCAGCCTGTACCGGAAGCTCTGACATCGCCATCTTGAATATATATTTACTCATCGCAACAGTTCTGAATTCAGCACATTTGGCTACATCTAACTGGATGGTAATATATTCCTGACATCCTTTAACGATAAAACTGGGATAAGAAGGAACAGTTTACGCACAATACACTCCGTGAGCTTGTCCTGTGTATTGTAATGGACGCAATACGGGGTGTATTTTGAGATTTGGCTATTCGTTTTTTGTAAACGACCGTGTTGTGATACATTTACAATCAGTATACCTAATGATCCACAAAACGTACGATTGTATATTTAGTCAGTTGCTTAAAGGTGGGGTGCGAACTTCTGCGAATGGGATGCGAATATGTGAAGGGGTGATTTGGGTTGAAAGCCGTTCATTTTATATATCACAGCGTGTCAGCTTGATGCGAGAGGAAAGCCTCAAGTTACTATAACTATTGAGTGAGTGAGTTTGGGTTTACACCGCTTTTAGCAATATTCCAGCAATAGCACGGCGGGGGACACTAGAAATACGCTCCACACATTGTAACCACGTGGAGAATCGAACCTGGGTCTTCGGCGTGACGAGCGAAAGCTACCCCACCGCCCCACGTCGTGTATTGAGCGATCTACAGATCATAGATCAAAGTTTGTAAGTTAGAGACCTGAGACCACTGCACCCCCTGGCCCCACCCACCCACCACGCACCCCTGGACCCACTGAAAAAATGAAAAACAAATGGACATAACAATAAACAAATATCCGAAGATAATCCGTTTTATTTTATGCGACTCATGCCCCGCGCAGCCTCCCCGTCACTGGGACAACACACGGACACGGCGAGCAAGGTGATACAGAGAATATGTTCATCCCAGTTGATAATAAACGTATTCACCACTGTAGCGAATGCGGCTCTGATCCGTTGTTGAATGTTGATCGACCCCGCACTCCGCTGGATCTGCGTATGGATAGAGTCTGCACGGCCAGATCCTGGGATATATACGATATATCCCTCCACTGTATATATGAAGTATTCTGTCTCTGACAAAACATCACAGCACTATGTAACACCTCTTCCTGGTACACGGGATAACAGAGTGAGAAATAGTTTTACAAAAAGTTTTGCGGAATAGCAATCAGATTGAGTGAGTTTTGAAGTGGAACAGAAGTTCATTTCAACATGTTAGAACAAGATGCTTTCGTCCATACATCTAATTCAGGAGAAGCAGCAGAACACACTGTCCTCGTCCTCTTGTCCGCGTCTTTCGGTCTGCGGCTGTAGCCATCAAACAACCCACAAGGGTCGCAGCACGATCAGGTTCAGTTCCCCATAATGCCGCAGTAGTGTCGATGGAGGCACTCAATTTACTCACAGCAAGATGACGCAATCTCATTCACTCACTCACACATTCGCTCACCCAATCTCATGACTACATGTTGGTAAGCATTCGAGCCCACCTATTCCAGACACACCTTGATAAACATCGCCATAGTAGGTCCCACCCTCTCACTCGGACACCATACTGCTAGCACCCACTCACCCTCTCACTCGGACACCATACTGCTAGCACTCACCCTATCACTCACTCGGACACCATACTGCTAGCACTCACCCTCTCACTCGGACACCATACTGCTAGCACTCACCCTCTCACTCGGACACCATACTGCTAGCACTCACCCTCTCACTCGGACACCATACTGCTAGCACTCACTCACTCACTCACTCGGACACCATACTGCTAGCACTCACCCTCTCACTCACTCGGACACCATACTGCTAGCACTCACCCTCTCACTCACTCGGACACCATACTGCTAGCACTCACCCTCTCACTCGGACAACATACTGCTAGCACTCACTCACTCACTCACTCGGACACCATACTGCTAGCACTCACCCACCTTCTCACTCGGACACAATACTGCTAGCACTCACTCACTCACTCACTCGGACACCATACTGCTAGCACTCACCCTCTCACTCGGACACCATACTGCTAGCACTCACCCTCTCACTCGGACACCATACTGCTAGCACTCACTCACTCACTCACTCGGACACCATACTGCTAGCACTCACCCTCTCACTCGGACACCATACTGCTAGCACTCACCCTCTCACTCGGACACCATACTGCTAGCACTCACTCACTCACTCACTCGGACACCATACTGCTAGCACTCACCCTCTCACTCGGACACCATACTGCTAGCACTCACCCTCTCACTCACTCGGACACCATACTGCTAGCACTCACCCTCTCACTCGGACAACATACTGCTAGCACTCACTCACTCACTCACTCGGACACCATACTGCTAGCACTCACCCACCTTCTCACTCGGACACAATACTGCTAGCACTCACTCACTCACTCACTCGGACACCATACTGCTAGCACTCACCCTCTCACTCGGACACCATACTGCTAGCACTCACTCACTCACTCACTCGGACACCATACTGCTAGCACTCAATTTACTCACAGCAAGATGACGCAATCTCATTCACTCACTCACACATTCGCTCACCCAATCTCATGACTACATGTTGGTAAGCATTCGAGCCCACCTATTCCAGACACACCTTGATAAACATCGCCATAGTAGGTCCCACCCTCTCACTCGGACACCATACTGCTAGCACCCACTCACCCTCTCACTCGGACACCATACTGCTAGCACTCACCCTATCACTCACTCGGACACCATACTGCTAGCACTCACCCTCTCACTCGGACACCATACTGCTAGCACTCACCCTCTCACTCGGACACCATACTGCTAGCACTCACCCTCTCACTCGGACACCATACTGCTAGCACTCACTCACTCACTCACTCGGACACCATACTGCTAGCACTCACCCTCTCACTCACTCGGACACCATACTGCTAGCACTCACCCTCTCACTCACTCGGACACCATACTGCTAGCACTCACCCTCTCACTCGGACAACATACTGCTAGCACTCACTCACTCACTCACTCGGACACCATACTGCTAGCACTCACCCACCTTCTCACTCGGACACAATACTGCTAGCACTCACTCACTCACTCACTCGGACACCATACTGCTAGCACTCACCCTCTCACTCGGACACCATACTGCTAGCACTCACCCTCTCACTCGGACACCATACTGCTAGCACTCACTCACTCACTCACTCGGACACCATACTGCTAGCACTCACCCTCTCACTCGGACACCATACTGCTAGCACTCACCCTCTCACTCGGACACCATACTGCTAGCACTCACTCACTCACTCACTCGGACACCATACTGCTAGCACTCACCCTCTCACTCGGACACCATACTGCTAGCACTCACCCTCTCACTCACTCGGACACCATACTGCTAGCACTCACCCTCTCACTCGGACAACATACTGCTAGCACTCACTCACTCACTCACTCGGACACCATACTGCTAGCACTCACCCACCTTCTCACTCGGACACAATACTGCTAGCACTCACTCACTCACTCACTCGGACACCATACTGCTAGCACTCACCCTCTCACTCGGACACCATACTGCTAGCACTCACTCACTCACTCACTCGGACACCATACTGCTAGCACTCACCCTCTCACTCGGACACCATACTGCTAGCACTCACCCTCTCACTCACTCGGACACCATACTGCTAGCACTCACCCTCTCACTCGGACACCATACTGCTAGCACTCACTCACTCACTCGGACACCATACTGCTAGCACTCACTCACTCACTCGGACACCATACTGCTAGCACTCACCCTCTCACTCACTCGGACACCATACTGCTAGCACTCACCCTCTCACTCGGACACCATACTGCTAGCACTCACTCACTAACTCGGACACCATACTGCTAGCACTCACCCTCTCACTCAGACACCATACTGCTAGCACTCACTCACCCTCTCACTCGGACACCATACTGCTAGCACTCACTCACCCTCTCACTCGGACACCATACTGCTAGCACTCACCCTCTCACTCGGACACCATACTGCTAGCACTCACCCTCTCACTCGGACAACATACTGCTAGCACTCACCCTCTCACTCGGACACCATACTGCTAGCACTCACTCACTCACTCGGACACCATACTGCTAGCACTCACTCACTCACTCGGACACCATACTGCTAGCACTCACCCTCTCACTCGGACACCATACTGCTAGCACTCACTCACCCTCTCACTCGGACACCATACTGCTAGCACTCACCCTCTCACTCGGACAACATACTGCTAGCACTCACTCACTCACTCACTCGGACACCATACTGCTAGCACTCACTCACCCTCTCACTCGGACACCATACTGCTAGCACTCACCCTCTCACTCGGACACCATACTGCTAGCACTCACCCTCTCACTCGGACACCATACTGCTAGCACTCACTCACTCACTCACTCGGACACCATACTGCTAGCACTCACTCACCCTCTCACTCGGACACCATACTGCTAGCACTCACCCTCTCACTCGGACACCATACTGCTAGCACTCACTCACTCACTCGGACACCATACTGCTAGCACTCACCCTCTCACTCGGACACCATACTGCTAGCACTCACCCTCTCACTCGGACACCATACTGCTAGCACTCACCCTCTCACTCAGACACCATACTGCTAGCACTCACTCACTCACTCACTCGGACACCATACTGCTAGCACTCACCCTCTCACTCGGACACCATACTGCTAGCACTCACTCACTCACTCACTCGGACACCATACTGCTAGCACTCACCCTCTCACTCGGACACCATACTGCTAGCAGTCACCCTCTCACTCGGACACCATACTGCTAGCACTCACTCGGACACCATACTGCTAGCACTCACCCTCTCACTCAGACACCATACTGCTAGCACTCACCCTCTTACTCGAACACCATACTGCTAGCACTCACCCTCTCACTCGGACAACATACTGCTAGCACTCACTCACTCACTCACTCGGACACCATACTGCTAGCACTCACCCACCTTCTCACTCGGACACAATACTGCTAGCACTCACTCACTCACTCACTCGGACACCATACTGCTAGCACTCACCCTCTCACTCGGACACCATACTGCTAGCACTCACTCACTCACTCACTCGGACACCATACTGCTAGCACTCAATTTACTCACAGCAAGATGACGCAATCTCATTCACTCACTCACACATTCGCTCACCCAATCTCATGACTACATGTTGGTAAGCATTCGAGCCCACCTATTCCAGACACACCTTGATAAACATCGCCATAGTAGGTCCCACCCTCTCACTCGGACACCATACTGCTAGCACCCACTCACCCTCTCACTCGGACACCATACTGCTAGCACTCACCCTATCACTCACTCGGACACCATACTGCTAGCACTCACCCTCTCACTCGGACACCATACTGCTAGCACTCACCCTCTCACTCGGACACCATACTGCTAGCACTCACCCTCTCACTCGGACACCATACTGCTAGCACTCACTCACTCACTCACTCGGACACCATACTGCTAGCACTCACCCTCTCACTCACTCGGACACCATACTGCTAGCACTCACCCTCTCACTCACTCGGACACCATACTGCTAGCACTCACCCTCTCACTCGGACAACATACTGCTAGCACTCACTCACTCACTCACTCGGACACCATACTGCTAGCACTCACTCACCTTCTCACTCGGACACAATACTGCTAGCACTCACTCACTCACTCACTCGGACACCATACTGCTAGCACTCACCCTCTCACTCGGACACCATACTGCTAGCACTCACCCTCTCACTCGGACACCATACTGCTAGCACTCACTCACTCACTCACTCGGACACCATACTGCTAGCACTCACCCTCTCACTCGGACACCATACTGCTAGCACTCACCCTCTCACTCGGACACCATACTGCTAGCACTCACTCACTCACTCACTCGGACACCATACTGCTAGCACTCACCCTCTCACTCGGACACCATACTGCTAGCACTCACCCTCTCACTCACTCGGACACCATACTGCTAGCACTCACCCTCTCACTCGGACAACATACTGCTAGCACTCACTCACTCACTCACTCGGACACCATACTGCTAGCACTCACCCACCTTCTCACTCGGACACAATACTGCTAGCACTCACTCACTCACTCACTCGGACACCATACTGCTAGCACTCACCCTCTCACTCGGACACCATACTGCTAGCACTCACTCACTCACTCACTCGGACACCATACTGCTAGCACTCACCCTCTCACTCGGACACCATACTGCTAGCACTCACCCTCTCACTCACTCGGACACCATACTGCTAGCACTCACCCTCTCACTCGGACACCATACTGCTAGCACTCACTCACTCACTCGGACACCATACTGCTAGCACTCACTCACTCACTCGGACACCATACTGCTAGCACTCACCCTCTCACTCACTCGGACACCATACTGCTAGCACTCACCCTCTCACTCGGACACCATACTGCTAGCACTCACTCACTAACTCGGACACCATACTGCTAGCACTCACCCTCTCACTCAGACACCATACTGCTAGCACTCACTCACCCTCTCACTCGGACACCATACTGCTAGCACTCACTCACCCTCTCACTCGGACACCATACTGCTAGCACTCACCCTCTCACTCGGACACCATACTGCTAGCACTCACCCTCTCACTCGGACAACATACTGCTAGCACTCACCCTCTCACTCGGACACCATACTGCTAGCACTCACTCACTCACTCGGACACCATACTGCTAGCACTCACTCACTCACTCGGACACCATACTGCTAGCACTCACCCTCTCACTCGGACACCATACTGCTAGCACTCACTCACCCTCTCACTCGGACACCATACTGCTAGCACTCACCCTCTCACTCGGACAACATACTGCTAGCACTCACTCACTCACTCACTCGGACACCATACTGCTAGCACTCACTCACCCTCTCACTCGGACACCATACTGCTAGTACTCACCCTCTCACTCGGACACCATACTGCTAGCACTCACCCTCTCACTCGGACACCATACTGCTAGCACTCACTCACTCACTCACTCGGACACCATACTGCTAGCACTCACTCACCCTCTCACTCGGACACCATACTGCTAGCACTCACCCTCTCACTCGGACACCATACTGCTAGCACTCACTCACTCACTCGGACACCATACTGCTAGCACTCACCCTCTCACTCGGACACCATACTGCTAGCACTCACCCTCTCACTCGGACACCATACTGCTAGCACTCACCCTCTCACTCAGACACCATACTGCTAGCACTCACTCACTCACTCACTCGGACACCATACTGCTAGCACTCACCCTCTCACTCGGACACCATACTGCTAGCACTCACTCACTCACTCACTCGGACACCATACTGCTAGCACTCACCCTCTCACTCGGACACCATACTGCTAGCAGTCACCCTCTCACTCGGACACCATACTGCTAGCACTCACTCGGACACCATACTGCTAGCACTCACCCTCTCACTCAGACACCATACTGCTAGCACTCACCCTCTTACTCGAACACCATACTGCTAGCACTCACTCACCCTCTCACTCGGACACCATACTGCTAGCACTCACCCTCTCACTCAGACACCATACTGCTAGCACTCACCCTCTTACTCGAACACCATACTGCTAGCACTCACTCACCCTCTCACTCGGACACCATACTGCTAGCACTCACCCACCCTCTCACTCGGACACCATACTAATAGCACTCACGCACTCAGACCACATTACAGCTAGATAGCGCTAGCTCAATCACTCACTCAGACAACCATACTATGAGATATTATATATATTTCTGTTAACCTAATATGACACCGTACACGGCAACTAAAGACACCATAACGAATTTATTATGCCGAAACCGGTATAAATGACAAAGAGTACATATGTTTCCGATACAACGCTTTAATGTAAACATAAACGTAAACAATGGAATATATTATGCACTTCATGTGAACGTTTAAACAAGTATTATAGCTAAAATGGATACAATTATCATAAAAATGCCCGCATGAGATCAGAAATCTGGAGGTCACTGTAACTTGATAGCAGTCCTCTTTTCCCTAACGACAGGGTGCTATCTGTTCGCTTGTTTGTGACGTCATCCTATATGATGTTCTATGACGTTGCTATGTGTCGTGACCTCCACTGTGAGCCTTTTTTTCTCTACAGTATTTAGTAATAAAGTGGTTTCTTTAAAAGTAAATGTCTCTGCACATCACAAATGATATTAAAACACAAAACAGTGTGGTATAACGAATTTCTGTACCAGAATTCTCATGTGAAATATGCGAGGTGGGTGTTGTAAAATCCCAAATGGCCGTTACTGGCGATATAAGGTCTCATATTAGGTCAGTAACAACCATCTTGGAGTTTTACTGACGGTATAGGATAAATGAAGCCGTCCCACTCACTGGCCCAGCTAGATGACGCCCTCTCTCACACAGCTAGATTACCCCCTCTCACTCGCACAGTTAGATTGCGCCAGTTGACTCACTCATACAACCAGCTTGTATTGATGACGTCAGTTGGCTCACTTAGCTAGATGACGTCAATTGACTCACTCATACAACCAGATCACGCCAGTTGACTCACACAGCTTGTATTGATGACGCCAGTTGATTCACTCACTCACACAGATAGATGACCCCAGTTGACTAACTCAGCTAGATGACGCCAGTTGATTCACTCACACAGATAGATGACGCCAGTTGACTCACTCACACAGGAAGATGACGCCAGTTGACTCACTCACACAGCTAGATGACGCCAGTTGACTCACTCACACAGGTAGATGACGCCAGTTGACTCACTCACACAGGAAGATGACGCCAGTTGACTCACTCACACAGGTAGATGACGCCAGTTGACTCACTCACACAGGTAGATGACGCCAGTTGACTCACACACAGGTAGATGACGCCAGTTGATTCACTCACACAGATAGATGACGCCAGTTGATTCACTCACACAGATAGATGACGCCAGTTGACTCACTCACACAGCTAGTTGACGCCAGTTGATTCACTCACACAGGTAGATGACACCAGTTGACTCACTCACACAGCTAGATGACGCCAGTTGACTCACTCACACAGGTAGATGACGCCAGTTGACTCACTCACACAGATAGATGACGCCAGTTGACTCACTCACACAGATAGATGACGCCAGTTGACTCACTCACACAGGTAGATGACGCCAGTTGATTCACTCACACAGCTAGATGACGCCAGTTGACTCACCCAGCTAGATGACGCCAGTTGACTCACTCACACAGATAGATGACGCCAGTTGACTCACTCACACAGGTAGATGACGCCAGTTGACTCACTCACACAGCTAGATGACGCCAGTTGACTCACTCACACAGCTAGATGACGCCAGTTGATTCACTCACACAGCTAGATGACGCCAGTTGACTCACCCAGCTAGATGACGCCAGTTGACTCACTCACACAGATAGATGACGCCAGTTGACTCACCCAGCTAGATGACGCCAGTTGACTCACTCACACAGCTAGATGACGCCAGTTGATTCACTCACACAGGTAGATGACGCCAGTTGACTCACTCAGCTAGATGACGCCAGTTGACTCACTCACACAGCTAGATGACGCCAGTTGACTTACTCAGCTAGATGACGCCAGTTGATTCACTCACACAGGTAGATGACGTCAGTTGACTCACTCACACAGCTAGATGACGCCAGTTGACTCACTCACACAGGTAGATAACGCCAGTTGACTCACTCATACAACCAGCTAGTATTGATGACGTCATTGACACACTTAGCTAGATGACACCAGTTGATTCACTCACACAGGTAGATGACGTCAGTTGACTCACTCACACAGCTAGATGACGCCAGTTGACTCACTCACACAGGTAGATGACGCCAGTTGACTCACTCACACAGGTAGATGACGCCAGTTGACTCACTCACACAGGTAGATGACGCCAGTTGATTCACTCACACAGCTAGATGACGTCAGTTGACTCACTCACACAGGTAGATGACGCCAGTTGACTCACTCACACAGGAAGATGACGTCATCTCACTCACTCACTCACTCACGCTGTTAGATGACGCCTGCCGCCCTCAGACAGTACTGCGCCAGGACGGGGTCGGTGTTGACGGCGATCGCCATGGCCAGCCGCAGCTGCAGGGGCGACACAGGACCACCACCCGTCACGTGACTAGATCCTGGACAGTCCATTGCGTCACACATGTGATGACGCAGTTCCTGCGCGCGTGCCTCTGGTGTCGTCTGTCGTTTCCATTTAGTTCTGCAAAAGACAAGTTCGAGCAATTACTAACAGATGTCATGAATCACCATGGAACAGCGTTATTGCAGTCACTCTCAACATCAGTCATAGTACAAAATCTTGTCTTTGGATCATATTCACTGTTCTGTCGCCAGCTTTCACCTTGTGTTCTGCATGGTACCTTGGTTCTCTGACAAAGACAGTGTTCTGTCGCTAGCTCTCACCTTGTGTTCTGCATGGTACCTTGGTTCTCTGACAAAGACAGTGTTCTGTCGCCAGCTTTCACCTTGTGTTCTGCATGGTACCTTGGTTCTCTGACAGATTCAGTGTTCAGTCGCCAGCTCTCACCTTGTGTTCTGCATGGTACCTTGGTTCTCTGACAAATTCAGTGTTCAGTCGCCAGCTCTGACCTGGTCCCACTTGCACAAAGCGATCTTAACGCCACGACTATCTTAAGTATGTGTTAAAGTATGAGAGTTACGATCGAAGCACTAAGATGGACCCTTTGTTCAAGTGGGCCCTATTCTGGTACCTCGGTCTCGAGTCGCTCGCTCTCACCTTGTGTTCTGCATGGTACCTTGGTTCTCTGTCAAATTCAGTGTTCTGTCGCTAGCTCTCACCTTGTGTTCTGCATGGTACCTTGGTTCTCTGACAAATTCAGTGTTCTGTCGCTAGCTCTCACCTTGTGTTCTGCATGGTACCTTGGTTCTCTGACAAATTCAGTGTTCTGTCGCTAGCTCTCACCTTGTGTTCTGCATTGTACCTTGGTTCTCTGACAAATTCAGTGTTCTGTCGCTAGCTCTCACCTTGTGTTCTGCATGGTACCTTGGTTCTCTGACAAATTCAGTGTTCTGTCGCTAGCTCTCACCTTGTGTTCTGCATGGTACCTTGGTTCTCTGACAAATTCAGTGTTCTGTCGCTAGCTCTCACCTTGTGTTCTGCATGGTACCTTGGTTCTCTGACAAATTCAGTGTTCTGTCGCTAGCTCTCACCTTGTGTTCTGCATGGTACCTTGGTTCTCTGACAAATTCAGTGTTCTGTCGCTAGCTCTCACCTTGTGTTCTGCATGGTACCTTGGTTCTCTGACAAATTCAGTGTTCTGTCGCTAGCTCTCACCTTGTGTTCTGCATGGTACCTTGGTTCTCTGACAAATTCAGTGTTCTGTCGCTAGCTCTCACCTCCTGTTCTGGTACCAGGTCTTGACTTGGGTCTCCGACAGATCCAGTTTTCTGGAGACTTCCGCTCTGTCGCTGACACTGAGGTATTTCTGACAGCGGAACTTCTTCTCCAAATATTGCAGCTGGGGATTGGTGAACGCCGTCCTCCGGCGACGTTGACATTTGGCTCTGTGCAACGATGCAAACGACAGATCAGTCGTCTGCAGCTCCAGTCTGTCCGACTCCGTTGATGAATCTAAAGTGGGAGAATCTGAAACAGTTCACGTTCGTGACAGTTTATAACAGTCTTGCCAAAGAAAACAACTAACGTGTGTTCAAAAACAACAAACAGGTATGACATTTGTCTCTTGAGCACACTAAAATATCGACTAGCAGAAGTATGAGTAGTTGCACAGTACGATTCGACAGAGAATTTTGAAAATGAGTGAGTGAGGATGGTTTTACACGCTTTTAGCATTATTCCAGCAATATCACAACGGCTTGAGCGTGATTTTGAAAATGAGGAGTCAACCGCTTTTGTGATTCGAATCCTGGTTCGCCCCGATTATGTTTCTAGGTTTGTCAGTGCCCCGTCCGTCCTCGTGGGTTTCACTAAAGTAGTTAACGTCTGAAACCTGCATCACTTCGGGCTTTCCTCCAACATTAAGCTGACACGCCGCGATATAACTGGAATACTGTCAAAAAACAGCGTTAACCCCAACTCTCTTATTTTTGTGCAATTTATAAGGCGTAACGATAAGCTGAACGTCTTCTATACTACGATATCCTGTGACGCGATATCGTGTCAAGGTCAAGTATCGATAAAAATCGATATGTGTAATTGTGACATATAACTTGTAATTAAAGAAATATCGGTCCACTTTTTCATTAATTAACCCAATCTACTAAATGTAAATGTTGAGCTATTTATTCCCTTTCATGATGGAACGTGTCTTCTTGCAGATATACATCGGATCGTATAAATAGAACGATCACACATTAGCTAAACCAATTGAACACAGCTCCGTTCTAAAATTTACAAAACAAAACGTAACAAAACGTATAAAGAATGAAAGAAAAAATAGAATCCTATATATTATTTCAATAATTAATGTTGATTAAAAGGGTATTGTTTTCAAAAGTCTCGAATTAAAGTCACAACAAAGTTGAGATTTTCTTCTGTTTATTAAAACATTAACAAACGGAAAATTAATGTAAATTCACAAAGGTGCTTATTAATGCTTAGAAATAAATAAACAAAACAAAACATCATGCTTCAAAGAATGCCAGTACATGTTCGCCGTTTTGGGGGACGCCCTCCTGTCAACGACTACTACAACAGCCGCGCCATCTGGGGCACTAATTCCTTTTGATTGACATCTCTCGTCTTAACTACCAGATACTTCCGCTTCACTGCACCTCATCACTCCTCCATTTGTTCATCACTTAGCGCTAACGCGGAGTAATACACACGCATTATTGGCCAATCAGGGGATAAGCGTTTCCGAGTGTTTTTAAGATAAGTCCGGATTAGTGAGAAAGTATAGGGGAATGTGATTGTTGACAGTGACGGTAACGTCGACAGCGACTACATGGTTGTGAAGTGGCTTCAGATACAGGGTGTTGATGCTTACAGAGTCATATAATACTTGACCACGCTATGTGTTGACTTTAAACCCTTAAGGACTATATTTGGGTATCTGGTGAGGTCTTAAACGTTAGTATAACGTGGATATACTTTATATGTTTGAATACCCTTCCGATAGTATGAACAACAAATTCTAAATTTGAGTCAAATAGAGAGTGGTGTGAGTGGTTGAAAGAGTGAGTGGGTTTTAGTTGGTTGGGTGGTTGGTGAGTGAGTGAGTGGTTTAGTGAGTGAGTGAGTGAGGGGTCACAGGTTCAAGTTATTTCCTATGAAGGTAAGACAAACGGAGGGAAATCGAAACCAGATCCCTGCAGAATCGTCTGGCCTAACTCTGGCATTCTTGTCTGACACAGATACATAGCCGACGTTCACAGGGTAAAGAGTTTCCCTGTAGCCGGTACAAGCAGTGTTTAACATCACACCCGCGTAACCCTGGGATACCAGGTATTGAGGACAATCGGAGTAACAAGTGTACACGGATTATCAGCCCCGCCTGCGGCGACTTACATCATTCAGTCACAATTCACAGATGAGCTGTAATCCCAGGGTGCACCACGAGCACATGGTCACTGAGGAGGACGTAACGTAACGAAGTTACACCACAGCCAGCCTTGTGTCCTGGCGGGAAGGCAGCGTCAATTAGCGACGTTTAACAAAAATACAAAAAGGATATTTAATAATCTGTTAATATCATGATCCGAGTTGAGCTTCACCCTTCATTGAACGACCCGTGAAGATCCGGGTTAGAATAGGTCTTCAGCAACCCATGCTTGCCGTAAAAGGAGACTATGCTTGTCGTAAGAGGCAACTAACGGGATCGGGTGGTCAGACTCGCTGAGTTGGTTGATGCATGTCATCGATCCCAATTGCGTGGATCAATGATCATGATATAAATCACTGCATTGTCTGGTCTAGACTCGATTATTTACAGACCGCCGTCATATAGCTGGAATATTGCTGAGTGCGGCGTAAAACAACAAACCAACGAAGCAACCTTCATTGAGGTAGAGACTAAAGAAATTCGCGAGAGCCGGGATTTCATCGAAAAAAAATACATTGTCCCCGAAAATGCTTGAAAAAAAAGTTTATTTTTTACATTACACTGTCTACCACATAAAGTACATTGGCTATCCTGTCTTGGGGAAGGGGATTTCGTCCATCACCTGATAGTGAAAACGGACATGACCGCGGTTGTAATCTTACACCAAGTTAGTTTCTGGATGTACTGTGAATGAAGGGTTTACTACAGCTTACATTATGTAGCAATTGTAGGAGTTTTGTGGAGATGGTTGTCACCAAAACATGACGTTCTTCTACACTATTCATATAATTTCCAGTGTCATAGAACAAAATAGGGCGGTGGGATAGCCTAGTGGTTAAAGCGTTCGCTCGTCACGCCGAAGACCCGTGTTCGATTCCCCACATGGGTACCATCTGTGAAGCCCATTTCTGGGATATGGCTAAACGCGGCTTCACTCACTCACTCACTAGAACAGAATAGGGTAAGATGTGATGAGCGTATGGTGTTGTTTTATACACAGAGGAGCCGATGTATGAATGGATTGATGGATTTCTTTTTTTACCCCAGAATTTGCATCCACAGTTTTACACTAAATCTGATATTTCTCCGATGCACGGTACTAGTGGTTACATAAACAGGTGTATTATCAGCACAAGATATATCACTATTACACAAGTAAGAGCTATTGCGATACAACAGATGTAAAGAAGGTATCATCTTATGTATTTGTCAAATTTAAGATATATTCACCGAATATTAGTCTCATGCTTTCCCAAGGCCGCACACAATTCCAGATTGTATTTAAACTGATCCCCAGAACAGTATAAGCATATCATTCTCTTCCAGAAATCAATTTGAACGTAACTTTTAACATCCAGTTTGTCAATGGCAGTGGAGAAGAATTCATTTTGATCATAGATAAAGAAAAAAAGGATAAAAGTCCATGTCACATTCTGACCCTTCTCTAGATGTGATGGATCTAGAAGCTATCTCAGTGAGTATCGGATACAGTATGTAAGAGGAGGATAACCTAGCGCTGATTCCATGATACATGTAGTGTAAGTAAAGTTTGAAAAAATTGTCCTGTAACTGATCAGATCCTGTCGAACAAATTTATTTAGGTAGCATATATAACTGCCGGGCACAAGAAAGTTTACACTTGACAATGGGAACTGCCAACAAATTGCAAACGTTATCAAAACGTCACTAGGTCGAGTGAGTGTGTGAGTGAGTGAGTGAGTATTGTTTTACGCCGCATTTTAGCAATATTCAAGCAATATCACGGCGGGGGACACCAGAAACGGGCTTCACACATTGTACCATGTCGGGAATCGAACCCGGGTCTTTGGCGTAACGAGCGAACGCTTTAACCACTAGGCTAGCCCACCGCCCCACATCCAGTGTTTGGGGATCTGCTCCACCTGGCTATAGCTTTAACCAACAAGCTACCCGACCGCTCCACCCGACCGCTCCACCCGACCGCTCTACCCGACCGCTCCACCCGACCGCTCCACCCGACCGCTCCACCCGACCGCTCCACCCGACCGCTCCACCCGACCGCTCTACCCGACCGCTCTACCCGACCGCACTACCCGACCGCTCTACCCGACCGCTCCATTAGGTCGAAAACAGTCACAGAAACACTGCAAACTTACAGTACGTTCTGTATTGTACCACACATTGAAAAGGAATTTCATTGTTTTTCTCAGATGTCCATTTGTCCCTAGCTGTGAGACATAGCTACACCCTTCCAACATACGTCTTTACTCTTTACATCCCAACTTACGACGAGCTGGCGGGGCGGTCGGGTAGCCTAGTGGTTAAAGCGTTCGCTCGTCACGCAGAAGGCCAGGGTTCGATTCCCGACATGGGTACAGTGTGTGAAGCCCATTTCTGGTGTCCCCCGCCGTGATATTGCTGGAATATTGCTAAAAGCGGCGTAAAACCATACTCACTCAATCACTCACTCACTCACTACGACGAGCTGACACTGATGCAGACAGAATGTTACCGTAAACTGCTTGTGTTTTGTTTCTTTTTCTTGCTTTTAAGAAACGAAATACTTTTCAAAGAGATGTCCCTGCAATTTGATGTCTCCCGAAAACATGCACAGAGTCTGCCAGTACGCCGTCACACAATGCAACGATGGGTATTGTTAACAGATTCTGTCAGGTTAAATGTATTTATTTACACCGAATCTTTTCTAATGAGCCGGTGGCCCCCTTATGATAAACATTCCTACACATTCACCACTATCTCAAAAGCTGCACCACATAGGTCAAATGTCGTTATCAGCCACGAACATCTCAGTTTTTATGACGCAACACTAATTCTCGAGGGAGAAATAATATGTGTGTCCACCCAAATCTTCTGTGACAACATGAACAACGTATGGTAGTATAGATTGTTTGATAGGCATTAGTTACCGGTTGACGGACGACAAGGTAGACACAATTTTATGGATAACAACTTCTTTAATACTGTAAAAAGCGACGTGAGTCATATATGCAATTGTTGTTACTGTTAATCCTCCACCTACTATATATATTCTGTACTAAATCCCTCATTCAGTCTTGCTTGACAACGGTATAAGGATCTATACCGAAAGGTCGTTTTTTACAGTATTAAGGAAGTTGTTATCCATGAAATTGTGTCTACCTTTTATGGCTCTATATTAATTCTCTCACGACGATGTACTGACAAAAAGGCATCAAAGTTGCCAAGGTCCGCTTCCCAAACAAACAAAATATGATGGCACCATATTCATGAAATTGCGAATCATGGTGACGCTGAGAAATCTAAATCTCGGTTAATATTTCCCCTATACACTTGTATATCCTAGTAAGTAATAAGGGGGATTATATCTCTTCAACAACAACGTTTCTACAATTCGGACAACTCGTCATGGGTCGGGAGTTTCAAATTCTTCAGTTTGACAGATACTCTCCATGTGTTGGAACTGGGCCTCTGTCCTCGGCACACGTGACTAGCTCTTGGTAACACACGTAACCCAAACGTCCAACTTCACACCCTGGGACACACATATTCCTAACCCAATGTGTTCATTGTTCCGAGTTTGCAAATATTAACAAAAGATAAAAAAAAGAACTATTTGAGGTCACTAAAATTATTTATCATGCATTTTCTAAAATACGAAATCAACTTCTAAAAAAGTATTCTTGAAAGCTACGAGACCGCTGTTGGAGGCGAAAGAATACACGCTGGTTAAGTAACAAAAATGTTTGACGAGTTAAATGAGAAATTTACAGTTTATAACGGAACATGTTCAGAGAACAGAGAATAAGAAACGGCAAGAAGTGATATTAACTCATGGCCATCTGTCATTATTTTGCCTTGTCAGTGGGGAACTAACGTAAAAAGGTCGTCAACAGTTTGTGTACGGGCGAGACACTTACGATAAAGGGAGACAATTTACGGGGAGGTAACTCTTGTATGACAAGGGTCAGTTCCGTCAAAGTGTTATGCTCACTGCAATGCAAATATCACTTTACTCAACTTCAGAAAACACAGTCTTTCACACTGAAGTATATAATAACCGGGTATCTTATAGAGTTGTACCCATTTTTAACTAATCAGAGTGCAGCTCATACTCACATTTGTTTAAGTGATTAACTATTCCAAGGAGTTTCATCGATCAGGCTCAGTGACTTGGTTGATTGCGTACTCACGACGGCGCGAGTCGTCTTGATATCAGTCACTAGTTAGTCAGGTCCAGATTTGGTTACTTAACGTACGCCGTCATATTGCTGGAATTCTTCTGAGTGCAGTGTTAAACAACAAACAAACACAGAACAGAACTCACCGTGGTGATTCCCCTCCTGGCCTCCTGCTTGGGGCTTCTCGGTAACAGACAGGATGTCAGCGATCAGAAACGACTTGCTCATTGTTGACGTTGCAGGACGTAGTGGCCTCCGTTGTGCACGACGTTGACAGGAGTGTGTTGTCAATTGGTTAAGAGTCACGCAGCACAGAATCTCTCTAACTGCGGCCATATTCAACATGTTGCCGGTAAATGATTACTTTTTCACCTGGGTGAGTTCATAACGACGGCAAAAATGAGCAATTTGTGTTCGTTTAGCTCGTTAATGTTGTACAGCACCCATCGCGGCGAGCTGATTCGCCTAGCCCCACCACACACGCGGGCCAGTGGTGAATGATGAAACCACAGCACGACCCAAATGATCACAGAAGACGGTTTCTCATATATCAACTTTCGGATTCTTTTTATTTAAACATTTTCAAATAGTTATTTTTGTGTGTTTTCTGTTTTTGTTTTTGTTTGTTATGTTCGTTGTTGTTGATTTTTTGGGGAGTGGGTTGACTTTTTTATAGAATTTTTGAGTAACTTTTTCATTTGATAATAATTAAAGGCGTAAAGTTGAATAATTACATAATGTTTGAGCTACCTTGCTTTGATTATTCTATTTGACAGCTGGTGGGTCCTCAAAACAAGGAATTACAATCGTGGCCTTATACTTTTAAGGAATATCTAAAAGATTCAAATTTTCATTTACACAAATGTGTGCGTCATATCAAATTGTGGGTGCTGCAGCCGGGCGATCTGCACGTGGGCTTTCCGAGGCGCCGACAGGTACCACCATGTACCACTGCATGGTTGTCCTGGATATTTACATATTGGTTGTCATGGAGATTATATGTACATGTAAACTATTAAATTCCATAGGTTTTCAAGGATATGACATGTACACCTGCTTCATTAAACACTAGGTAGTCATATGTACACCTGCTTCATCAAACACTTGGTTGTCATGGATACAACATACAAACCTGCTTCATCAAACACCCGGTTGTCATGGATATTACATGAAAACCTGCTTCGTCAAACACTTGGTTGTCATGGATACAACATACAAACCTGCTTCATCAAACACTTGGTTGCCATTGATGTTACATGTTCACCTGCTTCATCAAACACTTGGTTGTCCTGGATATTACATGTACATCTGCTTCATCAAACACTTGGTTGTCATGGATACAACATACAAACCTGCTTCATCAAACACCCGGTTGTCATGGATATTACATGTACACCTGCTTCATCAAACACTTGGTTGTCATGGATACAACATACAAACCTGCTTCATCAAACACCCGGTTGTCATGGATATTACATGTACACCTGCTTCGTCAAACACTTGGTTGTCATGGATACAACATACAAACCTGCTTCATCAAACGCCCGGTTGTCATGGATATTACATGTACACCTGCTTCATCAAACACTTGGTTGTCATGGATATTACACGTACACCTGCTTCATCAAACACTTGGTTGTCATGGATATTACATGGACACCTGCTTCATCAAACACTTGGTTGTCATGGATATTACATGGACACCTGCTTCATCAAACACTTGGTTGTCATGGATATTACATGTACACCTGCTTCATCAAACACTCGGTTGCCACTGATGTTACATGTACACCTGCTTCATCAAACACTTGGTTGCCATGGAGATTACATAATAACCTACATCATCAGATAACATTGGCTGCGGCAGTGGGTTCATCCTTATCGCATGGCGTTATTCAAGTGTACTGTTTAAGAAATAAATATGACCTGACATCTGCTGAATATTAGATGATGATGGTTAGGCCCGGATTTGTTGCAGTTATACTACTCAAAAGTTAATCCACTATAGCTAATCAGTCATGACATGGATTATAGTAAGACAGAAGAACCGTGCGTTCTGTAACTTCTTTTGAGTAGTATATATTGGGAGGTCAATTAGATCATGATAGAATATAATTATAAAGTGTTTTCTGTTTTCTCATAACGTGTACTGTTGTAGTTGTTTATCATCCAAAACTGGCTCCCACAGGAGATATCGCTTGGGTGAGATCAAGCGATATCTGCATTGTAGATATCACTGCAATGAAATTGCATCCCATTGCTTTGCAGACCATTGTGACGTCACTGGTTACCATGGCGTCACTATCAAATGACATCAATAATGGCTCTGCTACTGAAGCTGTTAGCAGCACTTTTTACACTTAAGACACTGTTTATTACTGTCTACAAACTGAAGTTGGAAGAATGATGTTGGATGATAAATAAAATCTCGCCCTCGTGTCTCTTGATATCAAATATATCACTCGTTGGTAAAAGTTTTCAAAAGGTTTTTTTCCACTTTTTCAGCTATAATTGATATCAAAAGACATTCGGTTGAGATTCTCTATATATTACCCACGTGGTGAAAATACAGGTGGCAAGATACTAAATCCGTACGTCACACGTGTGTCGTACAAGGATGACCTTGTTTTATTCGTTTTGGTTGGATAACTGTGACCCCTGTCACACCGGGACTACTTTTTTATTCATTAAAATTCACGAGACGTCATTCACGTTTGTAACTACAAGGCAGAACTGAATCTAATGACAGCGACAGACATTAGACATTTACAAACACTTTATTAAACCAAACAAGAAAGTCACAAATCATATTCGGTCTATAGAAGTTATGCATAGAGCTTCTTTAATCGAGCTATATCCATTCACAATTTACGACTACCGATCAATAGATCGAGGGTGCCCACGAGCGTGACGCCCCCGACCACTTTCGCAACTTTCAATTTGATTTAAAGTAAAACGATAAGCGTTTTGAAGTGAAGTCAGTTTAAACTATCTGGACAGATATCTAGACTTACTTGGGATGATCCGGTTGTGCCATCAGTGTCCCCTTCGAAGCGTATTTTGTGGCGCTGTTTCGGGAGTTGTTTGTTCACGACTGCACGACCAGGTCACTCAAAGTGAACATTTCCGATACAAATCATTCGAAAACTCCGTAGAAGTGTGCCTGACTTCTGATTATGTGGCCCAAAATATCCCAAATGTGAACAATAACATTCCCTATCTCTAGCGTAAAACGCTGTGAGTAGATCACGGTTGTCTTTTCTTATTCCGGTGGTGACTTTGCCCTTCGATCGTTCGAAGCTGTCACTGACATGCAAGCAGACTTGGGTTTGTTGATTTTCACGTCTTCAGTATAGGGTCGTACAGTTAACATGAATGTCTTTGACGAGCACTCTGATTTCTCTCTTCCACAATGGTTCGGACGGGTTAATATCACACGGAGTGTATACTGTATTAAGTGTTATATATTGTCAGTCTAACGTGACGTCATGCTCTAAGTTTGTAACATACATCCTTTGGAGTATATTATCTTGTTTTGAAAAATTTGTCTGCAAGAAAGTAGTATTGCTGGGCATCAACATCTAGCCCCCTAGGCAGCAGCATTGTTCTGATGTTTAAAGAAAATCAATGTAGTCGCATTATGCTGGACTATGTTGTTCTCTTAGTTGGTGTATATCACCGTCTATATCGATGGGAAGTGAAGGTGAAGTGACTTGGTTAAAATTACCCAACTGTAGATGGCGCCTAACTAGTTATGTATCAAATGCACTGTAGCTTGATATTTGAACAGTTAACCCCCCCCCCCCCCCCCCCTCAGCAATGCAGACGTAGTTGAAGCTACACTCTTGTAACAAAACCTACTCATGTTGTAACTTATGCCCAGTTCAAAATACGTACACAATCATTTATGTTAGACTGCTTGAGGACAAACACTGAACGGTTTATATTGACACTGGGCACACTCCCTTCTGCCAAAGCTTTTCTGGACATAAAGTTAGATGGAAACTATGGAACCATCCAGGAGTCCTACAGTGAACCATACCTACATTTTAAGTCCAATATTTTGCCCTGGAAACGAAAAGTAATAAACAGCTAAATATGATACAAAAGTACGCTAGTGTGAATTAATAATGTCTTTTTCACGCTGAAAAGCACCTAGTTTTCGACTCGTCGCTGTATGGTATCAAAACTAAAGATAAAAATATTGAACTTTTTATTGAGTGTCGCATACATATATATACTATAACGATTATCGTCCGTAAGCCCTTTGGTGCATCATATAAGTTCATTTCGTTAAAAATATTGACATTAAAATCAGCCAATGCTCCTGATTACTTCGACTGTGGTGAAAGAGCAGTTATCATACTGGACACAAGACTCGGACATAACTGTAATAACCTCAATGTTGATTTATACAGAGTAAACCTATCTGAGCAAATCTCATGCTTTTGCTATTTTCCGTGTTGAAATGAATTCCTTGATTGTACAAATTACTCAGTATACAGACAAACTGTTGAAATAAATAGGAAATGGAGGCCTCTTAAAAAACCCAACAACATTGGAATAAGGAATCACCATGCACTCTAAACCCAATTGTCCGACTTCTGGCCACAACACATGGATGTAACACTTTCAGAACGCGTCCATGTGTTGTGGAAATAACCAGAACACTGATGTTCTCGGCCCAGAACAGAAGCGTTCTACAAACAAGTTTTAACGTTTCCACGTGTTCTGACGATGTAACACTTCAGAACACTGGTTAGGCTTTCGAGGCCGACATTCAGAACACTACCGTTTCAGTCAGAAACCTGTCAGTCGGTATATTGCCAGTGAAATCGTCCGGATTTACACATTTTCCAATTCGACAAATCATGGGCACATAATAATGTTCCTCTGTGTGTCTACAGTTCAAGACGACTATGCTTGCGGTAAGAGGCGACTAACGGGATCGGGTGGTCAGGCTCGCTGACTTGGTTGATGCATGTCATGGTATCCGAGTTGCGTGGATCGATGCTCATGGTGTCAATCAGTGGATTGTCTGGTCCAGACTCGAAAATGTACAGACCGCAGTAGCAGTTACCAGGATAGCAAGTTTCAGGACAAATGAGGTTACACTGTATTTAGAGCGGCTGAATTCGGTGACAATGAGACATCTTGCTCGTTTAGTGTGTACATTATAAAATACAATACTATTTTAAGAACCAAATGACGAGCTATTTCCTTTTTAAAAGGTACGGAATTATCTCGTCAGAATGAGTGAGTGAGTACGGTTTTACGCCGCTTTAAGCAATATTCCAGCAATATCACGGCGGGGGACACCGGAAATAGCTTTACAGATTGTACCCATGTCGGGAATCGAATCCGGGCCTTCGGCGTGACGAGCGAACGCTTTAACCACTAGGCTACCCGACCGCCCCTATCTCGTTAGAAAAAAATATGATATAAACAAATATACTAATAGAAATGCATACGAGTGGTAAGTTATATCAAGTAAGGAAGAGAATCAGGTGAATGAAGGAGAAAGCATATACTCCGAAAGGTTGTGTTCCTCATTATAAAGAAGTTGACATCCATATATTCTCTTCCTTATGTGAATCACTTCTAAATGCCTTTCAAAGACCTGATTATATCAAGTAGAATTTATGTAACTAAACAACAGAAAGGCGTGAGGACTGGTTAAAGTTGTACATGCGTATGTAAAGGGTATGTCACGATTTTGAACTTGGGTCTCCACGGCTTTTGACTGTACCGGCGGAGTTGCGCCCCCTTGGGTATATCGCCCGCTAGGTGACTTTTGTTATGGGTCAGAGGTCGCAACCATAGTTACGGACGCCATTATTCATACACAAGTAGGTTTAACGCAGATACGGCCATCTCGGTGACATTCAAGAGGATACTCGCTTTTCACATAGTCGCCTTTCATACCCAGAACTATGGCAGCGTCCTTCGATACCCCCTACACCTTCACGGCGACCGGTGACCTGGGCATCCAGCGGGATACCATGCTTAATAACGAACTTCTGCTGAGGGTAAGTTTACGTAGCAACCACACAGTGCCATGTTTGGCATGTTGATCGATCTTGTTGCTGATGTTGAATGTATCAAAATAATGTCACTATTTATTGTAATCCAGTTTGCCGGTTTTATAAAATAAAACACAAAACAGCCATCTATGTTATCAAAATAAATAGTCCGATTCGCCAAACTGTTATACTAACTCCTAACTTTAAGCCTATTCAGCTAAAATAGGCCTATTTAATTGTTCCCGAGACCCGTGTCCTTTTCACAAAACGATCGTAGCTTTACGACTGCCAAAACTCACATACTCACATTTTTATTCAAGGATCCAAGGGCTAAGGATAGAGTCACACAACTAGCCTAGCTCTAAGCATTTTCTGATACTAAATAATTTCTCTTGAGATATATCTATATTTATGACACTATTGTGTCGCGAGCAGATTCTGCACTGGGTACAGTGTGTTGAATCATAGATAAAATAAGAATAATTCAATAGAGACATAATACAATTGATAACCAAGAATGATGTTCTGTCAGAACAGAACACATTCTTTTTGTGTGACCAGATAACCGTGATAGTGTGAAAACTTGTTATTGTCATAAGTAATAATCCCACCATGATACATAGTCCTCATAATGATAGCATATAGCAGAACCCTTAAAAATGGCAAATTTCTACTAGTCCTTATGATACCTTAAATATTGAGCTTTTGGCAAGGACTATAGGACTAGTGCCAATTTCTATCGCTGTACAGCTTTGTGAGTTACATTGCAAAACATTGGGCAAACTGACTAGGCCTACATGTGATCATTTAATGTGAAGGTTTAAAATTTCCAACAGACATAATAGCTCAAACTTAAAAGTCATTCTTTTAGTGTTATTATATAGACTATTGATGAACTTACTATAATGAACAAAATTGTACTACCGGTAATTGTTTGATAGGCATTACTTCACTAGACTCTGGCTTTGGACCAGTGGATAGAGTCACAGAAGAATATGAGCAAAATAACCCCAGAAGTAACAAAAGTAACTGCAAGAATGCAGTATGCCGGACACCTTCCACCATTTTGTTAAGGGATGTGCACAAGCTCATTCCTTAGTAACAGTTTCTAAGTTTTTCAGTCGCCATTTTTGTCGCCTCGCTAAAATAACAGGGGGTTTGGGGGCTTCCCCCCAACTCAACGGCTGTAATGAAATGCTTCCATAAGTAATGAAATGTTTAATTAAAAAGTAGATACAAAATACGTGTTCGCATGCCATTATGGAACTTCTATTTTCAAGTACTTTTTTAATGTTGAAGTCCAATTTTCGAGGTTTATGCATCGCTTTGATACAAGTAGGGCCGTTTTTTCTGCTTATTTTGAGCTTTATCACCCTATTTTTTCAAATAGTGATTCTGTTGTGTGCGGCTTTAATAGTAGAATCAAATAAACATTTTGGATAGGTGTCCTGTATATTGCATGTGTACCCTGACTTATACCTGATAGAGATATAGGTCAAATGTTTACCCCTGCATCTACACCTGGCAGTTGATCTATATCTGTTATGATTTTGTATTTTATGGATTGTCTATTTTATTCCCAGGACCAGCTGGGCAGACCCAAGAGACGTGGCTACCTCTCTGCAGATGGTTTCACCTTTGGTCGGCCAAATGAAAGACGCGACAACAGTGCTGGCGATGGTGAGAAACACAGTGACACCAGGGAATCAGATCACACGTATATGCCCCTTTCTAAGGACGAATAACTGATCCAAGAATATCAGCAGTGTTGAACAAATCAGGGGCTTCGTCCTCCCAATCCCTCCCCTTAGAATCCTAATTGTAAAGGACAGATAGTAACAGATTTATTTTAAATCAATTTTGATATTTTACACACAAAAATATGTTTCTTTGCTAATTCTATGCAAATAATGGATATCTTCAGTTGATTATACCCCAACACATTATGAAGAATCAAAGTTTCTTGACATTCTCAAGTTATCCAAAAAGCACAACCACAGTGATTATCAATGGAAATTGAAATGCCATGTATTTTTTGTAATGCATGACCTGTTTCTATGGCAACAGCTCTGCGTGGATGGAGTGGCACCACCTCATCCTTGCCCTTCCACCATCAGGAGAAGAAGGCAGAGAGAGACTTCATGTCCTTGAACCGTGCTGCAGTACAGGCGGGGCTAGTCACAGCACCAGAACACTACGAGTTCCGAGCTACTCATGATGTGAGGCGGCGTGCTTCGGGGGAGGAGAAGAAAAGGACGCGGGTCCGACGAATCCCCCCAACCATGGTGTTTGGCATCTCTACAAGGTAGGAGTTTTGATGACACTGAGATGGTTTCTGTAATAAGCTGCCATCTCAACAGAGTTGCCTCTCTTGGTTATACCAGGATCTTATTCTTGTGGGTTCAAATGAAACTGTTGGCATCAGACCAATACTTGTGCAGTGCACAATATTATGCATGAAAGTCAAAGGGTCCTTATCATTATTATAATTTAAGTGTTGAAAAATAAGTGGTGCCTATGATATTCAAACACTGCTTGTTAGTTTCACATGCCTCCTGTATTAAGCTGTTCAAAGTGGTGTTAATGTTCCGTCTCACCCCTGGAGGGGATCTGGCGGTTTAGATAATCCCTGGTCGGGAGCTCAAAGAAACAATAAACTCGAGTTACTGGCTTAACTTTGGTTGTATTTTGTGTTCTCAACTCTTGTACAGGGTAAATGGCTGAAACAAACAAAACAGCCAATAACTACAATGTCTATATTCCATATTGCATATTCACGTGAAACGGAATGTCGAGACGTGAGAGTCTATATCTCATATTTGACAAGAGCATATGCACAGTGGTAGTACAGTAATGACATTACTCACACTATGATTGCCTACGGGTTGCAAGGTTTATCGCCTAACGAAACCGGGTGAGAACCCGAACACATGGCCTACTCAGAGACCATTTTGCACGTGACCACAAGAAAAGATAACTCCACGCAGAAGAGTGAGCATGCATCCCGCTAAAAAGGAGTGAGTGAATACCACTAAAAATAACTTGTTACGGATCAACGGAACAGTTAAATTTATCTCACTCACTTGAATGATGGATGTGTTAAAGTCATACAGTCTATATACCCAATAAAATCTAATTTGCTACCCCATCTTGTCCCCCTCAGACCGTCAACACCCATCTTTGACCTGTTGGAGCACAAGTACCAGGATCGGTGGCAGCAACAGCGCCGCCAGCAGGAGCTAGCCAAGAAGCAGGAGGACACTAAGGTGAATTACAGCCTGGTGTGGGGAGGTGCTGTGTGTTAAACCTGTAGGTCAGTGAATACACTACAGTCCCTCATGGCTGGCCTTGGAAGGGGAGGTTCTTTATGTGTCAAACCTGTAGGCCAGTGAATACACTACAGTCCCTCATGGCTGGCCAGGTGTGGGGAGGTTCTGTATGTGTTAAACCTGTAGGCCAGTGAATACACTACAGTCCCTCATGGCTGGCCAGGTGTGGGGAGGTTCTGTATGTGTTAAACCTGTAGGCCAGTGAATACACTACAGTCCCTCATGGCCGGCCTGGTGTGGGGAGGTGCTGTGTGTTAAACCTGTAGGCCAGTGAATACACTACAGTCCCTCATGGCTGGCCTGGTGTGGGGAGGTGCTGTGTGTTAAACCTGTAGGCCAGTGAATACACTACAGTCCCTCATGGCTGGCCTTGGAATGGGAGGTTCGGTATGTGTTAAACCTGTAGGCCAGTGAATACACTACAGCCCCTCATGGCTGGCCTTGGAATGGGAGGTTCTGTATGTGTTAAACCTGTAGGCCAGTGAATACACTACAGTCCCTCATGGCCGGCCTGGTGTGGGGAGGTTCTGTGTGTGTTAAACCTGTAGGCCAGTGAATACACTACAGTCCCTCATGGCTGGCCTGGTGTGGGGAGGTTCTGTATGTGTCAAACCTGTAGGCCAGTGAATACACTACAGTCCCTCATGGCTGGCCTGGTGTGGGGAGGTGCTGTATGTGTCAAACCTGTAGGCCAGTGAATACACTACAGTCACTCTTGGCTGGCCTGGTGTTGGGAGGTTCTGTGTGTGTCAAACCTGTAGGCCAGTGAATACTCTACAGTCCCTCATGGCTGGCCTGGTGTGGGGAGGTTCTGTATGTGTCAAACCTGTAGGCCAGTGAATACTCTACAGTCCCCCATGGCTGGCCTGGTGTTGGGAGGTTCTGTATGTGTCAAACCTGTAGGCCAGTGAATACACTACAGTCCCTCATGGCTGGCCTGGTGTGGGGAGGTGCTGTGTGTTAAACCTGTAGGCCAGTGAATACTCTACAGTCCCCCATGGCTGGCCTGGTGTTGGGAGGTTCTGTATGTGTCAAACCTGTAGGCCAGTGAATACACTACAGTCCCTCATGGCTGGCCTGGTGTGGGGAGGTTCTGTATGTGTCAAACCTGTAGGCCAGTGAATACACTACAGTCCCTCATGGCTGGCCTTGGAAGGGGAGGTCCTGTGTGTGTCAAGTTAGATTGTGAAATGCTCTCATTGCTTTTCGGATTCAAATGTTTATTCCGTTTGAAGTGATGTCATGAAGATTACAGTTGTTGCATGGCGTTGGGAGTTTGGAGACGTGTAGATTTGTTTGTGTTCACCATGTGATCCAGGACTTAATCCATCAAGTTTCATTTGTCTAACTGAAAGTAAGCATGATATATTTCTGTGTTCCACTTGTTTCTATGAGTGAGATGAACCATCTAGAATTATGCAAGGTTGTTTTTGATAAGGTTTATTTCGGGACATACTCCTCTGTATTTGACTGTATTTGAATATATATTCCATATATATATATTCCATCTGACACAACTGTTACATGAATAAGGAAAATATTTCCACTCTGGGTTTCAAGGAACACAAGATAATGTATTACACTGTCATTCTGACATATCAATGCTATTCTGCACATCTACAATAAAGCATTGATTTTATCAATCAGAGGAGAAGTCACACTGCCCCGCCTCTATGTGTAAGTTGTCTTACAGCTATGTCTGACTTCCTTGTAAAGTGTAGTACATGTAGCCGTGCATGCTCTCTGCACATGTTCTAGTTAGATCATTCATTGAAGCCTGCAGTCAGTTATGCTTCAGAGCTTATCAAATATAGATATCTTAAAATTCACTTTGTATGCAAAGCTAACAATTGTACCAGCAGTCGTAGTATAGTTACAATTTGCTGATGTAGCATTCTAAACAATAGTCACTCGCTCACTTGTAAATATCTGTATATAGTGGCTTATAGCTTGCACTGGTCAGTCCGACACACACCTGTGTCCACCCCTTATAACCACCCGGACAAAGTAGATATACTTGCTGTCTGAGTAGATAGATACATCTTACATTCGAAATTAATTATTGTGCACTAGAGTTATCTCCCTTCCTCATGTTCACAGTTATCCCTCTTCTCACTCAACATTTCGGGCTATTTATGACGGGCAAACACATCTTCCTCTTCAGAATAAGGATGTCTCCTGCCTCACATGTATCAGACTTTCAGATTAGTCGTTTTCTTTGGCCAAAGTTTTCAAAAATAGCCTGTTGGGTTTAATTGTTTTGTGATAAAAAAGACAAATGTCTGTAGAATGAAAATGTGCATTCACAGGATGCTGACTTTTGGGTAGTATTCCCATGGCAACATAACGTGATGTTTGTAAACTCTCAGAAATATACTGATGGGCTTGTCAGCTGTACCGGGGTCCATCATATATGCGGAGTTGCTATAACAATGGGTGGTTTTAAGCCCGATAGAGGCAGACTCAATACCATTGAAAGAATAAAATGAAGCTGAATACATCAACTTTGTACAATATATTACAATTTGACATCTTTTTCTATCAAATCCTGCTGAAATATAATTTTCTAATTCATAAACATAGTTGCACTAACAATGAGTACTTTCATGATACTTAGTTTAGTTTAGACTAACATGTTAATTTTGTCGTAGTTGATATCTGTAATCATCAGTTATAACAATGTTCAGCGTTAGAAATTGGCACTAGTCCTATAGTCCTTGTCAAACTACCTAATAGTTAAGGTATCATGAGGACTTGTAGAAATTTGTCCTTGGATGGATTTTGCTATTTTTCATCATTATAAGGGATAGTGGACTAAAAGTGTTAGTTTCTATCACTGAATGTCGTAGCTGATATCTGTAGTCATCAGTAATAACAATGTCCGATATGATGGAGATGACGAGATCTAGACACTGTTAAACAGGAAGTGAGTATGTGCACAGTTGTTGACAATTCCTTTCGTCCTTCGATGGGTCACCTTCATTGATGAGGTTGTGTCCATTATCAGACACAATGTCACCCGAGTCACAACTAGGACAGTAAATTATGTGTTTGTTGAAACTTTTCAGCTCAAAAGCTACATGTTTTTCACATGATTTTCTGTAGATTTTTGTTCTGATGTATATGGAATATTATCAGCTGAAGTTATGAATGGAAGGAATTTTTTATAAAGATGTACCCCAGCTACATGGGAAGATGCTCATAATATCAGCCTCTGGTTCCCTAGACCAGACTTGATTAATCAGTATTTACAGGCATCTGTGATATACAGCAGCTGAAATATTCTAGGCACACAACGACAAAGAGATAACGCCAGACTGTGTGTCCAGGTGAAGCTGGTCTTTGTGACAATGCCCTCGATGCTGACATGTTGCTGAAGAGGGACTAGGATCTGCTTTGTCAGACATTATAACAGCGTTACAATATAAGTTGTCAACCGATCTCGTGGGGTATCTACTGTGATATACCCTGAGTGTGAGTCTGTGTACCCCGAGCCGGCATCGGCTCACACAAAGGTACATCACAACATATGCCCTGAGGGAATCAATTTATATTACCAACATTCATTCATACAGATCCGAATATATACGCTAATATGATGCATTACAACCCAATACATACGGATAAACATCTGTTCATTTCAAATATATTTTGAGAGATGAACAAGTTACCTAAGGTGTGTTCAAATTGATTTCTCAGTGAGCTACATATTTATATCCCACCTGTTATATTCACTATGGTACTGTTCCATCCACAGAAGCAGCGTTCAGGAGCAGTGTACAGCACCAGAGCCTCACTCCTGAAGACGTACCAGAACCCTGTCGACCCCGCCCCACTCTGGCAGATGCCCAGGTTTGCCAGGAATGTAAGTACACAGATCGAGGGGTTTTCTTATTGAAAAAGATTATTAGTTTTAACGAACAAATATTTGCACATCATAATGAACATTCCCTCATTCTTCAGTAAATAATGTGTTAAAATATGGCACAGTGAAAGTTTGGAGAAGCTCACTGTCGTGCACCCTTTCCCTAACAACTGCCTCCATAACTCCAACACTAACGTCTGTGATCCCCTGAGGAAATGTACAAAACACAGGACCGAATAAGAGCCACCTTCTGTGACAGGAAACCATCCACCATGCAGGGCCCTATCAAGTGGGAATACACCATGTTGGAGAAGGGGTGGAGGGTCCATTTAAACTACGGAAATACTAGCATATGATTTAAGAAACAATTTGCCTTGTAAGCTCAAAGAGTGTGGTGGAGTGGATGGGGGTGACGTGAGGTGGTGTGTATTCTCAAAAGGTGTGGTGGGGTTAGGGTAGGGTGTGGTGGGGTTAGGGTAGGGTGTTGTGGGGTTAGGGTAGGGTTTGGTGGTGTGCGTACCCTGCACTCCTCTCTGGATCCATGCATGTAACCTACCTTCATGTTCTTTGTCCCAGGCTCAGCCCCACCTCCAAACGTTCCGCTCTGCAAGGAACCGTGACGAAGCGATTGCTCACTTCGAACATGATGGAATCTCCAGGAAGGGTACCCTCGGACACGGGGTATACGAAACCGCCAAGTCCTAGACAATCGTTGTATATTTTGTGATATAGCATGGACTGCGTCAGTTACTTGTGATGTTTCATACATGCCCATCAGTATTCTGTGTGGCGCCGGATATTACATGTGGCCATTTCAGCTGGGATTGTTTGTTGAGTTCTACATACTATTTATTTTGTTATGCGTTTCAAGATGTATCGGTGCTTTCACTAAGCATTGCATGTTTGTCAGTATGTTTAGAATTTCTAACAGTCCAAGGTATATAAGTGTGGTTTAAGTCACATGTTCTTTGTTGAGGTATGTTCATGTATTTTAATGATAATACAAAGACATGTTGATGTTTCGTTTTCGATTCAACATGTCTGCAATTGTTTTTTTATATAAGTCCGATAAGTTTTTTAAAAGACAATACAGTTTGGAATTGTATAACTGATGACAAGTTTGATTGTTAAACTTAAACTGTTACACCAAGACACTGTTACACTTTACACTAAGATAATCGCAGTTACACGGAGTCATTGTTACAGTTGCACTAAGATCTTGTTAGTGTCTCCCAGCTTCTTTGTCATCTGTCAAGCTGGCCAGCATAATGTATTTGATATTTTCATCTAGAATATTTCCTGTAGCCGGATAATCTGACACAGACACATCTCCAGGCCGTGCTGATTGGTTAGCCTGCAACACACAACCTTCATCTGTAAATACCTTCACCCTTATCTTCATCCTACACTTCATCAAAGTCTGTCAGCAGTGGGTAAACTCAATCTGTCTCCCATGTCGTCAATTCTGCAGGTATCGCGGACAACGCTAGTCGTAAACAATAGCCACCCTTTTCACACAGTTGTATATTAGAAATACCTTGTAGAAACATCAGGAAAGCTGGGTCTATCGGTACAATGTGTTCCATAACCATGGTGATCATGATCTCGTTCCAATCAAATTTTTTAACTGAACTCTTTTTCCAATGTCTCAAGACCTTATAGGGACTCTCAGAGGTAGATTATTAAACTGTGATATTTATAGAAATGCTTTTTTATATCAATCTTAACCTGTTTGTCAAGATTGTCATGTTGTTCCAGTCACATCTATATTCATAATTTTTTAAATGTTTATTGTGGTCGGGCACGGGTGTACACTGTCTCATTTACTGGTTTTGATATCCTTGTTGTCACATTCCGGGTTGTCAGCGACGCCACTGTGAATCACCATGGTTTTATAGGCCACGCTGCTTTATACATGTACAGAGACTATTTGTTGTAGTGAATCTAGATCTGTTTATGAATAAATCTGTATATATTTCATTTTTTTCTCTTGTTGTTTTTAACATGTTTCATGTTTTGTAGATTTTGGTATTGAGTCAGATACGATACATGTTGCACTATATAGGGTGTCCATCGGTTCAAAGTTAAGGACCAGATAACTTGTTATCCAAAATGTCATAAAGATATTTCTCAAAATAATGATAGGTGATGTTATGCATGATATGCAACTGGAATATTGCTGACTGCAGTGTTAAACAACCATTTGATACAAAGAGAATCTCACCCGAGTGTCTTTTGATATCAAATATAAGGGTAGGCTAAGGGTAGTCATTACTCTGTTGGTCATTAGTCTGCTGGTCATTAGTCTGCTGGTCATTAGTCTGCTGGTCACTATCTGCTGGTCACTAGTCTGCTGGTCATTAATCTGCTGGTCACTAGTCTGCTGGTCATTAGTCTGCTGGTCACTATCTGCTGGTCACTAGTCTGCAGGTCATTAATCTGCTGGTCACTAGTCTGCTGGTCATTAGTCTGCTGGTCATTAGTCTGCTGGTCACTAGTCTGCAGGTCATTAATTTGCTGGTCACTAGTCTGCAGGTCATTAATCTGCTGGTCACTAGTATGCTGGTCATTAGTCTGCTGGTCATTAGTCTGCTGGTCACTAGTCTGCAGGTCATTAATTTGCTGGTCACTAGTCTGCAGGTCATTAATCTGCTGGTCACTAGTATGCTGGTCATTAGTCTGCTGGTCACTAGTCTGCAGGTCATTAATCTGCTGGTCACTAGTCTGCAGGTCATTAATCTGCTGGTCATTTGTCTGCAGGTCATTAATCTGCAGGTCATTAATCTGCTGGTCATTAGTCTGCTGGTCACTAGTCTGCTGGTCATTAGTCTGCAGGTCATTAATCTGCTGGTCACTAGTCTGCTGGTCATTAATCTGCTGGTCACTAGTCTGCTGGTAGACATATCAGTGGTGGCCACATGATGATAATTATGTATTGATTATAATCGGTAAGATATGAACAACAATAATATTAACTTTCAAAATAACATTTGGTAATAGTTTATTCTGAAAATAGGTAATGTATATAATAGTATAGTACTTGACAGTATCGCAATATATATATTCTAAATTTGATGAGCTATTCAAATTCATGTTATACGTATGGAACATTAAAAATCACGGAATATTCCAAAGTGAACACATACATCAGTGAAAATACACATCACAAGTATACCCTGAAAACAGGAACACCTTTCAGCACTATGTTCTGACCTCGTTGTTCAATAATCTATCATTTTTTATTGTGAAGTTCATATGACCGTGAAACTGACGCTTATATTCGAGTGTATGAATGACACATTTTGACGTTCATACGTTGTTTACAAGACTGTATTCTTGAAATGACGTAAACACTGATGGACCACTTCAGTGGCAAACGCCTGCGAATACCCATGCATAAATCGCTTAGACCCTTTAATCTTGAACTCAGCATGCTACGACCCATCATAGGGTGAATTTATTTGCTTTCATTGAAGAATAACAATCACAAATGGTACAAAATGGCGTAAAACACACCTCTGAAAATTATTTCCGTCACTCTTCGTTTTTCTGCAGTTAACGAAAAATAAAATTCAATTTTGATGCCATGACAGCCAATCAGAGTCATGGAAAATAGTACACCAGACACCTTGTGATTATACAGCAGTAAATGGCAAAGACACAGAGTGAAGTCAATCTGAGAACAATCATAATGATTATCTTCCCTAGCATGTGGTTACAAATTGGGGCCTGCAACTACAAGACAGACTCGTTACGTTTAGGAGTCACTGTCCTGCCTGGGTGTTGGGAGTAAACTTTAGTTGAGATGCTGAGGACAAACAATGAAGTGTTGTGAAGAATCCCTGTGTTAGTAGAGCGTGTTGAGTGTATGGCGTGAGATACAGCACATGCCATGTCACTTCCTGTATACTGTAGTCTACCTAATAAGCACCCTGGTGCTCCGGGGGTTGACAAAGGGGTGCTTATTACAACCATACACATGAAGGTCAATTTGTTGCCAGGGATCATGGGATACAGAACAAACTTCGTTCACACGATAATGAAACTGGTATGTAAATGTTCAGTCTTAGTAGGGGTTGCTTTAAAGATTATCTACGGGTTGATCTAGTAGTTGCTGAGGGGGCACTTAATTATTAGATCACAGCGCAGGTCTTCATTCTGCGGGCACTGTTGAATCAGTGTTTAGTGAGTTGGGTGATCAAGTCGTCATGCTGTGGAAACTGTTGAATCAGTGTTTAGTGAGTCGAGTGATCAAGTCATCATGCTGTGGAAACTGTTGAATCAGTGTTTAGTGAGTCGAGTGATCAAGTCATCATGCTGTGGAAACTGTTGAATCAGTGTTTAGTGAGTCGAGTGATCAGGTCTTCATGCTGCGGGAATTGTTGAATCAGTGTTTAGTGAGTCGGGTGATCAGGTCTTCATGCTGGGGAAACTGTTGAATCATCTCAGACTGTTTCCCTTCTAACCAGTCTTTGAACTCGAATCCTGCAATACAACATTAACAGTGCCAGATGTCATTCAATGTGTTTATACGCTATTGTTTGTGAGTGACTGCATGAGTGAGTGACTGCATCATGTCACGCATTCCAGGTACCCACCACACATTTCAAACTGGAACTTTCCCGATGACAACATACAAAAAAATAAAGAGGCCATCATGCATTAAATACACTTAGGGCAACCTAGAATATATTGGTATATATCTGTCTTAAGTAGGGAAAATTGACTTGAAAATATGAAAACAATGACAATGTCTGGAGTACAATTGGCAAAACTGAGTTTGATGACAATGACGTCATAGTGCAGTGACGTAACCCAACATGACAGTGCTGTGGCATGACAAAATGACATCATAGTGCAGTGACGTAACCCAACGTCACAGTGCTGTGGCATGACACAATGACGTCACGTACCTGGCATGACAGTAGCGCTGTACAAGACATACTCGCGGTCCACCAGCTCACAGGCGTACCACATCTCGTGAGGGACCAGAACTTGGTAGGCGCACTCTGGGTTCTTCAATACATCGCCGAGCAGCACACAGCTGTGCTTGCCATCCTTGTCCAGGAAGTGTACCTTCAATAGACATGTCAGCAGGACATCACTAGGGTGTTAGTTCAAGGGGTATTCATGCAAATGCTGGGATTTATCTAGACCTGGTCAGAGGCCGATATTCTGTCTGTAGCAAATGTCAGTAAAAATATCCTACTCCATATTAATATATCTTTGAAAGGCATTTAGAAGTGATACACTTAAAGAAGAGAATTTGTGGATGCTTACTCCTTCATCATTCACCAGATGAAGGAGTTAGCATGTACTCCAAAAACGTTGTGTTCCTCTTTATAAAGATGTTGACATCCATAAATTCTCTTCCTCATATTAATATAGTTCTAACAAATGTGATGGCTTGGTTGTACTCAAAAGGACATATAAAGAGTGGGAGTGAGTGAGTTGGGTTTAACGCCACTTTGAACAATATTCCAGTTATGTCACGGCGTGTCAGGTTAATGTGGGAGGAAAGCCCGAAGTGCCCGACGTTTACCACTTTGGTGAAACCCATGAGCACAGGTATGGTGCTGACAAACCTAGAAACATAATCGGAGCGAACCGGGATCAGAACCCCAATCATAGGTTACTGGCGTACCCAAGGGACGCAACTCTGCACAGCGAATTGCGGCGCCTTAGACGACTGGGCCACCTGGGCCCCAACATATAAAGAGGAAGAGGCTTTAATACTTAATTTTACATGAATGCATTCAATACAATGTCAAAATACACCCTCAAAATACACCGTTAAAATACACTGTTAAAATACACCGTTAAAATACCCCTAAAATTAAGAAAATAAGAACTGGACAGTAGGCACACAGCTTTTGCTGGTTTCACAAATTAAAATCACTTGAAAACAGATTCTCTGAAACAGTATTTCACATACTGGTATGCCAAATAAAAAACTAATTTTGGAAAACCATCTTTCATTATTCCAACCAATTCTATAAGCCTATATACGAGTAATTAAGGACTTTTATTTTTCCCTTTGACTTTCCAGTTAAAAAGAAACCTTTTCATTCAGTTTTTATTTTCTTATGAATAAATTTAATTTTTCTTTTCCTTGGGCCCAAGTTTAAATGTCTGTTTACCTTGGCCGTTCCACAAATGAGTGAAAAGGGGACATGCAGTTTAACTTGGCCGTTCCACAAGTGAGTGAAAAGAGGACATGCAGTTTACCTTGGCCGTTCCACAAATGAGTGAAAAGAGGACATGCAGTTTACCTTGGCCGTTCCACAAGTGAGTGAAAAGAGGACATGCAGTTTACCTTGGCCGTTCCACAAGGGAGTGAAAAGAGGACATGCAGTTTACCTTGGCCGTTCCACAAATGAGTGAAAAGGGGACATGCAGTTTACCTTGGCCGTTCAACAAGAGATTGAAAAGAGGACATGCAGTTTACCTTGGCCGTTCCACAAGAGAGTGAAAAGAGGACATGCAGTTTACCTTGGCCGTTCCACAAGTAAGTGAAAAGAGGACATGCAGTTTACCTTGGCCGTTCCACAAGTGAGTGAAAAGAGGACATGCAGTTTACCTTGGCCGTTCCACAAATGAGTGAAAAGGGGACATGCAGTTTACCTTGGCCGTTCCACAAGTGAGTGAAAAGAGGACATGCAGTTTACCTTGGCCGTTCCACAAATGAGTGAAAAGGGGACATGCAGTTTACCTTGGCCGTTCCACAAGAGAGTGAAAAGAGGACATGCAGTTTACCTTGGCCGTTCCACAAGAGAATGAAAAGAGGACATGCAGTTTACCTTGGCCGTTCCACAAATGAGTGACAAGAGAACACGATGTACTTTACCTTGGCCGTTCCACAAGTAAGTGACAAGAGGACATGATGTACTTTACCTTGGCCGTTCCACAAGTGAGTGAAAAGAGGACATGCAGTTTATCTTGGCCGTTCCACGAGTGAAAAGAGGACATGCAGTTTACCTTGGTCGTTCCACAAGTGAGTGAAAAGAGGACCAGATGTACTTTACCTTGGCCGTTCCACAAGTGAGTGAAAAGAGGACATGCAGTTTACCTTGGCCGTTCCACAAGTGAGTGAAAAGAGGACATGCAGTTAACTTGGCCATTCCACAAGTAAGTGAAAAGAGGACATGCAGTTAACTTGGCCGTTCAACAAGTGAGTGAAAATAGGACATGCAGTTAACTTGGCCGTTCGACAAGTAAGTGAAAAGAGGACATGCAGTTAACTTGGCTGTTCCATAAGTAAGTGAAAAGAGGACATGCAGTTTACCTTGGCCGTTCCACAAGTGAGTGAAAAGAGGACATGCAGCTTACCTTGGCCGTTCCTCAAGTAAGTGAAAAAAGGACATGATGTACTTTACCTTGGCCGTTCCACAAGTAAGTGAAAAGAGGACATGATGTACTTTACCTTGGCCGTTCCACAAGTAAGTGAAAAGAGGACATGATGTACTTTACCTTGGCCGTTCCACAAGTAAGTGAAAAGAGGACATGATGTGCGTGACCTTGGCCGTTCCACAAGTAAGTGAAAAGAGGACATGATGTGCGTTACCTTGGCCGTTCCACAAGTAAGTGAAAAGAGGACATGCAGTTTACCTTGGCCGTTCCACAAGTGAGTGAAAAGAGGACATGCAGTTTACCTTGGCCGTTCCACAAATGAGTGAAAAGGGGACATGCAGTTTACCTTGGCCGTTCCACAAGAGAGTGAAAAGAGGACATGCAGTTTACCTTGGCCGTTCCACAAGAGAATGAAAAGAGGACATGCAGTTTACCTTGGCCGTTCCACAAGTAAGTGAAAAGAGGACATGCAGTTTACCTTGGCCATTCCACAAGTGAGTGAAAAGAGGACATGCAGTTTACCTTGGCCGTTCCACAAATGAGTGAAAAGGGGACATGCAGTTTACCTTGGCAGTTCCACAAGTGAGTGAAAAGAGGACATGCAGTTTACCTTGGCCGTTCCACAAATGAGTGAAAAGGGGACATGCAGTTTACCTTGGCCGTTCCACAAGAGAGTGAAAAGAGGACATGCAGTTTAACTTGGCCGTTCCACAAGAGAATGAAAAGAGGACATGCAGTTTACCTTGGCCGTTCCACAAGAGAATGAAAAGAGGACATGCAGTTTACCTTGGCCGTTCCACAAGTGAGTGAAAAGAGGACATGCAGTTTACCTTGGCCGTTCCACAAATGAGTGACAAGAGAACACGATGTACTTTACCTTGGCCGTTCCACAAGTAAGTGGCAATAGGACATGATGTACTTTACCTTGGCCGTTCCACAAGTGAGTGAAAAGAGGACATGATGTACTTTACCTTGGCCGTTCCACAAATGAGTGAAAAGAGGACATGCAGTTTACCTTGGCCGTTCCACAAGTGAGTGAAAAGAGGACATGCAGTTAACTTGGCCGTTCCACAAGTAAGTGAAAAGAGGACATGCAGTTAACTTGGCCGTTCGACAAGTAAGTGAAAAGAGGACATGCAGTTAACTTGGCCGTTCGACAAGTAAGTGAAAAGAGGACATGCAGTTAACTTGGCTGTTCCATAAGTAAGTGAAAAGAGGACATGCAGTTTACCTTGGCCGTTCCACAAGAGAATGAAAAGAGGACATGCAGTTTACCTTGGCCATCCACAAGTAAGTGACAAGAGGACATGATGTACTTTACCTTGGCCGTTCCACAAGTGAGTGAAAAGAGGACATGATGTACTTTACCTTGGCCGTTCCACAAGTGAGTGAAAAGAGGACATGCAGTTTACCTTGGCCGTTCCACAAGTGAGTGAAAAGAGGACATGCAGTTAACTTGGCCGTTCCACAAGTAAGTGAAAAGAGGACATGCAGTTAACTTGGCCGTTCGACAAGTAAGTGAAAAGAGGACATGCAGATAACTTGGCTGTTCCATAAGTAAGTGAAAAGAGGACATGCAGTTTACCTTGGCCGTTCCACAAGTGAGTGAAAAGAGGACATGCAGCTTACCTTGGCCGTTCCTCAAGTAAGTGAAAAAAGGACATGATGTTCTTTACCTTGGCCGTTCCACAAGTATGTGAAAAGAGGACATGATGTACTTTACCTTGGCCGTTCCACAAGTAAGTGAAAAGAGGACATGATGTACTTTACCTTGGCCGTTCCACAAGTAAGTGAAAAGAGGACATGATGTGCGTTACCTTGGCCGTTCCACAAGTAAGTGAAAAGAGGACATGCAGTTTACCTTGGCCGTTCCACAAGTAAGTGAAAAGAGGACATGATGTGTGTTACCTTGGCCGTTCCACAAGTAAGTGAAAAGAGGACATGATGTACTTTACCTTGGCCGTTCCACAAGTAAGTGAAAAGAGGACATGATGTACTTTACCTTGGCCGTTCCACAAGTAAGTGAAAAGAGGACATGATGTGCGTTACCTTGGCCGTTCCACAAGTAAGTGAAAAGAGGACATGCAGTTTACCTTGGCCGTTCCACAAGTAAGTGAAAAGAGGACATGATGTGCGTTACCTTGGCGGTGCCCCCTGCATGCCAGTAGAAGAACTCGTCTGACAGCACCTTGTGCCAGGAGATGAAGTTGGGGGCTTTCAGCATGTAGTAGATGTTGGTGCCGACGTTACGAGGGCCGCCATGACTGCGGAACATTTGGTTAATAACAACTGTACTCACATATGCATCATATACTCCACCGACAATTTACACAATATGCTAGTTCCCGAAAACTATCTCCATATACTCCACCAACACGATACACGAGTTCCTGACAACTATCTCCATATATTCCCCGACAATTTACACAATCCACTAGTTCCCGACAACTATCTCCATATACTCCACCGACAATTTACACAATATGCTAGTTCCCAACAACTCTCTCCATAAACTCCACCAACACAATACACTAGTTCCTGACAACTATCTCCATATATTCATCGACAATTTACACAGTACGCTTGTTCCTGACATCTATTTCAATATACTCCACAGACACAATACACTAGTTCCTGACAACTATCTCCATATATTCCCCGACAATTTACACAATACGCTTGTTCCTGACATCTATTTCAATATACTCCACAGACACGATACACTAGTTCCTGACAACTATCTCCATATATTCCCCGCCAATTTACACAATCCGCTAGTTCCCGACAACTATCTCCATATACTCGACCGACAATTTACACAATACGCTAGTTCCCGACAACTATCTCCATAAACTCCACCAACACAATACACTAGTTCCTGACAACTATCTCCATATATTCCCCGACAATTTTCACAATACGCTTGTTCCTGACATCTATTTCAATATACTCCACAGACACAATACACTTGTTCCTGACAATTATCTCCATATATTCCCCGACAATTTACACAATGCGCTAGTTCCCGACAACTATCTCCATATACTCCACCGACAATTTACACAATACGCTAGTTCCCGACAACTATCTCCATAAACTCCACCAACACAATACACTAGTTCCTGACAACTATCTCCATATATTCCACCGACAATTTACACAATACGCTTGTTCCTGACATCTTTTTCAATATACTCCACAGACACAATACACTAGTTCCTGACAACTATCTCCATAATTTCCCCGACAATTTACACAATATGCTTGTTCCTGACATCTATTTCAATATACTCCACAGACACGATACACTAGTTCCTGACAACTATCTCCATATATTCCCCGCCAATTTACACAATCCGCTAGTTCCCGACAACTATCTCCATATACTCGACCGACAATTTACACAATACGCTAGTTCCCGACAACTATCTCCATAAACTCCACCAACACAATACACTAGTTCCTGACAACTATCTCCATATATTCCCCGACAATTTTCACAATACGCTTGTTCCTGACATCTATTTCAATATACTCCACAGACACAATACACTTGTTCCTGACAATTATCTCCATATATTCCCCGACAATTTACACAATACACTAGTTCCCGACAACTATCTCCATATACTCCACCGACAATTTACACAATGCGCTAGTTCCTGACAACTATCTCCATATACTCCACCGACAATTTACACAATACGCTTGTTCCTGACATCTATTTCAATATACTCCACAGACACAATACACTAGTTCCTGACAACTATCTCCATATATTCCCTGACAATTTATACAATGTGCTAGTTCCTCACATATCTTTAAATATACTCCACCAACACAAAACACTAGTTCCTGACTATTATCTCAATATACTCCACCACAAACATAAACCATATACTGTCTCCTGATAGCCATCTCTATATACTCTGCCAACAACATCCCCTCTACACTGTTTACCGACAACTATCTACATACTTTCCTGTATGCAACTTAATTATCTTAAAGTTCTACATCTGTTCCACAATAAACTTACGCTGTTTCCTCTGTGAAAGTGACCATTCTTTCCCCTCTCCACATCTCCCGGAATGCTCCCCCCTCGGGGTGCGGGATCAGATGTAACTGGTCAGTCAGCTGCTTGATCTCGGGATCACTCATCTTGAAATTGCTGACCTCAACAGAAAAGAATCCATTGCAATCCATGGGTCCAGTTTATATCTAATGTCAGGTTACTAATTACAATTTTATCAACCAATCCGTTCTAATTTGTTTTTCCTGTATAAATTAAACCTTAATAAGTCGTAAGAGGCAACTAACAGGATCGGGTGGTCAGACTCGCTGACTTGGTTGATGCAGAGACCATTGGTCTCTGGTTGATGCATGTCATAATATCCCAATTGCGAGGATCACTGCTCATGATGTTAATCACTGGATTGTCTGGTACAGACCGCCGTCATATAGCTGGAATATTGCTGAGTGTGGCGTTAAACAAACAAAAAATATGATAAATTTCATAAATTATATATGGTCTTATGGTTTGTTATTTCCAAACGGTTGCAGACTCATTAACCTAACACCCATTTCTCCGACTTCTCTCGACTTTTTTCAACACTTTTGCACCAGGGACCTAGGTGTAAATAATTTATTTAGGTCAGTGTCGCACACTTATCACATGACCCCTTTCGAGAAGACCCTAGTTCAGAACAACGGAGAATGATGAATTATCTGCCCCGAGGGGATTAACTGTGTGTCCAGCACCTTGACAAGGTCAGAAAAACCCTTGTCAAGCTGAAAAAGTTTTACTCCATGAATTGATTGTCGCTCTTCAATCAGGCCAGGTCGATATATGACTACCCATTCTTGGCTATACCTATTTAGGTCAGTGTTTTATGACCTCAAAATGAATAATTTAGAGTAACGCCAATGTTCCCATGTCATTGTAATTCACATAAAATTATCTGGCTGCTAGAAACCTTATTACAGCTCTTGTCATGCACAAAAAACAGTTAAACCCTCGACAATGAGGGTATGCTGTTTACCTGCACGCGTAGTCGGCGATTCTGTGGTTGATGCTTACAATGAATCTGATTGGTCGCTTAAAATTGCTCAGCTAATCAAAACGTTTGTTACTTGGCAGCCCATGTAACAGGTCTATTCGTGTACATAAAGAGTACATATTCCACAGTGTATACGATATCGTGTAAATAACAGACAATGTATCACAATTTACACGATATCGTGTAAATAACAGACAATTTATCACAATATGCACGACATCGTGTAAATAACAGAACTTTAACCGTAATATGCACGATATCGTGGGAATAACAGCACACGATATATATATATGTTTGCGGTTTATAGGCCTAGTATCTACACAGATCAACACATCGATCTCGGCATTTGCGCAACTGTTAGAACCCACAACACTGGTTTTTAATGATACTCGTTGATAAAATCGAATATAATAAATAATACATGCAGTCATCTACTAGTATATCTATATATATACAAATAAATATTTATTCATTTACACATCTTATTTACTGGGTATATTTTACATTATATTAAATGATTATTTATATGCCTTGTTAAAATGTAGACATTAATTGCGCAAAAAATCGTTTTTGCTTTTTCCACGGCGATAGATGTGTGACAACCCTGTCATATATTCCTCAGTACGCAATTTGTAGCGATCCCCTGATGACAATAACCTACAATACTGTATACGTATGCTAAGAAATAAATACCTAAATAACATATCAGAGTTGCCCTATTCAATTCTAATAAGAACGGTTTATGTATTCCTATATCTGATGACTGATTATTGGTTCAAAGTTCCAAATACAAATATTTAATATTGTTCTCAATTGAATTTTTTACATATTGGTGTCCTATTAAATCAAAATGCGATATTTTCGCATGCAAATTACGATCAGTCAAACATTTTGTCCATCTTTGGTGTTAAAATGATTAATGTTATTTTTTTTGTTTAAAACACATGTAATGTTGCTTCCGTTGAATCTATAAATGGCAGGGGTAATTACAGACGCATTTGCATGTATATGAATATTTTAGGTCCGTTTAGTCACTATTTGTCACATACTTTTTGTCAAATGAAGATGTTTGTTACTGGGGGTGGGGGATCCTAACATGTTTTTTGGTAACGAGGGTCGGTGCCCATGGGGGTAGGGGGTGTAACTAGAATTGTGTCCCAAACGATAACATATATAGGTAAAAGGTTTGCTGTCTTTGTGTTGGTGTGGGTGTACAATCTGTTCATATTATTTCTTATTCATACTGATTTACACAAGTTTTCGGTCAACACACTGGTGCACTATTACATCTCAACTAACGAGCTTACCATGTCATCATGTTCTGACGGAGAAAAACTGTCAGTTTAAGACGATTGGCGTAGTATATATTAACAAAATTAAGAAAAGGAAAAATCACACAAGACATATATTAACTAAGGAATTATTTGTTAATTATATGTAAGAAGTGATTCGTTGAAATGGTTTAATGAGTATTTTGTAATTGCGTTAATCCAAACACGTATACACAATCAACAATCTTTTAAAATATCTGTTTTTGACACGCTGAAGAAAGTCCCAAAGTACTTCTGTAAATCATTCACACGTCTTCAAACTGCATGCAACATATAATTCAACAAGTGCTTCCTGCGCCTGTGCTGGAAGTAAGCGTGTTTGTCACTGTAAGCAAGCGTGTCTGTATATCTAAAAAAAACAACCAACTTTTGTTGGTTGGTAGACACAGGTGTTTGGTTGATTGTCAACTGATATGACATATTAAGATATATGTTGTTTATTATGACGATATTTTGACAGAATTCTCACAGCTGAAATATTTGCAAAAATTCAGCGTTAGTTTCGAGGATTAACAAATGACTTTTACAGAGTCAATTGTTTTATACTGATAATAGTAACATTCCGTGCTAATAAAATCCATATACGAAAAGTAATGGAACGTTTTTTTAGGGCTACTTGAGTGTGCAGGGTGACTGACTGGTAGTCAGCTGATACTTGTTATGGTGTATTGTTTGTTGTTGAATTCTGCTATTTTAACCTGCCATACTTAGCGGGTTCAACCAACCATTCACTTTCAGTTTCAACGACAAACTGTAATAACCAGACTGCCTGTTAACTGACATCACAATTTTGCAATCTTTCATCATTTATATTGTTTAAGGCCTGAAGATCATTAGTGTATTCGAATTATTTTTGGAAAATATTTCCGGTATTCGTCTTGGAATTCGCCAAAATCTTGATGATGATAAATGTGAATACATCGAGAGATTGAATAATGGGTTTATGTAAATAACGACACTTGGTCATCAATGGTTGTCTTTCGTAAAACGAATTCGGGATACCTTTTCTGTTGTCATCAGACCCTCCATTTTAGTTGACAACCGTCCACACACCCTGTTTTTCAGACTCGCTTACCCCCAGTGAAGTTGTGATCAGGCAACAACAATTATATTCACTGCTTGTTCGTCGGATACGCCGCATCTTATATTATGTTTTATTATTTTGTACATCTGACTGCCAAAAATGGCCGAAAGGTGTTATGGTGATCGGTCAATGCGGTGAGGAACAATTAATGGATTTGTTGTGGCCCAACAGTTTCTTCTTTGACCCATGCAGTGGAAAACATAATTATAACAGAAAACTTATAGAAGTTGAACAAGCAGTCCAAACCACAATGGAATTTATTTACACTCCCAACATGATAATCGTTGCTTCACTTCAGCAATTCGGCTTCAATCGATGAAATATATGCACAAAGAACTTAGTTAAGTACCCGCCTATTTTAGAAATTAAAAGTGTTAGCGTTAATAGCATTGTTGAAACAAATAATACCCGAATAAGTAATATACATTACCACTGATAAACATACATAATAACACAATTTGCACATAAGGTTCAGAACTAGGGCTATGAATGCAGGGGTACCATATTTTAGACTAAAATATGTATGGTTCTACAGAAAAAAACACATGATCAAACATAGGCCCCAATGAATAAATGCATCATTTAAGGTTGTCAGATAATGTTCCGTTAACAAGAAGTCATTTGTAGCTCACATTTACTAAACTCCCGCATGTTACATTAAATGTTGCATATTTTGCTCCCCATGTCTGAATAACATTTGTCAGAAAGTTGCCTTATTTCGATAATCTTGCATTGGATTTCAATTACATTTGCTCGACCATGTTCTTTATATTGCACTGATTGTCAAAGACTCCCAAATGTAACCAGGAGATGAATGGTTTGACTCCTTAACACCTTATAATATTTGCAAGGTGACATTTTGAAAGTATTGCAAGTTTGGGGAGCTGCAACATATCGGTTATGCACTTAATTCGGAAATGTATTTACAACAAATCATCTGTAGACGTAAAAAAATCATTTAAAGACAATAGCCCGGGTTTGACAAGAAAAGGAAAAATATCCTCTGTTTTCTCCAACTAAGTTGCAGTTGAAAATCAGATTAGTTAAAGTAAGCATTGCTGTTTGCTGTAATGTTACGCGAGTATCAGATTACATATTGATATTGTAATGTTTCTCCGTGATGGTATTACACCATTATTATAATTCAGTCTGCAATATACTACTACTCGATCTACTGGGTAAATATCTATAAACGTATCTGCTTGACTACATGAGATAAACAAGGTATTCGTTGAGAAAAGACAAATATCCTTCAATATGAACTTACATGCCAGCGAGATATTCCATGTTATGATATAACTGACAGTCAGATATTCCACGTCTGTGAATTAATCAGGCTACACTGGTGGTATCGTCACTATTCAGGGTGAAAACATCATGTATCGGCACTTGTCACGGCGAAGGAACAATACGACGACGTGTGTAGAGGACGTTACAGACGTGGGCACTAAGTGTTACGAATAACATAACAGCCGATGACGTCATTGGGGTTTAGTCGACACTAATTTGGGCTAATTTGGTAGAATTATTATGCAAGAATTATGTATCGAATATAAAGTCTTTCTTGACGAATACCATGATTATCCCATCGATTGAATAGAAAGAGATCTCTACATCGATCCTCAGTTCAACATTCAAGTTGGTGTCTCATTATTTCATCGCACATAATGTGCAGAGAAAACGGCCTTTTGGTTTTTCTTGACACAGGCATCGTGGCACCATCTGTCACGGTCATCACTCAAGATCCACTGAGTTCTTCTTCTCTTCCTAATGCTTGGCAGCAAACAGAAAGGCAGATCACAAGCTTCATCTTTGTTGTCCTTCATGTTATCAAAAACTGTGCGGGCGACATATCTCCTGCCAGCGTTGCAGTGTACTTGTCTTGTTATCCTCACATCCAGACCTTTCATAATGGCTATCAATAAACACATATATACATGTTCAGGACTATATATTTCCTGTTATTCCTGTCAGCATGTATTTACAACGTGCAAGCGATTGATAAAATACTAGTTTAGGACCCAACGAAATTATAACGAGCCGTGCACCATGCATTGTAAATTTCAGCTTGCGATGAAGTTTGGCGCACGTGCAACAGCGGCAGGGAACGCATTCCTCGTGCATCACGCACGGGCGACTCACGCAGTGGAAATACAGACGACAAAGCTTTCTGGTTTATTTCTCAAATAAATTCCACAAGAGAATGTTTTGTCAAAGTGTAAAAGGAGGGATGTGTTTTAAGTAGGGGACAATCCTTGAGTGTTACTCGGACATTCCCCTCGTCTTACTCTCATTCTGAGCGGCATTGCTCAGCTTGAAATTCTTTCAGACTCAAAAGGGTAATCTCCTTTGACTTAAATACACGATAATGGGTAGATGACACCGTCTTTCCAATAGTCGACAATCCATGTATGTTGAGCAATACTCCAGGAGCTCCAGTCTTTGGCGTCTACAATTCACAAGTTTTGAGGTTCGATCGAGCATGCTCTTCCTGTGACGACTTCAGAGCGGGTCATGTGACTTGCTCAGAGGCTGTTCGTGAAGGGCACAACGTGCAATGCTTCAGTAAAGCTTTCCTTTCTTGTAGACGCAAATTTAACCATCAGTGACAAATTTTATATCCGATGCAATTCCCAAATTTGACTTGTACCATACGTTCCTGTGTTGTTTTTAGGTGAATAAATTGACTTGTCTTTGCATGTGTTTGTGACAAGTACCTCGGTGGGGGAAGAATACTTTCACTGGAAGTGCATGTAACTTGCTTATGTACCTAGAGGTCGCAATGCATGTGGCACGTATTTTCTCCAACCCGGAAAGGTATAAATCAACGGGAAGTGTTCTTTGTTTAAAGTAGCTGGAGACATAGGACTTCGTGTTTGAAAGTTATCTTCCATTAGACATGATTGTTTTTACAAACCGGAAGTGCATATAAATTTTTTCATTAATGTTGTAAGAGGCATAAGCTTTTCTGTTTCAAAGTTGTACTGCATTTAACATTTGTTTTCCAAAAACCGGAAGTGATGTCATTAAACCTGAAGTGCTTATATATTTTAACGCTGTACGGAATTGGGCCTGATGACCGCACCAAAAGTAATTGTTTGTATACTGTAATACTTTGTTCGCTCGTTGTTTTCGAACAAAATAATTATGAACATAATTTTGTAGTACAGTATGATTACAAGGATGTCCTGATTTGGACGATATCAAATAACAAATACATTTCTGCCATTGTTAGTGCCGCGTGTCTTACAATAAAAGCTAAATTTCTTTTATCATCACAAGAGAGGAAACTTTCAAATTTCATATTTGTGGGAAGGCCCTGGCCCCCGCTACAGACATTATCGCACATCGTCTCCCATAACCAGGTGAAATCGGCATCTGGTGGGGTGTGGTTAGAGCGGTCGTAACACAAGCGGAATAAAGACACCTCATTGAGCACACGTTGTTTGTGTTTATTTTGAACACTTTGTAGTCGTAGTATACACAACATACAAAACACGCTACATTTCATCACACATGTGACATGGATACCAACAAAGGCGTTAATCCAATTCTTGGCAGATTTCTGTGGCACGTGAAGAAATGTTCATTTTAAAATTAAATTAAAGAGTAATTCGGTAATGGTGGCAGTGGTGCCACCTGGCGTCACTCCGAGGAAATTTGAGTTTAGACAGATCCACCAACACGAACATATTTATCGCTGTATAAATAAATTGCAAGTGATTTCTGTGGCATTTCATTGAGTAACCAAGCAAATCTTTTTCCGTTTGTTTTTCCATAATTCGTCCATTAACGAACTGCTGTTTCCAGAATGGTCAATAAAGGAATGGGCATTGTATTGTCTACATTTTGTTATACTACGAAAACATTACTTTAAAACACTTGTATTTTTTCTTTTCTCCAAAAGAACCTTTCCTCTTCTGCTGTGGAATCAAGGACACTGACTTGGTTCAGTTTGATCTAGACTTGCCCTGGCTTTAAGTAAAACAAATAAGATATATATTCCAGTCTTGGCTCAGGACTGCCATACAGTTGTGTGCACTTCAGTATTGTAATCAAGGAATGATATAATGGAGAAAATAGTTTGTCGTGGACTGTGTGTAATGTTTCAGATTTTCATGGCAGCAACTGAGCTGTATAACATCAGTGAACAATGCATCTGAACATCCCCATGTTAGAGATGGATCACCTTGTTATAGTGAGTGAGTTGGGTTTAACTCCTCTTTGAACAGTATTTCAGTTATTTGCGTCACTCTTGATCACAAGGCCACCAGCGCCCCCAGTAACCTCCCAATTGTCAGATGGTTTATACCGGGATGAGGTAAGGTTGAGTGCCCTGGCAATTGTAACCTGTTTACCTTAGTGTTTTTGTTGTTTGTTGTTGATCCACGCAATTTGGATACGATAACATGCATCAACCAAGTCACGGAACCTGACCACCCGATCCCGTTAGTCGCCGCCTACAACAAGCATAGTCACCTTTTGCGGTAAGCATGGGTTGCTGAAGACCTATTCTACCTGGATCTGTTATAAAGAAGTGGAGATATAATACACTTGGTCCTCAAGGACAATCACAGCTGTGTGTCATGAAGCTCCTCCTTTGGCGAAGCTCCTGCTTGATAGTCCACCAAAATATGATTTTCTGTAGAATTTCTATATTCTGTGACTAGTAGAAGCAGAACATAACAAATATTCAGGTTCTGATCAATGACATTTTATTCTGGTGGACATGAAATATTTACAGGAGAGACAGAAAGAAACACATCCAATCATTTATGTCATCTCCAGCAGCCTGGCGCTCAGAACCAAACAAGACATAGAAACTGTAACCAGTGACGACAGGAGAATAGACAGCCAAGAGCTACATAGAGACAGATGCAGATGCAGCATGTTGTATAACATCCTATGTACATAGAAGACAGGTCATAGTGAGACACCCTCACTGAGACTGGGGGTAATGGAACAACATCATACCATACATATTCAGCAGCCAAGTGGGTTAAGGGGCCACTGACAACAGATTCAAGACATCTTCCCGAGGCAAGGGAGGTAACTCACAGTGAAGCTGGACTTTTATAGTCAGTTAACTCCCTTGCCTCGATGTGAAAGAGTTAGATGGCTTGTGGACATGGATGAAACATCTAAAATATTGTCTTTTAATATGTATTTCAGAAACACATGACCCACAAAATTAATGGAATCGGATTTTGGAAGAATATTGTTTTGCATGGAGTATCATGTACTCACACTGAGACGTGCAATCTCAAGTATGACACATGGAGATAGATGTAATTGTTAAATGTGAAATAATAAACCTGGCAACAGTGAACACTACAGTGTGACACAATGATATACGCGACATTCTACAGCATCGCTTATAATTACATGTTAAGTACATACACCATGAAATAACTTACATTATGAAAATACACTCTGTGATTATAACAACTAGGATTATGGCATATTTCAACTTCATAAATACATATTACATAACAAAGCCTTGTATTACTATTCATGTACTCTTCCTCCGCTATATTGCATCAATAACACCCAGGGACCATCTCAAAGTTCAAGACAGTTATTTTGATTTTTCTCTCATTACGTGCTTTGTATACATTCTGAAACAAATTATGCATCACTACATTTGAGATGTCCCCTGAGTTGACAAGAGCTGTTTGTGGTTACCATGTAGTATCTATGGTATTCTGCTACATGTTGGCTATCACAGCATCCGCAGGTTCAACCAAGGTATGTACAATAACACGGAAATACAGGCCTCGAACACATTCTCTGAGAACTGAACATCAGAATCTATGAGGTTGTAATGATTCAGCGATGATACGGTACTTTGTGATAAAATGTAATGATACAAGTAGTCGACATGATTGTGTCACAAGGTCATGTATGGATACAAACATCATCAATATGTATGATGGAGACACAATGTCATTAACATGTAATCAAAGATACTATTTTCCAAAGCCACTCTAATTATAACTGATTCAAACTGACTTTGTTTAATGTGGACCTTCATTTATTCTCATGGAACAAACCTAAATAGAAGTGTTGAAATTCATGTGTTGTATTGCATCGTATCACACCGCTATCAATGTAATAAACATTATTGTTACAGCCTTAACCCTGACCATCAACATACAGTAGGAAGTGATGAATAAACATGAGTACATGGGCTCACTACTAAAACAAGAGGCATGGATCACGTCCTAGACACATTACAAAGCTTGGATGATGACAATGATGAGGATGGGGATATGGAATAATGTGCTCTTATATCTACTCACACCATGCAAGTTCAGAACCAGAACCCATGCAGTTGAGGCCGTTGAAATAAAACCATCAATATACCATGCAATTGTTTCCATAGAAACATAACTATCACATATCTTTCAGCAGTTAATATTCATTAGCTTGTGGCAAAATTACCTCAAATACAATAAACTCTACAAAAATATGGTAACTGTTGCTGTTCTTGTCAGTGAGTATGCTGTAATACTTTCTGTTGGAAGACTGACGCTGGAAGATGGGATTCAGCTTTGTAGTTTAAAGTATGGGACACTGGAAGATGGGATTCAGCTTTGTAGTTTAAAGTATGGGACACTGGAAGATGGGATTCAGATTTGTAGTTTAATGTATGGGACACTGGAAGATGGGATTCAGCTTTGTAGTTTAAAGTATGGGACACTGGAAGATGGGATTCAGCTTTGTAGTTAAAAGTATGGGACACTGGAAGATGGGATTCAGCTTTGTAGTTTAAAGTATGGGACACTGGAAGATGGGATTCAGCTTTGTAGTTTAATGTATGGGACACTGGAAGATGGGATTCAGCTTTGTAGTTTAAAGTATGGGACACTGGAAGATGGGATTCAGCTTTGTAGTTTAAAGTATGGGACACTGGAAGATGGGATTCAGCACAGTACTTCGTCAAAATTTCACAGTTATGCTACCTGTTGCATAAGGGTGACAATCAGACACGAGCAGGAAAATATTATGTTGTTGTCTCTGATCACACCAAAATGTGCGAGATGCTTTGTGTTTCAACTTCTTGACCTAAGACTGACTTGCGGCACATTCCCTAATATCAGGGATCACTGCATCAAGTGCCTTGTGGAAAATGTATGGAAGACCAAGAATCCTTTGAATACAATAAAACACAACATCCCAAAAGCCTCTGATCATTCTGTAACACAATGGCAAGTCCTTCCTTAGTCGATACAGGGGAGATAACTCCACATACGAATAATACATCGTCATGTGGACTAAACTTCACCTCACTCACTCAATAAAATATTCATTATATGTTTGATTAGATCTTGTGAAACGATCAACTAAAAAAATATTGTAATTATGAATTTTCACTGTATTAAGCAATGAATTTATCAATTCTACAAAATTTACCTCGAATGAAGAGAAAAACAATACACTATTGCATTAAAACAGTTATCATCCGCCCCACGAAAGCAAAACAAAGGAAAAACACTGCATCCTGTTAGTGTGTTAGTGGGCTGGGTATACAGTGTATATCACCCTCCTGGTAACACTCGTTACTCCCCACAAGCTGGATGTAACAACAGATTCTGGTGATGGAGCACTATAAAACACTTAAGGGTGACTAATAGTCTTAATGTTGGCTATTTACATTTAAACAGTGTGTGATATTTGGCAGTGACACTCCAACGACAGATTCTGAAGACACACTCGTACACATGGCCATGATGATATAAAACAGGGAGAAGCAAACACAATCTGTGATAAGTGAAATTTAAAAATGTGCTCAGGAACAATGTATTAAAATGCTGACAAAACTATGATGGTTACGATGAAGAAGAGTTAAAACATTGAGGTTTTGAAATAACTGGAAAGAATAAATCAAAATTAATTCACATTTGCTTTTTGGTCCCTTCATAACAACAACTTTAATCAACAGTTCAATAACAGTGTTAGCAATATTTACAACACATGATGTCTTCCCACAACGGCCAACACAGGAATATCCTGGTGCCAACATGAGTGTGTTGCCCTCTACAAGAGGCCCACCACCATGGTGAATCAAGACACAGATCGCGACTAAATCAATGAAAAAGCTGTTTCCCCAACAAACTTTGTACCTGCTGAGAGGATTATTTCATATATTTAAAATTAACCACAAACGAGATGCCTTCGTGCACTTGATATGCTTTTAAATATCAACCAATGGAAGGTTTTGTGATGGATGATGTATGTATAAATGGATGTGGAAACTTTCCAAAGATAATGCTGTCAACTACTAATTCTAATCCAAGATACAGATACTTTGCCCCAGTCAGATGCCCGAGTAAACAGATGAATGAGAAATCTTAGCAATGTTCAGAAGACTTGTCCCTTGTATTTACAGCAGCCATTGTTGACTGGGGCCATGTGATGAGCTCCGTAGTTGTCTGTGACAGAAACAAGTCAAGTAATGCTTGTGATGAACTACTGTTCATAGGGACACCAAATACCAAAGATGACGTCAGGGGTTTGTATGATGTCATCGTGGTTCGGGTTTTGTACGATGTCATCGTAGGTCGGGGATTTGTGTGACGTCATTGTGGGTCAGGTTGAGTACCTAGGTTGAAGGAGTGGTATCATCTTTTAGTGGTGGGTATCTTGAAACCGGACTCTCTTGCCGATTTCTCCATGTTGGAACCTGCTTTGTGCAGCACCTTGTAGGTCTTGGACACTGCAACACAACAGGAAGAACAACGTCAACACCTGACACAGACTTAATGACTTCTGCAATACCAGAAGAAATACTGAAGACAGCAGCTGTTACGAAACAGATCTCAATATATATATCTGTCTGATAATAAATATTCATACAGTAGCACAATGTGCTTGTTAAAACTGTAGGAGATGCCGTATCTATTCACAATAAGGGAGAATACTGCATTAGGTGCAATTACCACTTTCTCCCAATAACCGCCCTTGTCACCTCAATAGCACATACAAGCAAAAATTGATGGTGGCAGGTGCTTGCTGCTGACCTAGCAGAAACCATGACAGTCCTGAGCTGTAAACATGGATAATAATCTCAAATACTCTGATCAAGATTGAAATAGTATTATGAAATAAATCAGAAAACAATTAGATTCCTAGTCCCTCCTGATGATGTACCTGCAGTCCTCAATACTTGACAAGGCTGTGATATACCGCTTCTGTATCACCCACGAATACACATCATATACAGCTGTCTTAAGTGTTGTTGCTATAGTAACCAATGGATAGAGCTACAGCATGATACCAGTGCTCAATAAACGCTCCATTTACATATGTAATTTTGTGTGCCATCAACTCAACACACCGCTTCAACATCATGAAATGGTCGGGTTCACATGAGTTCATGTATATAGTACGATTCCGTGATTCATAAACAGACTTCGTTCATTAGCATTGTTTCCTGACCCGAAACAGACACACGTCACCATTGCAGTGTGGTCCGTACATCCTCATGGGTGAAGGAGGAAGGTAATGTGAAACCCTGTGAGGTATTTAACGATCGACCTACACTTTCAATAAGAACCTTACAAGCAAATCACAGAAGAGAAACAAACAATTAAATGGTTAGTATTGTATTGGCTGCCACCAGAACACCAGAGTACATTATCACATCTACTGACATCAGCATACCTCTGGCATGAAATAAACATGAGTAAGGCAAAGAGTATGATACAAAACACATCTAGAAACAGAAAACATATAATCCACACAAAGATGTAGAGCAGCAAGGGCTTGTGTTGTCAGCACCGGGCTCCCAAGTCTTCACAACAGAGAGAGAGTACATCACACACACCTCCTGTCACACAGAGAGTACATCACACACACCTCCTGTCACAGAGAGTACATCACACACACCTCCTGTCACACAGAGAGTACATCATACACACCTCCTGTCACACAGAGAGTACATCATACACACCTCCTGTCACACAGAGAGAACATCATACACACCTCCTGTCACACAGAGAGTACATCACACACACCTCCTGCCACACAGAGAGTACATCACACACACCTCCTGTCACACAGAGAGTACATCACACACACCTCCTGCCACACAGAGTACATCACACACACCTCCTGTCACACAGAGAGTACATCATACACACCTCCTGTCACACAGAGAGTACATCATACACACCTCCTGTCACACAGAGAGAACATCATACACACCTCCTGTCACACAGAGAGTACATCACACACACCTCCTGCCACACAGAGAGTACATCACACACACCTCCTGTCACACAGAGAGTACATCACACACACCTCCTGTCACACAGAGAGTACATCATACACACCTCCTGTCACACAGAGAGTACATCACACACACCTCCTGTCACACAGAGAGTACATCATACACACCTCCTGTCACACAGAGAGAACATCATACACACCTCCTGTCACACAGAGAGTACATCATACACACCTCCTGTCACACAGAGAGTACATCACACACCTCCTGTCACACAGAGAGTACATCACACACACCTCCTGTCACACAGAGAGTACATCACACACACCTCCTGTCACACAGAGAGTACATCATACACACCTCCTGCCACACAGAGAGTACATCACACACACCTCCTGTCACACAGAGAGTACATCACACACACCTCCTGTCACACAGAGAGTACATCACACACACCTCCTGTCACACAGAGAGTACATCACACACACCTCCTGTCACACAGAGAGTACATCACACACACCTCCTGTCACACAGAGAGTACATCATACACACCTCCTGTCACACAGAGTACATCATACACACCTCCTGTCACACAGAGAGTACATCATACACACCTCCTGTCACACAGAGAGTACATCACACACACCTCCTGTCACACAGAGAGTACATCATACACACCTCCTGTCACACAGAGAGTACATCATACACACCTCCTGTCACACAGAGAGTACATCATACACACCTCCTGTCACACAGAGAGTACATCATACACACCTCCTGTCACACAGAGAGTACATCATACACACCTCCTGTCACACAGAGAGTACATCATACACACCTCCTGCCACACAGAGACGATGTGGAATGTGCGGGTAGCTCCATCATATTATCAGTGTTCCCGCTGGCTTTTGAAACTGACTGTCCTTGGAGAATGGCATCTCTAAAAATTACCAGTTCCCCTAATTTTTGTCAGTCCCAACTTTCAACAAATGAAGAAACCTATGAAATTTACCTGGTTTTAATTCTTTCATCATGTTCAGTGCAATGACGTCATCTCTGAAGTAACTTAATTAGATCTAAGCGTCATTCAGACAAACTTCAGTCACAATTTTCTCCTTTTTTCCCCAATAGTTCAAGATGAAGATGCTACAAACGGATATTTAACCTCGAAGCAAAGCGAAATGCTACTTGCACTCAAAATAGACAAGAGGAAACCCTGGTAAAAGACAAGCTGACTCCTTAAAAAAATATTCTTATATGAATATCGCTGATGTTTTGCTCAACAATAATGATTTATAAGGTACTTTATTTGCTGGTCCACAGGGTAATTACCGGTAAACGGGAACACTGATATTATACATCCATACTACTACTGTGACAAACACGCTTGACCCACTTGCTACCACAGCTTCATACTGAGTCCCACTATGATGCTGAAAATATTCAAACTACTGTCATGGGTAAGAGATGGAAATGTAACTTCCGAAACGAAGCTATGGTGGCAAATGTGTCCTGGGTATTCATCATAATATAATGGAGATAAAACCCACCTGAGTAGGGAGGATGAATACAGAGGCCAAAGCCTTTTTATGAGATGTAATTAGCTGTCTTACAATTTTGCAATGACCATGAACTTTCAAGATCTGATTTAGTTGGTTAATTTGTCTAAATGGAGGTATAATGGCCTGGTCACATCTACTGCAGCTCCATCTCCACATGCCTTAATGTGACAGAAGGTTTCCTGTGTTCAGTAGGAGGTGGAATACATAACACACACAAGACAGACGGATGGACAACCTGATAGACTGACAGACAGATGGACACAGACAAGGTTTGCACCTAGAGGTCCTCCACCCACCGGTGTTTGTCCAGCAGGGACCGATCTGTGGAACACATGCACAAACACACACATTACTACGCCTACATGCACATGACTACACAAGTCGGCTGACTGGTCTGTGAAACATACACACATTACTACACCTATAGCAGTCTTGTATACAACAACACAAGTTGGCCGACTGGTCTGTGAAACATATACACATTACTACACCTAAAGCAGTCTTGTATACACCAACACAAGTCGGCTGACCGGTCTGTGAAACATATACACATTACTACATCTATAGCAGTCTTGTATACACCAACACAAGTTGGCTGACTGGTCTGTGAAACATACACACGCATTAATATGTTATTTGACTTGTTCAACATTGTCCCTCTTCCTATCTACTCACATTGTTTATACAGCACTTGTTCTACGTTCTGCCTATCTTCTCACATTGTTTATACAGCACTTATTCTACGTTCTGCCTATCTACTCACATTGTTTTATACAACACTTGTTCTACGTTCTGCCTATCTACTCAAATTGTTTATACAACACTTGTTCTACCTATCTACTCACATTGTTTATACAGCTCTTGTTCTACATTCTCCCTATCTACTCACATTGTTTATACAGCACTTGTTCTACGTTCTGCCTATCTACTCACATTGTTTATACAGCACTTGTTCTATTTTCTCCCTATCTACTCACATTGTTTATACAGCACTTGTTCTACGTTCTGCCTATCTACTCACATTGTTTATACATTACTTATTCTATGTTCTCCCTATCTACTCACATTGTTTATACAGCACTTGTTCTACGTTCTGCCTATCTACTCACATTGTTTCTACATTACTTATTCTATGTTCTCCCTATCTACTCACATTGTTTCTACAGCTCTTGTTCTACATTCTCCCTATCTACTCACATTGTTTATACAGCACTTGTTCTACGTTCTGCCTATCTACTCACATTGTTTATACAGCACTTGTTCTATTTTCTCCCTATCTACTCACATTGTTTATACAGCACTTGTTCTACGTTCTGCCTATCTACTCACATTGTTTATACATTACTTATTCTACGTTCTGCCTATCTACTCACATTGTTTCTACAACACTTGTTCTACGTTGTGCCTATCTACTCACATTGTTTATACAGCACTTGTTCTACGTTCTCCCTCTGCCTGTTGGTAGCCTGGAGTCGGTGGTCAGCCTCGCGGACCTGGTGTTTCAGAAGGTCGTACTTGGAGCGCAGGTGGACCAGGTTACGCTTTAAGTCCTCGTTCTGGGGCAGAAATTGAACAGTGCACCAAACACATTTAACACCTATCCCGACCCTTGAGCCACCCAACAATCTTGTGAGCCACCGGCCACACCAAGACTCACCCAGCCATCCCCCCACCCAGTCACCCTGTAAGCCACCGGCCACACCAAGACTCACCCAGCCACCCCTGGACTCACCCAGTCACCCTGTGATCCACCGGCCACCCAAAGACTCACCCAGCCACCCTGGGAAGAATTCAGTTTCCTTGAACCACCCAACTAACCAACCTGTGTATCACCCAGTTAATCTGTGAACCATGCCACCCCATTGCCCCGGAACCACCAACTTAAACATCCCAGCTTCCTGTGAACCACCCCACTGAAACATCCCAGCTTCCTGTGGCCCCGACTGAAACATCCCAGCTTCCTGTGAACCACCCGACTGAAACATCCCAGCTTCCTGTGAACCACCCCACTGAAACATCCCATCTTCCTGTGAACCCCTACTGAAACATGACAGCCACCCCACTGAAAAACCCCATCTTCCTGTGAACCACCCCACTGAAACATCCCATCTTCCTGTGAACCACCCACTGACTCCCAGCTTCCTGTGAACCTCCAACTTAATCATCCCAGCTTCCTGTGAACCCCCCCATCTTCCCATGAACCCCGACTGAAACATGACAGCTTCCTGTGAACCACCCCGCTGCCTAGGAACCCCCCACTGAAACATCCCAGCTTCCTGTGAACCCCCCACTGAAACATCCCAGCTTCCTGTGAACCCCCCACTGAAACATCCCATCTTCCTGTGAACCCCTACTGAAACATGACAGCCACCCCACTGAAAAACCCCATCTTCCTGTGAACCACCCCACTGAAACATCCCATCTTCCTGTGAACCACCCACTGACTCCCAGCTTCCTGTGAACCTCCAACTTAATCATCCCAGCTTCCTGTGAACCCCCCCATCTTCCCATGAACCCCGACTGAAACATGACAGCTTCCTGTGAACCACCCCGCTGCCTAGGAACCCCCCACTGAAACATCCCAGCTTCCTGTGAACCCCCCACTGAAACATCCCAGCTTCCTGTGAACCCCCCACTGAAACATCCCAGCTTCCTGTGAACCCCCCACTGAAGCATGACAGCTTCCTGTAACCCCCCACTGAAACACCCCATCTTCCTGTGAACCACCCCACTGAAACATCCCAGCTTCCTGTGAACCATCCACTGAAACATCCCAGCTTCCTGTGAACCACCCCACTGAAACATCCCAGCTTCCTGTGAACCACCCACTGAAACATCCCAGCTTCCTGTGAACCACCCACTGAAACATCCCAGCTTCCTGTGAACCACCCCACTGAAACATCCAATCTTCCCATAAACCCCGACTGAAACACGACAGCTTCCTGTGAACCATCCCCGCTGCTTAGGAACCCCCCACTGAAACATCCCATCTTCCTGTGAACCCCCCACTGAAACATCCCAGCTTCCTGTGAATCCCCCACTGAAACACCCCATCTTCCTGTGAACCACCCCACTGCCCTTTAACACACCTGTGAACCACCCAACCAACCTGTGAAATCCCCTAGTACTGAAGCACTACTACCCATAATTGAAACAGTATGTATATTCTAGAATATTACAAGAAGCAACTCACCTCAGAGGCCATCTTTGGGTCGAAGAATTCCCCCAGCTCGTTGATGGGCGGCAGCTGTGAGACCCAGAATGAGGACACCAGTCTCTGCTCCTGCTCCAGACAGATGCGGAGGTTCTCCGCCGACATGCCCAGCTCCTTCAGGGTGCTGTACTCCACACTCTGGGGACAGAACATAGCATCAATTATCAGTGCTGGGGACAGTTAACCTGGCTGCCATTAGCGCTGGGGACAGACAACATGGCTGCCATTAGCGCTGGGGACAGACAACATGGCTGCCATTAGCGCTGGGGACAGACAACATGGCTGCCATTAGAGCCGGGGACAGACAACATGGCTGCCATTACAGCTGGGGATAGACAACATGGCTGCCATTAGCGCTGGGGACAGACAACATGGCTGCCATTAGCGCTGGGGACAGACAACATGGCTGCCATTAGCGCTGGGGACAGACAACATGGCTGCCATTAGAGCCGGGGACAAACAACATGGCTGCCATTAGAGCTGGGGATAGACAACATGGCTGCCATTAGAGCTGGGGACAGACAACATTGCTGCCATTAGAGACGGGGACAGACAACATTGCTGACATTAGAGCTGGGGACAGACAACATGGCTGCCATTAGATCTGGGGATAGAAGACATGGCTGCCATTAGAGCCGGGGACAGACAACATGGCTGCCATTAGAGCTGGGGATAGAAGACATGGCTGCCATTAGAGCCGGGGACAGACAATATGGCCGCCATTAGAGCCATGGACAGAACATAGCATCAGTTATCAGTGTTGGGGACAGACAACATGGCTGACATCAGAGCTGGGGACAGACAACATGGCTGCCATCAGAGCTGGGGACAGACAATGGCTGCCATTACTGTCTGTGACAGTCACTGTCTTGTAAAAGTCCATGCAAGACGACTGGCGAGTCTGTACATGTTGTATGACAGATGACCTCATCAACTTTAATGTTAAGTAACTTGTTTGTCATGACAAAATTTAACTTCTTCACACTTCCGAGGGACCCAGCTGCGAGTCAGCCGTCAGTCAAGTGGTGCACAAGCCTACTCAGTTGACTCCTGCACACATCTCGACTGACAAACACATAGCAGCGCCTGGGACAGACAACATGGCCGCCACGTCCTCGCATACAGAGGAGCTGACTGCATCAAGCCAGTAGCAGGATATCACAAGAAATCATGTTGGATCATTGCTGAGGCAACTGGTTGATGAGAGACAAAAGGTATTTTTTAGTCTTGCTTTAATATGATCTAGAATGATATGCAATGCTAAGAAACTAAGTATGTTATGGCATGGAAGTTACAATAGTAACGCTTACAGAACTTTGAACCAGGTAATTATTTATGTTGACATTTACGACAAGTGACTGACACACAAGATCAAGACAAGGAGACACGACATCATTGATAATATCTATGTCCCATCAACGTGACCCAGTAATGAAGTTGGGTAGGGGTAGGTTGGCAGTGATAATGTTTGTTTGTTGTCTAATGCCTCACTCAGCAATAATACATCTATATGATGGCAATAATAGATCTAAATGATGGCAGCCTGTAAATAATTGAGTCTGGACCATACAATCCCGTGATTGCTATTGTTATCAATGACCTACGCAGTTTGGGTATGTTGACATGCTATCAACCAAGTCACCTAGCCTGGCCATCCAATCCATTAAAAGATTAACTAAATACAAGACATGTTAATTTAGGGAGCATGCACGTATAGAGAAATATGACATAAGATAAGGCAACTTTTCAGTTATAGTTGTTTTGCAGGGCAGGGATGATTGACCGAAATAAAAGCTTTCTATAGTTTATAGTCTGACATGTTATTCAATCTACTGATTGTCACCAAGTTACCAAGCTAAATACATGCTTGTAGCTTTCTACGAAGCCTTGTTAGTCAGGAAGATATGAGGGAGTGAGAGAGCAGCCCTGGACTCAAACCTTCCATCCAGATCTACAAGTGGGCATCTCAGTTCAACGTATTAACACCATTATCCAGAGACTCCCAATACTCCATACATGAACAAGTGTCTGTATCAGTCCACTTCCTTATAAAGCTTTTGAATTCTTCATTACCAGTAAGAAATATAGATAATGTATCATCTTATTTTCCATTTCCAAACATAAGGGATTAATTTGTCACATACCCCAAATGAAGTTATCGCATTAGTTCTTCATTTGATTCATTTGAACGAGAGTTTGAGAAAATACAACAATCATACCACCATAACCATTAAACTATCTATGCTACTGTCACCAAAGTTAGTGTACTCGTATGTTCGACTGTGACGCCTTAATCAGCAGAGCGACAAGGGTTCAGGTTCCACATCACTGGCAAAGCTACAGCATTGTCCTGCCATGGGTTCACTGTACCGATGTTGGGATTCAAACCCCAGTCAACAGTGTAACAAGCAAACAACTTCACCATTTGACTACCTTGATGAGGCAGACTTTTGATGATGGAACAACAACGTCAAGCAAGCATCCTTACATCCATGGCTTACATACTGACTTTGTGACTGACTGCAAGATTGATGTGTTGAACTGTCCTGAGTTAAATCAAAATTGTAATCAAAATCTAAATGTATTTTCTAAAATACATAGGCAATAAATAGAGGATGCACAGATTCAGGCAAGATGTAAAACTGCTTATACAGCACTAATATCAGCTCCAGGTGAAGGACCCTGCAGGGTAGCAGACTACAGTAGGACAGTACAGGCTGCACAATGGAGGATAGACTATACATGCATAACCCCCCGATCTAACTAGCATCACAGGATTAATGCCACATTGTATGCCACTATTTCAGTCCTATCACAGAGGTCTTCTTATAAGGGAGACGAGACAAGCGAGCTTGGATGTTTTTGTTGACAAAGCATCACCTTCACAGGTAAAAACTCCACAGCAACTTCTGATTTTGCGATCAACATCTTGTACAACGACTGTACGAGTCTACATGTTAGGGTGAATGAATGTTGTTTTACGTCACTTCACAATATTCCAGCGATCTCACAACAATCTATAAATAATCTAGTTTTGGACCAGGCAAACCACGGAATAAAAATATCACCGATCACCGATCAACGCTCCACGCCACTGTGCTGTGGCGACATACCATCACCCAGGTCACAGATTCTCACCACCTAGTTCCCAGGTTAGCATGAGGGACCTATTCTGCTTCAGTTACCATGGTTACGGGGTAAATTGTGAAATTTGGTTAGACATTTGCCCACTGATGAACATACATGGAGGGAGGTTACAGGACATATTTCTATGACAACTGACAATGTGTGAGCATGCAACAAAGTAGGATTGCCTGTTTCTATGACAACTAATATGTTTGACATGCAATATACAAGCACAGGCAAAGACATTGAGATTTACCTTCAGTAGCTGACGAGGGAAGGAAGAAAACACCTCGTGAACATCATTAAACAAACAGTTTCACAAATAAAATAAAATACTTCAGGAAGCCAAAAACACACTTTCTTTCAAAGCAAATATCAAAAAATGATTCCCAAAACCAAACTGCTAAAGATTCTTTAAAATATTAAGATATAAAAAAATTAAAAATTAACAACTTTTATCAAAATGTTTCCATTAAAATTCCAAATGAGACAAAAAATATTCTGTATAAGATTCATGACATGTTTATCAAAATGACTGTCACCCAACAATACCCACAATACATTACTGTCAAGCCATATGATGGAGAGTTTACAAAGTAAATGGCTAAGACAATGACCGGTTTCTGACATGCCAAAGGGACGCAACTCTTCACAGCAAATTACAAGACCATACACAACTGGGCCACCTGTACCCCCAAATGTTTGTAAATGATTAACGTAGCACTCAGCAATATTCCAGCTATATGGCATCAGCCCAAATAATCAAGTCTGGACCAGACAATCCAGTGAATGACATTATCAGCAACCCCAACCCCATCAGGGTACAATGAATTGCAACCAAGCAAGTCATCGAGTTTGTTTGTTTGTTTAACGCCATACTCAGCAATATTCCAGCTATATGACGGCGGTCTGTAAATAATCGAGTCTGGACCAGACAATCCAGTGATTGACATCATGAGCATCAATCCCGGCAATTGTGATATGATGACATGCATCAACCAAGTCAGCGAGCCTGACCACCGGATCCTTTTAGTCGCCTCTTAACTCTTTCAACACCAGTCACCCATTTCCCGATAACAGCGACTGTCCGCTCAGTAAAATGAAGAAATACCCCCGTGTTCGAGGTTTCGTATGAATAACACGTTCGTCGAAGAATGGCATATGACACATCGCTGGAAAGCTTATTCCTTCATCTACACGCTCGTAACATCGACTGGTTTTTTTCCGTAGTTATTAACAAGCGATTTCATTGGATTAAAATTGGTTTCTAATGACGCTTTCTTGCTGAAATCTGCTACAAGTTTCGTGATTGGTCAATTTTGAGCACGTGACCTAAGGCAGCCAATCAAATTACAGCTGTGATACCAAGCTCGTGTTCGATAAATTACAGAAGTTTGCGAAAGAATTTTGTTAAATCGTGTTATTCTGAACGTTTTGAGCAGGAAATCGCGATATATATTAAAAATATGGAACTTCGTGAATGTATCGTGCTAGGTTACGAGCTGTGACAAAGATTTTTCATGCATATATTTTTGCATTAAACATCGTGTCCGAGCCGAGAATTCAAGGCGACGAAAGCCGAGATGTCATTTGACTTACATTACACGCGATCGCACGAAAAGATGAAAATAATAACTTAGATGTAAGTTTGATTACTTTTAGATATATTTTTGTTGATTTTATATATTACTTTGTATAATATATTTAAAGATTTGTTTAAAACGTCTTTATTTTCCTCTTTGACGTGTTCGATGTGGACCCGTTGTCGAAATGTGTGTCCGAGAATTTTATTTTCAATAACATCGCGGGAAATAGTGAATAATTTTTTAATTTAACGATAAAAAATGTTAAATTGAAATGGAATATGTATTTCAGACATTGTGAAATGTGATAGATTTAATAAATGAATGATATTACAGGTAGGTCCATAAAAATATAGTACTATTTTGACGTGACTACGGCTTGGCCGGATAACCGGCCTGCGGTGTCTGGGGACTCGATGCTTCTTGGCCGGATAACCGGCCTACGGTGTTGAAAGAGTTAAGACAAGCATGGGTTGCTGAAGTCCAATTCTATCTTCACGGGTCAAGTCACTGAGCCTGACCACACAATCATCCATGGTGCACACAGGGTGCTGGGGACCAGTTCTAGCCCCGCCCACACTTCACGGGTCAAGTCACTGAGCCTGACCACACAATCATCCATGGTGCACACAGGGTGCTGGGGACCGGTTCTAGCCCCACCCACACTTCACGGGTCAAGTCACTGAGCCTGACCACACAATCATCCATGGTGCACACAGGGAGCTGGGGACCAGTTCTAGCCCCACCCACACTTCACAGGTCAAGTCACTGAGCCTGACCACACAATCATCCATGGTGCACACAGGGAGCTGGGGACCAGTTCTAGCCCCACCCACACTTCACGGGTCAAGTCACTGAGCCTGACCACACAATCATCCATGGTGCACACAGGGTGCTGGGGACCGGTTCTAGCCCCACCCACACTTCACGGGTCAAGTCACTGAGCCTGACCACACAATCATCCATGGTGCACACAGGGAGCTGGGGACCAGTTCTAGCCCCACCCACACTTCACGGGTCAAGTCACTGAGCCTGACCACACAATCATCCATGGTGCACACAGGGTGCTGGGGACCGGTTCTAGCCCCACCCACACTTCACGGGTCAAGTCACTGAGCCTGACCACACAATCATCCATGGTGCACACAGGGTGCTGGGGACCGATTCTAGCCCCACCCACACTTCACGGGTCAAGTCACTGAGCCTGACCACACAATCATCCATGGTGCACACAGGGAGCTGGGGACCAGTTCTAGCCCCACCCACACTTCACAGGTCAAGTCACTGAGCCTGACCACACAATCATCCATGGTGCACACAGGGAGCTGGGGACCAGTTCTAGCCCCACCCACACTTCACGGGTCAAGTCACTGAGCCTGACCACACAATCATCCATGGTGCACACAGGGTGCTGGGGACCGGTTCTAGCCCCACCCACACTTCACGGGTCAAGTCACTGAGCCTGACCACACAATCATCCATGGTGCACACAGGGAGCTGGGGACCAGTTCTAGCCCCACCCACACTTCACAAGTCAAGTCACTGAGCCTGACCACACAATCATCCATGGTGCACACAGGGTGCTGGGGACCGGTTCTAGCCCCACCCACACTTCACGGGTCAAGTCACTGAGCCTGACCACACAATCATCCATGGTGCACACAGGGAGCTGGGGACCAGTTCTAGCCCCACCCACACTTCACGGGTCAAGTCACTGAGCCTGACCACACAATCATCCATGGTGCACACAGGGTGCTGGGGACCGGTTCTAGCCCCACCCACACTTCACGGGTCAAGTCACTGAGCCTGACCACACAATCATCCATGGTGCACACAGGGAGCTGGGGACCAGTTCTAGCCCCACCCACACTTCACGGGTCAAGTCACTGAGCCTGACCACACAATCATCCATGGTGCACACAGGGTGCTGGGGACCGGTTCTAGCCCCGGGTCAAGTCACTGAGCCTGACCACACAATCATCCATGGTGCACACAGGGTGCTGGGGACCAGTTCTAGCCCCGGCTCTATGGCTCCCCAGCACCCACACTTCACGGCTAAGACAAGGTATGACAGCAGCTGACCTCGGTGGTGGACAAGCCCTTGAGAGTCTTGAGTCGGTCCGACACTCGGGCCTGCATGCTGCACAGAGTCGCCACACTCTCCCCGTTCTCCTTCCGCAGCTTCTCAAAGTCATCCAGCTTCCCGATGGCGAACAGACGCCGGATGTCGGAGTCTACCCTCACAATTGGGAAGTCTGTCGGGGACAGAACACAAACTCAGATCACAATCTCAAACAAGATTCAGCACCAATGATATTTTAAAATATACACAGCTAATGTCACCCAAGTGTCTTTTAATATCAAATATATCAACACAGCGCTAAGAGGTGATAAAAGTTTAGAAGTCTGAGGCTTGCCCTTATTGAGTGTTGATATGTTTGACAACAAAAGACATGAGGGTAAACTTTTTATCACCCCAAAAATGGTGGTATTTCTTGTGACACAAATCAATGGAGGATTCAGATTCAAGGCACGATGTCAAGACATGTAATAAAGAGTAAAGATGTTCAATCCTGTGCGGATATCGCCACCATACCACCATGCTGGCTGAGTGCTGACACCAACATCTACATGAAGACATCATTAACAGGACTCATATAAGTATGGAGGCTACTTGTCCAAGTACAACCTACTTCAAGTCTGATTCATAAACAGTAAACTACGGTTATAACAAACTCAAAGGGACTACTAATTTTAGTTCATTATAACTGTAGTTCGTTATAAGCATATATACGGCATAACTACAGCAAATAGTCGGGACCAAAAAAGTAAGTTCATTATATCCGTCAGTTCGTTATAAGCATGTTCGTTATAACTGTGGTTTACTGTACTGATTCATATACTGAATTACATACAGATTACATCTCATAAATTCATATCTTGTGTACATAGAATATCTGTGTTATCTACAGGTTTGGTCTTAATTAGGATCACATCAATGCTTCATATATACTGAAACAACGAAAACACATAATCAACTTAAAAAAAGATGTCTTTTTGTGTTCAACCCAGTGTTCGAAATAATTTTAAAACTCAACAAGACAAACAGGCAGGTGACCCATAAATGTTGCCTGCCTATCTTCAAATTACCTGCCCACATCCAGAGATCATAAATATTGAAAAATTGCTTAAAATAAGAGAAGAATCGCGTCTTGATTCACTTGAAATAATGCAAACAATTACTTGAGAATCTACAAGGAGTAATAATAAAACTGAATATGTAAGTATTAACAACCTACTTTGATTTTTGAATCCATTTTCCAAATATCACAAAAAATTGAATGTTTTTTCAAAATGTCTCAGTATAAATATATCATGAACAGAATGCCGACAAGGAGGAAGACATGATTATAAATCCATGTTTGGCCTAATGAACCTTTCATGACGTCACCAGGTTGGCTGTCCACCCAGTACTTGATGTTCTCCATTGACGCCAGGTGGCGCCGCTCAGGGAGGTGGGCGAGGTCGTCCGGCAGTGACATCAGACTGGTGCCATGTGACATGGCGGCAGGGGGGACTGGGAGGGACTGGGACATGTGGGCGTCCTTGCAGGGAGAGCCCCCTGTCTTGTCGGCATGGTGGTGCGAGTCGGTGGTGCTGGTGATGTCACTGTACACGTGGTCTGTCCACAGTTAGAGAGAGAGAGACACACGGGTTAGAGTGAGTGAGTGAGTGAGTGAGTGAGTGAGTGGCACAGAGATGGAGGGTGGTACATCATAAGTTGTAGCAGGATCACGAGGGGTAAATGGAAGTTTTATGCGTCCCTCGGTAGTCGTTATATCACGACCGGGTGGCGAGTGGTATAAAACCTAACAAAGAACACATAAAACCCCATGAACCCCGAGTGATCCTGCTACAACCTATTTATCTTACCGACATGTTTTAATATGACATTGTAAAAGAATTCAAACAAATAAAAAATTGATAGAAAACAGCTGTTCGATTGAGCTGAGGTTAACTTTTGCCATGTCACATGACTTCAATTGACTTAGAAAAAGAGTGCAGCTTTTTGCTTTGAAGCGGGGTATAAGGGATTTATTCTGCCTCTCAGAAATCCACGTGCAGCCTGACTTGCTTGTGGAGGGGTATAAGGGATTTATTCGCCCGCTGAGAAATTTATCCCCCTCCAAGGAGGTTGGAGAAGCTGTGCAAGTACAATGTCAAAGGAATGTCAATATCAGGCGAGTCGATTGAAAAATTGGTGAGAATCATAATTGAGAATTCTTTTCATGCCATACATGATTGGGCAACCATCATCTCAATATATACTGCCACATGTTGGTTATCACACCTCATAGAATATACCAAGATAGTGTCAGCAATATTGAGTCAGTGATTAGCTGCATGTTTCGTGTGAGCAGTTCTCCACATCAAGTTAGGAAAGAACATCAGGTTCTTTTCAAGAAAGTTGCCCATTCCCATGGAAACAAGCTAAGAATGAGTGACCACTGCACACAAGGGAGATAATCTGCACTCACCTGCGTCTTCATGGAGTCCTGCCTGGCGGGTGATCACGCTGTATTTATACTCTTTTTCAGATCGGTACTTTCGAATGTAGGTGTCCTTCGTCTTTGAGTCCGACTTCCTCTCTGGTCTCAATGTGGACTCGGGGCTGGGTCGCCCGTCAGGTGCATCAGTGGCTGAAATAACGTCACCAGTTATACACCATCCGTCTCAATGTAGTAAACTCTACAGCTCACAACAGAACATTCTAACGGTTCGATGTATCGCCCTCAGTGAGTGAGTGAGTGAATATGGTTTTACGCTGCTTTTAGCAATATTCCAGCAATATCACAGCGGGGACACCAGAAATGGGCTTCACACATTGTACCCATGTCGGGAATCGAACCCGGGTCTTTGGCGTGACGAGCGAACGCTTTAACCACTAGGCTACCCGACCGCCCCGTCGCCCTCAGTACTGACACATATAACTGAAGACTGATGAGGGGGCACCTGCAGCTTGTGTTCTCAATGTCTCCATGAATCTAGCTGCTCACATCCAACACTGCTGGTATTCATGTATACTTACACAACCCAACCTGTCAGTGTCCTCAAGAGTAGCAGGAGAACAACCCTAAGGACTCAGGAGTCAGAGTTCATTACAGTTATACGTCCATTAACCATCTAAGGTGTAAGCTGGCACTCTGTTTGTTTGTTTAAAGCTGCAATATTTCAGTTATATGATGGCGGTCTGTAAGTAATCGAGTCTGGACCAGGTAATCATGAACTGACATCATGAATCACTGAGCTATGCAATTGGGACACGATAAAATGCATCAATAAAGTCAGGGAGCCTGACCAGGGATAGGTTTCTGAAGACCAATTCTAACCCGGATCTTCACAGGGAATGTAAGATGACAACTCACTGTGGGAACCCGTGGGGCTGTTGTTGCGCTGCTGCTGCTGTTGCTGTTGCAACTGTTGTCGGAGGATCTCCTCCAGTTTGGTGCGCAGTGTGTCGTTGGCGTCAATGCTTCGTTCCAGCTGGACCCTCAGCCTGCGGATCTCCGTCAGCAGCTCCCGGATGCAGGACTTCTCGTCATTCTCTGTGGGCGACACACGGACATGTTACCCAGTGGTCATTGTGCAGAGTGGGTGAGTTAAACCACCGAGACAAACCGTGACTGCATTATCAACATTTAAGTGAGTGAGTATGATATTACACCACCTTTAGCAATATCACGTCAGGGGACACCAGAATTGGGCTTCACACATTTTGCCCATGTGGGGGAATCGAACCTGGGTCCTTGCACGTAACGAGCTAACACATTAACCACTAGGCTAATCTTGTCAAGAGATACCTTAGTCATCTACTATATTCCAGGAAGGACATTAGTTACATTACATAGCCCCACTTCTCCCTCATCCAACTTCTTCCAACCCAAACTGCAGACGCATCGTGCAGAGAATCTCGTGGCAAAGTGGCGGACTTACCTTGTTCACCCCCCTGCAGTTTCTCGTACACGCTCAGCTCGAGTCGGAGTGTCTTGTTGAGCTCCGCCTTCTCCTCCTCTCGATCTCGCATGTCTCCCACCTCCAGGTTCAGCCTGCAGCACAAACAGACTACTTCACAGTCTGCTACATCAACCATACACACTCCCACATGCATCGAAAAGCTGTGCTTACCTTGTTACATACAGACAGACAGACAGACAGACAGACAGACTAGGTACTTCACAGTCTGCTACATCAACCATACACACTCCCACATGCATCAAAAAGCTGTGCTTACCTTGTTACATACAGACAGACAGACTAGGTACTTCACAGTCTGCTACATCAACCATACACACTCCCACATGCATCAAAAAGCTGTGCTTACCTTGTTACATACAGACAGACTAGGTACTTCACAGTCTGCTACATCAACCATACACACTCCCACATGCATCGAAAAGCTGTGCTTACCTTGTTACATACAGACAGACAGACAGACAGACAGACTAGGTACTTCACAGTCTGCTACATCAACCATACACACTCCCACATGCATCGAAAAGCTGTGCTTACTTTGTTACAGACAGACAGACATAAACACATACGTACATACATTCATACATAAATACATACGCCGCTTTTAACAATATTCCAGCAATATCACTTCACACATTGTACCCATGCTGGGAATCAAACCAGGGTCTTTGGCGTGACAAGTGAACACTTAACCACTAGGTTACCCGACCGCCCCTCAGACAGACAGACAAACAGTATGTAAGGCCATATGACCCATAGTACAGTTCAGTTTTAACAAAAACATGAAAATCAACATGATCTTGAACATAGCACAGTATATTCACCTCAGTCTAAATACATGTTTTAAATACATTGCAAAAGATTTGATAACATATTCATTGTTGGAATTCAACAAATTGATCATAAATTGATTGTCTTTGTGTTGAATATCGAAATAAAATAGAAAAATCTGAAAGTTTAATATTTTTCATATACAAAAAGAACATGGAACTCATCATGGTTACTATTTCAGTAAAGACAACATAGAACATATGATCATGAGCAGGCACTACACAGGAAGTACCCGATACCAAGACATCCGGACCACTCACCTCTTGATCTCCTTTGAAGCTTTCTTCAACATGGCCTCCATCTTCTCCTTCTTCAGCTGCAGCCTCTGACACGTCTGTTCCCGCTCGTCGATGGTCTGCCCGCGCTCCGATATCGTCTTCTCCCTCTCTAGGATCGTTTTCTCCTTCTCCACAACCTCCTTCTTGTGTCTCGCTACCACGAATTGCGTCTCTTCCACGTTGTGTCTCATACTTTCAATAAGCTTGTCCTTCTCCGCAACCTCCTTTTTATGTCTGGCCACAATTGACTCCGTCTCTTCCAAGTTGTATCTCATACTTTCTATCACCTTGTCCTTCTGGGCGACCTCCTTTTTATGTCTCGCCACGACCAACTGCGTCTCTTCCAAGTTGTGTCTCATCTTCTCTATCACGTTCTCCTTCTCGGCCATCTCCCGCCGCTGTCGCTCGATGATGACCCGTGTGTCCTGGATCACCTTCTCGCGCTCGTCGATGATGTAGATCTTCTCGGTGGCGTCGGTGTGCGAGGTGGCCAGCTTCTGCTGCAGCTGTTGGATGGTACGCTCCAGCTCGTGCAGCTTCCGGTCACAGTCATGGTGCATGTAACCTGGGAAGGAACACACGGTTAGGTTCAAAATACCCACTTCCAGGACGATGTGACTACACAAAATGTCATTTCAATGTTATTATTTGCATACAAAAAACATCACGACCAGTCTACCTTAATAGATGGATATTATTTTATCCTAACACTCATGCCCCTGTCATTCCCTGAGTGAGTGAGTGAGTGAGTGAGTGAGTGAGTGAGTGAGTGAGTGAGTGAGTGAGTGAGTGAGTGAGTGAGTGAGTGAGTGAGTGAGTGAGTGAGTGAGTGGCCTGTACACTTTGGATCAGGCAAACCAGTGACTGATGGCAATGACACGTCACAGAGCCAGATCACAGTATCCTCTTTAGTTATCTAAGCATCTCAACAATGTCCCTCACCTTCCTCATCCAATAACCACCCTCTACCTACTGCATCCCTACTGCTCCCAACCCCAACCCCAAACCCACATCCCCTGTCTCCCCCCTACCCTCCACAGACACCTGCACCCACCTCTGTCTGACCTCCGCACCCACACCCCTTACTGACTTCCCAACCCACACCAATCACCTGTCTCCCCCCTCCCCTCCACAGACACATGCACCCACCCCTTCCTGACCTCCCAACCCCCACATCACCTGTATCCTCCCCTCCCCTCCCCTCCACACCCCCCTCCCACAAGGGTCACCCACCTCCAGCCTTCTCCAGACGACTAAGCAGCTCCTCCCTCATCCTGTCGCTGTGCTCCAGGCCCTGCTCCAGCTTCTGCCTCATGGCTCGGATCTCAATCAGATGCTCTCGCAGGGACAGCGAGTCTACATCCGTCTTCACAGGAGACCTTGCCTCCCCTTGAGACTTCTGTGGGGTGTTCTGGATGCCAAAAGACTTACACAAAGTCTCATATATACTCAGTTCATCTTTGAGAGTTTTGTTGAGATCTTCCATGGCACCTAACCGAGCCTGTAGTTGTCCCACATCATTGAGCGGTGTCTGACTGCGCTCCCTGGAACTCAACCGCTCACTGTCGTAATCAGACATCTTGAATGTAGTCGTTGTCGTAGACTTTTTACTGGTTGTTCCCGAACTGTCCATGAAGTCCCTCGCCTCCTCTGTCCGGTCCTCCAGAGACGGGTTGAGGGTCATATCGCAGAACCTCAGTCCAGACTGGTTGGAATACATGGGGAAGTCTACACTATCTCTCTCAGTCACCTTTCTCTGGAATGATAATTTCTCCGGACTAATATTTTTGGGTGAATTAAACACGGATATATCTCTCCCAGCTGAGTGGACAGACGACAGCTCATTAGCTGCTCCACTCGCTGTCCGGTGTCGCATCCTCTCAAGGACATCATCTTTCTCCAGCCCCACGGTGTCTCGACGATCGTCACTACCAGTTCGGTGCCTCATCCTCTCCAAGTCCTCCTCGCCATGGAGCTCCAGCCCAAGTGTGTCTCGCCGATCGTCACTCCCAGTTCGATGCCTCATCCTCTCCAAATCACCCTCACCACGGAGCTCCAGCCCAAGTGTGTCTCGCCGATCGTCACTCCCAGTTCGGTGCCTCATCCTCTCCAAATCACCCTCGCCACGGAGCTCCAGCCCCAGTGTGTCTCGCCGATCACCACTGCCTGTCCTCTGCCTCAGCTGCTCAACACAAGAGTCGCCACCAGAGTCCCGTAGTGGCCGCCCATAGTTCTCGTCTGTCTGCTTGTGTATGTCTGCTATATCATCAGACTCCATGCTGCCACTTTTACAGAGCCCAGGGGGGACCCGAGACAGAGGCGGGAAGGAGGTTTGTGGGAGGCCGTCGCACGGACTGCTGGAGTCAAGGGTCTCAGTGCCTCCCAGTTTCCGAACAGCCGGACAAGGTGCACGTTTCTGAGACAAGGGGCTTCCGTCCGCTTCGCCAATGCGAAGTTTCCCAGCAGCCTCTAGTTCCTGCTGGAACCTCTCGGAGATCTGCTGAAGCTGACGAACTTCGGCTGTCTTGGAATGCAGGTTGTTCTGGTACCTAGGGTGATGAACACAAACAAAACTGATTGACTGAATGATCGATTATTAGAAGATCAAAGTAGCACCATCAGGTTGGTTGGTTGGTTTGTTGTTTAACGCCGCACTCAGCAATATTCCAGCTATATGACAGCGGTCTGTAAATAATCAAGTCTGGACCAGACAATCCAGTGATTAATATCATGAGCATCGATCCATGCAATTGGGATCGATGACATGTATCAACCAAGTCAGCGAGCCTGACCACCTGATCCTGTTAGTCGCCTTTTATGACAAGCATAGTCACCTTTTACGGCAAGTATGGGTTGCTGAAGACCTATTCTCTCCCGGCGTCTTCACGGGCCAGCACCATCAGGGGAGGGTGTGTCTGCCTAAGAGGCAGACAGAGACAAGGAGACATTGGCTGACAAAACATGTGGCTACAAAGGATTTATAATGCAAAATCTGGGTATTCAAGGTAATGAAAGACTCCTAGATTGAAACACATCACAATACCAGAGTACGAAACTAGGACTTGCCCAAACTTGAGAATCAGAGTGAGTGAGTATGGTTTTACACGCTTTTAGCAATATTCCAGCAATATCAAGGCAGGAGACACCAGAAATGGGTTTCACACATTGTACCCATAGAACCCAGGTCTTCGGCGTGACGAGCGAATGCTCCAACCATTAGGCTACCCCACCACCCCTTGAGAATCAGAAACTACCACAGTGTATGTAACATGGTCATAGTCTCCTCACACTAGTCAGAGGGGACTAGTCAGCTTATGTCAGTCACAAGGAACTAGTCAGCTTATGCCAGTCACAAGGAACTAGTCAGCTTATGTCAGTCACAAGGAACTAGTCAGCTTATGCCAGTCACAAGGAACTAGTCAGCTTATGTCAGTCACAAGGAACTAGTCAGCTTATGCCAGTCACAAGGAACTAGTCAGCTTATGTCAGTCACAAGGAACTAGTCAGCTTATGCCAGTCACAAGGAACTAGTCAGCTTATGTCAGTCACAAGGAACTAGTCAGCTTATGCTAGTCACAAGGAACTAGTCAGCTTATGTCAGTCACAAGGAACTAGTCAGCTTATGCCAGTCACAGGGGACAAGTCAGCTTATGCCAGTCACAAGGAACTAGTCAGCTTATGCCAGTCACAGGGGACAAGTCAGCTTATGCCAGTCACAAGGAACTAGTCAGCTTATGCCAGTCACAGGGGACAAGTCAGCTTATGCCAGTCACAAGGAACTAGTCAGCTTATGCCAGTCACAGGGGACAAGTCAGCTTATGCCAGTCACAAGGAACTAGTCAGCTTATGCCAGTCACAGGGGACAAGTCAGCTTATGCCAGTCACAAGGAACTAGTCAGCTTATGCCAGTCACAGGGGACAAGTCAGCTTATGCCAGTCACAAGGAACTAGTCAGCTTATGCCAGTCACAGGGGACAAGTCAGCTTATGCCAGTCACAAGGAACTAGTCAGCTTATGCCAGTCACAAGGAACTAGTCAGCTTATGCCAGTCACAGGGGACAAGTCAGCTTATGCCAGTCACAAGGAACTAGTCAGCTTATGTCAGTCACAAGGAACTAGTCAGCTTATGTAAGTCACAGTGAACCTTGTCAGGTTATGCCAGTCACAAGGAACTAGTCAGCTTATGCCAGTCACAGTGAACCTTGTCAGGTTATGCCAGTCATAGTGAACCATGTCACCTTATGCCAGTCACAGTGAACCTTGTCAGCTAGCCAATCATTCAAAACCAACAAGCACCTGCTGATTGGAGAAACCCCAAACTTGTGTTTTCCAAGTAGCTTGCATTGGAATTGGAACACAATGAATGGATTTCGTACAATATAGCTTTCCTTACACACAGTTTTGTGTAGACAAGTAGCTGAAGTTGCAGACTGATGGAATAAGATTTTAGTGACCACATTGATGTGCACGTGCCACTGTCATGGTCCCTCATCACATGGTATAGAGCGGCACAGTTTCACTTGTCAGAGCTAATGTTACTGTAAGGGGTTAGACACTGATAAAAGTCCATCTTTCCGTCTGTGTACTCACATGTCCTGCAGCTGTACAAGTTGCTGTCGCAGATGTTGGTTGCTGTGGAGAGCTTCCTGGTACTTGCCGTGGAGGAAGGAGTCCGACATACTGGTGGCCACACCACCTCGCACAGGGTGGGGCTCCAGCAGTGATACTGAGGTGGGGGAAGAAATCATAACATATTCATAAATATGAGAGATATTTCACCAACTCCCTGACAACATACCCATCTACGCACACTTCATCCACTCCCTAACAACACACCCATCTACGCATCCTTCATCCACTCCCTGACAACACACCCATCTACGCACACTTCATCCACTCCCTAACAACACACCCATCTACGCATCCTTCATCCACTCCCTAACAACACACCCATCTACGCATCCTTCATCCACTCCCTGACAACACACCCATCTACGCACACTTCATCCACTCCCTGACAACACACCCATCTACGCATCCTTCATCCACTCCCTAACAACACACCCATCTACGCACACTTCATCCACTCCCTGACAACACACCCATCTACGCACACTTCATCCACTCCCTAACAACACACCCATCTACGCATCCTTCATCCACTCCCTAACAACACACCCATCTACGCACACTTCATCCACTCCCTGACAACACACCCATCTACGCACACTTCATCCACTCCCTAACAACACACCCATCTACGCATCCTTCATCCACTCCCTAACAACACACCCAACTACGCATCCTTCATCCACTCCCTGACAACACACCCATCTACGCATCCTTCATCCACTCCCTGACAACACCCCCATCTACGCACACTTCACCAACTCCCTGACAACACACCTGACAACACACCCATCTACGCACACTTCATCCACTCCCTGACAACACCCCCATCTACACACACTTCATCCACTCCCTGACAACACCCCCATCTACGCATCATTCATACACTCCCCGACAACACACCCATCTACGCATCCTTCATCCACTCCCTGACAACACACCCATCTACGCATCCTTCATCCACTCCCTGACAACACCCCCATCTACGCACACTTCATCCACTCCCTGACAACACACCCATCTACGCACACTTCATCCACTCCCTAACAACACACCCATCTACGCACACTTCATCCACTCCCTAACAACACACCCATCTACGCATCCTTCATCCACTCCCTAACAACACACCCATCTACGCATCCTTCATCCACTCCCTGACAAGACACCCATCTACGCATCCTTCATCCACTCCCTGACAAGACACCCTCCCCAGCACACCTCATTACAAGAGTAATTCTTCATACCGACTCATATCACACAGAATCCTGACACAGTAGCAAACATTGAAAAAAATATACAAACAGGAGATGAAACATAAAAGCAACATCATGAATATAAAAGTCATAACTGTTCAAGGCCAAAAATCACAGTAATCATGTGGGGATGTGCAACTGACGCACAGAGGCATGAGAACAAAAGTCTTCCCTAGGATTACAGTCAGTGAGATGAAATGTACTCGAAAAGAATTTGGACAAAACTGTGTATGATTAATAGATCAGTTTCTATACAACAAATGTTGGCCTGCATTCTATGAAACATCTACATGCTTGCCCCCGAAACAGCCCTCTATAACATTACTTACTGTCAGAGTTTGTAGTCCTCAAGACATCCAGACTTTGATTGAGCTTGGACCGAATGCTGTTGATGTCAGCCAGTCCAACATCGGAGTTGTGTCCACTTTGGTCCTGCACCATTAGCTCCGACAGGAAGTGGCTCAGCTCCTCCAGCTCGTCCCTGAGCAGCGTGTTGACATTCTGACTGTCCTGCAGCTGCTTACGGAGCGATGCGATCTCATGCTTGTAGTCATCCCCTGGGTAAGCCTTCAAGGCTGGAATGTTGTCACCCAGTTGAGAAGAGGGATGGTTTCCCATGTTTGACATCGGAGATGAACCCCGATCAGCGAGGCTGGGCTGTCGGTTGCGATCACTGTCAAGACCTTTGCCTGGTTGTGAGTTTTGTAATTCCTTTAACCTCAACTGCAGATCCGAATTGAGCTTCTTGCTTTCCTGGAGCTCAGACTCCAGACTCCAGACTTGTCTCTGAAGCTTCTCCAGACTTCCAGACATCTGACACAGCTGAGTGATGTTGTCTGTCGACTGAGTGCGGAACTTCCCCAGCGAAGGAGACAAGGACCGCCTGGCCGGACTGGCAAGTCTCTCGCTGCTGCTGCCTAATGCACTGATGCTGTTGTATCTGTGACTCAGCCCCAGGGACTTTTCCAGCTTCTCCTGCATGTCCTTGATCTGATGCTTCAACTCAAACACATTGTCCGTGTTGCCATAGTCCTTTATAGACTCCAGGCTTAGGTTCCTCACAGGACTCAAACCATCCTGACAGTTTCTAGAAGCAAGGTTCTCAACTGAGCCTCTCCATGACTTGTTCCCAGACAGCCGGGTGAGGCAGGTCTCGCTCTGTGACCGGGAATCCTGCAGGGGCACAATACCTGCATCCTTCAGCAGTCCCCGGTAGTACTTCACTTTCTGAGACTGGTACCTGACCGTTTCCTCCGTGGCAGCCAGAGTCTTCTCCAGCTGCTTGATGTGGTCGGTGGCATCCTGGAGCTGCCTCTGCAGGATCACAGGATGATTCTCGTGGGTGGCGTTAGACATCACTGGTTGTAGGTTCTTCGGCCGAGGAATCTGAGAGCCCTTTCTACATTGGTTCTTGGCTGACTGGCTGCTGCTGCTACTGTGGGATATCCCCGATCCCATACCACTGGAGTTTGACGCTCCATCAATAATTCCTAATCCAGAAGGACAAGCATCATCATTCCAACTAGGAATCCTGGAAGATTTCACTCCATTTGTATCAAATGTCACTTTCTTCTGCTCTGCTATAACCTTTCTGGAATTTTCAAGCTCAGATTTCAATGCCTCAAGCTCCCTTGCCATATCAATGATCAAACTTGGGTTGAACCCTGCTGGGTAGTCATCTGTCTGACTACTGATGTTAATCTGCTTCTTGAGAAGTTCATTAGCATGGACAACCTCCTTCAGTTGTGCCCTCAGTTTGTGCATCTCATTTTGAAGGTCATGCATGTAGGGCAAATCCCGGGAATCAACCCGAGTGTCCTGATCCAGGCCTAGATGAGATCGGAGTACCTCATTCTCCTTGTCCCTCCTGTCCAATGATGACCTCAGCTCATCTATCTGCTGCTGCATCTGCTGGAAGTCGGCGACGGTTGGGTCGGCCTCATTGCGTCCTGGGATCTCGCGCGTCTCGCACTCCCCGAACACCTGCCCCTGGAGGTCATGGTTCTGTTTCAGGGCACCCACCAAATCCTCCTGCAGCTGCTGAACCAACTTTCGCAACATTGATGACGACATTTTGGACAAAGACTCTGAATCAATACCAGAAGCTCCTGTGGTTGGTATGACTCCGGTTGGGGACACAGAATTGTTCAACGAGGCAATGGGTGATGTTTGAACATCGTTGTAGGATAACGGAGATCGGTGGACTGGTAGGTTGCTCTCTGACCCTGATGATAACCTTCTGGTTCCCGGAGACAAGGTCCTGTTGGGGGCTAACGGTGAAGTTTGAACACTCTGATATGTTGCATGTGGTGATGTCAATGTAGATTTGTTCTGTGTGCTGAAAGGACAATGAGGTGATGTCTGAACACTGCGATAGTCTGGCCAGGGGGATGTCCCTACACACTGGCTGATGCCGGGACCCAAGCTTGTCTGCCCTTCTGGCAGGAGATCCCTTCCTGTTGTTGAAGTCTGCACATCATTGTTGTCTATGTCTGGAGAAGCGGACACTGCCTGGTCATGCTTGCTGACTCGGCGGAATGGTGATGAGTGAGTGTCTGTTAGATCATGGTAACCACTCTCCCCAGGACTAGGCCCGTTGCGGACAGGCGATGTCTGGGCATCCACAAACTGTGACCTTGACCTCAGAGAACTACCACCATCATCCCAGATGGGGCTGGGATGCCTGTTGTCGGTGTGGTGCCGTTCTTCAGTAGTTGATGATGTATAGCGATGGTCTAAAAACAATGGGGAACCAATGACATATAGCCATAAGACAACATGAGAAACTACAGCAATAACTGATATGTTTTTTTTGTTTTTAACGGCACAGTCAGCAATATTCTAGCCATATCACTGCAGCCTGTGTAGAACCAGTGATAGATATTATGAGCAATGTTCTACGCCAATGGGGGACGATCACCCAACGAAAGAAGCTGATCGATTCATTTTAACTGCCACCTTTTCTAACTCCAGCGACAGTAACACTGTACACTAGCACTGCCTCTGCAACCTACCTGTGGTGGAGTGTCCAGGAGCTGGTGCTGGCGCTGGTCCGGTGATCTGGTGCTCGAGGACGACACGGAGGTTGTTGTTCCTCTCAACCCCCTCCTGCAACTGCTGCCTCAAGGCTTGCACTGCCCCCAGCTCCGTCAGGAACGCCCCGGACCGGTCGGGCTGCACATCACTGTAACCACGGTAAGAATAATGATGATGATGATAACTGATCAGTTTGTAATATGTCAAATACAAATACTGATGCATGCTCACAGCATTACATTAAGGTTACCCAAGTCAATGGATCTGTGAGATTTCATATTCCTTTCTCAGCTCCATGGGGAGTCTACAAGTCAAGGTGCCTCATGTTTCCCCCACCTTTTGAGAGGGATGATCACCTTCCACATGCTGCTGTAGTTTCAAAGGGTAATATCATGTCAAGCTTGACTTGGTCTCAAAATGTACTTACATTATGTCCAGAAGCTCAAAGAAAACTTTTCTTTTCTTTTAAAGATTCTAGATGATGTCTTTCCTTAGAAAGTATATCTTAATAGCCTTGATGATAGTGGAACATATTGTCCTCAAAATGAGAACACATCACTGTACGGCACAGCTACATCTGGTGAACTGGGAGGGAGTGAATGAGTGAATGCTGCATTCAACAGTTATTAAGTTGAATCACAGTGTGTCAGCTTGATGTGGGAGAAAGCCTAAAGTGATGCAGATCTTAGACATTGACCACTTTGGTTAAACCCTCGAGGATGAATCACACAAATTGGAAAAGAACATCCCTGCAAATGTTTTCCATGACCGAGGTCAGTGAGTGTGAAATCAGCTTAACATACCACCCCCAACCTTCAAACAAACACGCTAATGAGGAAGGGCCAGGGATTAAATGGAGGTGGAAGAAGTCAAACATCAGCTGGCTTAATCTGGTACTGACTCTCATCACACACTGGCTGCCGACCCTCCTCACACACTGGGTGCTGACTCTCTCCACAAGCTGGGTGCCGACTCTCCTCACACACTGGCTGCCGACCCTCGTCACACACTGGGTGCCGACTCTCCTCACACACTGGCTGCCGACTCTCGTCCCACACTGGCTGCCGACCCTCGTCACACACTGGCTGCCGACCCTCCTCACACACTGGGTGCCGACCCTCCTCACACACTGGCTGCCGACCCTCCTCACACACTGGCTGCCGACCCTCGTCACACACTGGCTGCCGACCCTCCTCACACACTGGCTGCCGACTCTCCTCACACTGGCTGCCGACTCTCCTCACACACTGGCTGCCGACTCTCCTCACACACTGGCTGCCGACTCTCTTCACACACTGGCTGCCGACTCTCCTCACACACTGGGTGCCGACCCTTGTCACACACTGGGTGCCGACTCTCGTCACACACTGGCTGCTGACTCTCCTCACACACTGGCTGCCGACCCTCCTCACACACTGGCTGCCGACCCTCGTCACACACTGGCTGCCGACTCTCCTCACACACTGGCTGCCGACCCTTGTCACACACTGGCTGCTGACTCTCTTCACACACTGGGTGCCGACTCTCCTCACACACTGGGTGCCGACCCTCCTCACACACTGGCTGCTGACTCTCTTCACACACTGGGTGCCGACTCTCCTCACACACTGGGTGCCGACCCTTGTCACACTCTGGCTGCTGACTCTCTTCACACACTGGGTGCCGACTCTCCTCACACACTGGCTGCCGACCCTCGTCACACACTGGCTGCTGACTCTCTTCACACACTGGGTGCCGACTCTCCTCACACACTGGCTGCCGACCCTCCTCACACACTGGCTGCCGACCCTCGTCACACACTGGCTGCCGACTCTCCTCACACACTGGCTGCTGACCCTCGTCACACACTGGCTGCCGACCCTCGTCACACACTGGCTGCCGACCCTCCTCACACACTGGCTGCCGACTCTCCTCACACACTGGCTGCCGACTCTCCTCACACACTGGCTGCCGACCCTCGTCACACACTGGCTGCCGACCCTCCTCACACACTGGCTGCTGACTCTCCTCACACACTGGCTGCCGACTCTCATCACACACTGGCTGCCGACTCTCCTCACACTGGCTGCCGACTCTCCTCACACACTGGCTGCCGACTCTCCTCACACACTGGCTGATGACTCTCTTCACACACTGGCTGCCGACTCTCCTCACACACTGGGTGCCGACCCTCGTCACACACTGGGTGCCGACTCTCGTCACACACTGGGTGCCGACTCTCGTCACACACTGGCTGCTGACTCTCCTCACACACTGGGTGCCGACCCTCCTCACACACTGGGTGCAGACCCTCCTCACACACTGGCTGCTGACTCTCCTCACACACTGGCTGCCGACCCTCCTCACACACTGGCTGCCGACCCTCGTCACACACTGGCTGCCGACTCTCCTCACACACTGGCTGCCGACCCGGTCACACACTGGCTGCTGACTCTCTTCACACACTGGGTGCCGACTCTCCTCACACACTGGGTGCCGACCCTCGTCACACACTGGCTGCTGACTCTCCTCACACACTGACTGCCGACTTTCCTCACACACTGGCTGCCGACCCTCGTCACACACTGGCTGCTGACTCTCTTCACACACTGGGTGCCGACTCTCCTCACACACTGGGTGCCGACCCTCGTCACACACTGGCTGCCGACTCTCCTCACACTGGCTGCCGACTCTCGTCACACCCTGGGTGCCGACTCTCCTCACACACTGGCTGCTGACTCTCCTCACACACTGGCTGCCGACCCTCTTCACACACTGGCTGCCGACTCTCCTCACACACTGGCTGCGGACTCTCGTCACACACTGGCTGCTGACTCTCCTCACACACTGGGTGCCGACCCTCCTCACACACTGGGTGCAGACCCTCCTCACACACTGGCTGCTGACTCTCCTCACACACTGGCTGCCGACCCTCCTCACACACTGGCTGCCGACCCTCGTCACACACTGGCTGCCGACTCTCCTCACACACTGGCTGCCGACCCAGTCACACACTGGCTGCTGACTCTCTTCACACACTGGGTGCCGACTCTCCTCACACACTGGGTGCCGACCCTCGTCACACACTGGCTGCTGACTCTCCTCACACACTGACTGCCGACTTTCCTCACACACTGGCTGCCGACCCTCGTCACACACTGGCTGCTGACTCTCTTCACACACTGGGTGCCGACTCTCCTCACACACTGGGTGCCGACCCTCGTCACACACTGGCTGCCGACTCTCCTCACACTGGCTGCCGACTCTCGTCACACCCTGGGTGCCGACTCTCCTCACACACTGGCTGCTGACTCTCCTCACACACTGGCTGCCGACCCTCTTCACACACTGGCTGCCGACTCTCCTCACACACTGGCTGCGGACTCTCCTCACACACTGGCTGCCGGCTCTCCTCACACACTGGGTGCAGACCCTCCTCACACACTGGCTGCCGACTCTCCTCACACACTGGGTGCCGACTCTCCTCACACACTGGGTGCCGACTCTCCTCACACACTGGGTGCCGACTCTCCTCACACACTGGCTGCCGACCCTCCTCACACACTGGCTGCCGACTCTCCTCACACACTGGGTGCCGACCCTCCTCACACACTGGGTGCCGACTCTCCTCACACACTGGGTGCCGACTCTCCTCACACACTGGGTGCCGACTCTCTTCACACACTGGCTGCCCACTCTCCTCACACACTGGCTGCCATCCCTCCACACGCTGGCTGCCATCCCTCCTCACACACTGGGTGCCAACCCTCCTCACACACTGACCTTACATGAAAAGCAGATTAAGCCCTACCTTACGTATTCCTGTATATATTTATGATGCATGTTTTTTACTATTTCTACAACATAAGCTGCTGAGTTAAGTTTGGGTCCCACTAAATCCTGAGTATCTGGGGACACCCTGAATACTAAATTCATAACATTATGCTTATGGCAAGAACCTCCTGACTTTTTTCCTAATTTTCAAAAGTGAAAAAGCATTTAATAAAATATTTACCCCAAAAGTAAACAGATATTGTCTTTGTAGTTGCCTCTTTTTACTTTTTGAATCCATCCAAGAGAGAGCATTAAGGCAAACAAATATAAATTCAAACAATGTTTTTACTCTGGTTTGTTGAAGCTTCATAATAAAATAGCACCCTTGTGATATGAACTGACAAAAGGCTCTGCCCTTGTCCAATCACATACCACATAACTTGCTGGAGTTGCCTTCAGACAGGTTGTAAATTACAGACCTGTATCCACAATAAGTCCCCAGATTGTCAGAGTTAATTACCATGATCAGGTAAAGCCAACACAAGCACCTGCTTACAGCTACAATGGCCCCCATCAGAGCGGGATGCCGGCATCGTGACGGACAGGTTGTGACACTGAGGAACACTATGGCTGGCTACCAGCTTATTGTGAGATACATCTCCACAGATTACCCCAGCCAGTTCTCTGCATATCCTACAATTTATATCAAGTTCTTGAGGCCCATAAAGTCCCAAAGTCAATCCCAGCTCTGAAGTCCCCCTTGTTTGTGAGTGAAGTCGGTGACAGATTACGTCTAATGGCTACACTATATTGTTCACTGGGCTAGGATTACCAACCAAATTGTCCATTCTTCAACACAACGGTGGCTGTAAGTGCTCTATGAATATAATTAACTTCTTGACATGAATGTATTGGGTTAAGGGACACGCTGTGGATCATCAACATTTTCAAGGCTTTTATAAAAATTGGTTTACAGATTCAGATAATCCTAGCATAGAGATAAATGGAAAAATAGTATTCTGAAGAGCATTATTCATCCAAATGTTTGTGTTCCAGATACACAAGTAAATAGAAAGGCCTATGAGACAAGCTGAATGATCACAGTTCATATTCAGAAAAATATTGGACAAAACACACAAATAAACCTGAAATGTCGATGATATTTTCCCACCTACTCTATAAACCACCACATACAAAAGCTAAGATCCACAACAGTCCAGAGAACTCATCACTGACCCCTGTCCACAACCCACTCTCCCCAAAGATCAGCAACAGACCTGTGCACTCATCCCTGATACTTGTCCACAACCCACTCTCCCTAAAGATACACAACAGACCGGTGCACTGATCCCTGACACTTGTCCACAACCCACTCTCCCTAAAGATCCACAACAG